AACCTGATTTTGTAAATCTTTAATATTTTAAAAGTTGACAATTTAATCAAGCAGAATTTATAGTTTGAAAAAACTAGGTTGCAAAGATATAAGAGTTAGTTAATATTGGAAATTAGTAATTGGTTCTTTTATTTATCTACAGTGATAACCAACAAACTCTGGAATAGAAAGTAGACTTTAAGGCTCAATTTATGACTTTAAATGGTCCAATGAACATGATGCTATTGTGCTATTGTGCAGTGTTAACAGACCCATTTCACTAGATAAGTAATTTAATAATTTACTAGTTAAATTATATGCTTTGTAACAACATCAATTTCACTTCAGTATTACTTTAATATGTCGTCTTCATAATCTACAGTTTTTTTTGTTATTTCCGTATTAAATTTCATGATAGCGTAAAGGTCATGTAACCTGCTAAAGATTTAGCAGTTTATGACATTTTTATTGCATTTTGAGTTGTTATGCAACAAACTGCTTTATAAGTTGCAGAATGATGTTTGTCAGTATTTCTTAGACCAGAAAACTCTGGAATAGGAAGATGACTTTTAGAATAAAATTTTTACTTAAAAAAGTCTAGCTGAGCATGAGACACGGCAATTGTGCAGTGTAACCAGACCCATTTCACTGAACAATGGATTTAGTAAGTCTTCCTAATCCGATTTTTTCTAGTTATCACTGAATTTAACTGAACTTTCAGCACAAAGTGAAAAGGATATTATGCAAAAATCCTTACGAGGGGGAGGGCAAGCAAAAATGACAGCTACGGAGGGGAAGGGGACAGCTTGTAATTTTTACGCCTTTTTGTCTGAAAAATTAAGCTGTGGAGGATTTTATCCGGCACCATACCTATAGAATTGTTTATTGCATGGTTGCTCCATCGACAGAGAAGTTTTGACACGTTACGGCAGGTTTCAAATGAAATAAAAAATATGTAGATATGCTCTGTTCAACTTATCATTCATTAATGAGAATAGATTAACCATTATTTAAATTAAAGATCGAATTATTAAGGGCTGGAGCAGGATGTTTTATTTCAATTAGTTCAGCGACATGTTTCATTTTATAAGTTTACAATTTAAAATTCAAATAAATTCATCAGAGCTGAAAACTTTGGAATTTTGGATATCGAGATCAATGCTTGATCTTCTCTTTTGGTTAATTTCAAGATTAATTCAATCCTAAGTTTGTACCAACAAAAATTTACATAAATATATAACTCTATCTGTGAAGTTGGATTTCAAACAGCCAGTCAGAGAAGCCGGAAAGTTTTAATTTTTTTTCGAGCCATTTAATGAGTGAACTTTGATTGGTCGAATACTGGCAGCAAGAGAAAAAGATTAAATAAAGCGTGGATTAAGAAGTGAACTTTGATTGGTCGAATACTGGCAGCAAGAGAAAAAGATTAAATAAAGCGTGGATTAAGAAGTGAACTTTGATTGGTCGAATACTGGCAGCAAGAGAAAAAGATTAAATAAAGCGTGGATTAAGAAGTGAATTAAAAGAGTCCACATTGGATATTTCGTTAATTTTAAAGTTTTCAGCTCGGAAGCTTTATTTGCAAAATATAATTGCGGATATTTTTATTCACTGACATAACTTTTCGGTTGCTGAAGTAATCAAATTTAAGTTATACCAAGAAAATCTTTTTTGTTTGTTTATTTTCTGGGGTTTTTAACAATTTTTTTTTTACATTTTTTATCGATTTTGATGGTTATTATTGTTAGAACTGACGAGGGTTAACCCAGACCGAAATATATTTTCAATAAATGAGGAACTAACATCTATTTTTTTACTCTACAGAGGTTTGGTCCATCAACATCACCAAATTGTAAAATTTTTATTTAGTTTTGTTAACTATGAAAATAAAAACAAAGGGATTATTTTGAAAATTCTCGTTTTGAAGAGGATGAAAATAAGTTATGATAGTTTTTAAGAAAAAAAAACGAAACAGTCGTTTTCAAAATGGTCAATCCGGAAAACGATACTTTTTAAAACAATCATTTTCAAAATTCGAAAAGCAAGCGTTTTGGAATGACAAGAATAGTCTTGAAATTGATCGTTTTTTTGATTGATTTTTTTTATAAAAACGATAATTTTGGAATGAAAACTATCGTTTTGGAATGAAAATAATATTTATAGAATGAAAACGATAGTTTTGAAAAAGTTTGTTTTCCATGCCCATTCCTATATACTCTTCTTTTTTTTTCTCTTGCGCGCCAGAAGGCCATCGTTTTTGTGTACAAACAAAAATGTTTAAAACGTAAGAAATTTTGTTAACGATGTTCAGAGAAATAAAAAATATCGGTTTTTAAAACTTTTTCAAATCTTTTACCATTGTTCGCATTTTTTAGATAATTCAGACCGAACGATGATCTGGTGCTGTCTTGAAAAGAAATGAATATTAACATTTCTTTATTTGCAAATATGAATTATATAAATTAGCTAAAACCTATCTATATTCATATTTATATTGAAAAAATCAAACATTTTCTTAGCTTCAACTTTTTTCAGGCCTTATGAGTTGTGGAGAAAGTCAGCTGATCGGAGCTCGTGGAATCATCACACTCCCAACCGGTTTTCAATACAGGTTTACCGCCATTTTAAGAACCTTAAACAAAATTTTTTTACATAAAGTTACCACACAAAAAAAACACATAAAGGGGTTGAAATCGTAATATTAAATGACCCATCCATGCAAAGATGACAATGCCCGATTCACAACGGTACCCTTGAAACCTTTATCTGATAAATAATGGGGATGATATGTCGTTTTCTAAGGTTTAAAGTTTGATCTGATCATGTTGTTTATGCATTCCTGCAGTAGAAATGCGCAGAAATGTTGAGGAACTACACAATTGAAAATAAAATAAAAATTGATATATAATTTATTCTTTTTCAGATAAAGGTTTTAAGGCCACCGTTGTGAATCGGACATTGCCATCTTTGCATTGAGGGTTACTTAAAATTAAGTTTATTTTAATGTGCAATAGATTTTTAAATTCCCAGTGGAAACTCTAGTAAAAATGCAAATGTAAGGATTACATTTAAAAATATAAATATTTAAATAAAGAGATTATCCACCTTACAATTGTTGTAGAATTACTTCAAATATAAAGAAGATTTACCAGCGAAATTAAATATATTTAATAAAGCTCTCATATATATGTACAATATTCGGGGTGAAAGTATGGGGTAACTTTTTTAATAAAAAGACTCAAATCAACCTCAACTGCTCCAGTTTTCTTTGATACGTTTAACAGAAGATTTTAAAATTTATTTTCTAAAACATTCTTGGAAAGAAAGTTTCAGAGTATCAACAATTTTATTTTAGCCTTGAAGGAAACTATTTTTGAAATATCTAAAAACCAATGAACGGTATTCAGCGGTTCAAGACACATATTTTGAAACCCATATCATACATGTTTTGAAACCCATATCATACATTTCAATTGAATTAATTAGATATCCATTGTTTTGTTTTTGAAAACTTATTATTTTTATTTGTGGTTTATAATTAATGGAGAAACTATCAAAATGAAACCACATTACTGATCAAATTAAGGTTTAAAAAGTATCGTTGTGTATCGAGTACGCCCCTTTTTTAAATGTAGGCTCACTTTATAGTTACGATGCTAGTTTCTTTAGTGAGTCAATACTGAAGGTTTAGATTTGTTACTTTTTATATTCCTGATAAAGGATAATTTAAAATGTAATTACGCTTAAAATTCAAAAGGCTAAATTAAAATCTGAAAAGGTTATTCAAGATTTAGAATTTGTTCTACCTAAGGCTAAATACTAGGTCCCCTGTTATCAATATAAAATAATTTCTTAATATTTTAATTATGCATCTTTATTTAAAATCTTTTTTATATAAATATAAGAATTTTGTAATAAAAAAGTTTCGATTTAAAAAAGATAAAACCTTAATCCTTAATTTTATCTATATTCTAAGAATGTCGTCGATATCTCCAAAATCCAAATCATTCCGTCCTTTGAAAGAATATTTTGACAAAAATCAAAATTAGATTAGCTCACGTACAATACAGTGGCATCTGTAGAATTCAAATTTTGCAATGTGCAGAAAACCAATTTCTGAAATATTCCTCTGCAGAAAGAACTAAGAAGTGCATTTATTTAAACTAAGCTATATAGTAAAATATATTTTTTTTTAAAAGACTGTGGTTGTAAATCACTTAAACTTTTATTACAACATTTTTCAAATAGAAAAATAAAATGAATTCATTTATCTGAATGACCATTTCTTCAAAATATACTGGTTGGTCAATTTGAAAACCAATGCTAAACCCGAAAAATAGAATTTAAAAAATGTACACCCAAAAACTTATTTTGACAAATTCCCTTTCACCTTATTCTAAAAATGTATATTATTATTTGCAGAATCAAGCGAGCTCAATTGCCCAGAACAGCTTCCAAATAAGCCAGCGGCCCAGCAAGGAAAAATAGATATTTTAATTCTTCACAAAATTTAGAAATTTATCACATTAACTTTTCTAAAGGTAAAAAATACACCAGATTTTTTGAAATTTGTATTGAGGACCAAAAAGGCAGTTTTAAGAAACATCAAGGAGGAAAAAACTAAATCTACTTTTCTATTCCATATTTTTAAAATACGTTTTAATCGAAATAATTTCATAGGGGTCCAAAAAAACTGAGGTGCACACAATTTATTTCTGTTCTTTCACCCCTTTTCATAAACCGTGAACACTCTAATGTGAATCGGACATTGCCATCTTTGCATTGAGGGTTACTTAAAATTAAGTTTATTTTAATGTGCAATAGATTTTTAAATTCCCAGTGGAAACTCTAGTAAAAATGCAAATGTAAGGATTACATTTAAAAATATAAATATTTAAATAAAGAGATTATCCACCTTACAATTGTTGTAGAATTACTTCAAATATAAAGAAGATTTACCAGCGAAATTAAATATATTTAATAAAGCTCTCATATATATGTACAATATTCGGGGTGAAAGTATGGGGTAACTTTTTTAATAAAAAGACTCAAATCAACCTCAACTGCTCCAGTTTTCTTTGATACGTTTAACAGAAGATTTTAAAATTTATTTTCTAAAACATTCTTGGAAAGAAAGTTTCAGAGTATCAACAATTTTATTTTAGCCTTGAAGGAAACTATTTTTGAAATATCTAAAAACCAATGAACGGTATTCAGCGGTTCAAGACACATATTTTGAAACCCATATCATACATGTTTTGAAACCCATATCATACATTTCTTGATAAAACCAGATAACTCTAGACAAATCTAGACAAATAGAGATGAATCTAGATAAATCTATAAATAAATTTAAATAAATATAGATTAATCTCAAAGATCCAGATAAATCAAGTTAAATCTAAATAAATCTAGACAAATATAGATGGATCCAGATAAATCTAGATAAACGTCTAAATAAATCTAGATAAATCTACTTATATCTAAATAAATCTAGATAAACGTCTAAATAAATCTAGATAAATCTACTTATATCTAGATAAATCTAGATGAATCCGAATAAAATCTAAATAAAACTAAATTTTTCATTTATTACGCTCAAACTTAGAGTTATTGCAACTGTACGAGTTTTATTGAAGCAAATTTGCCGCACCAATATTGTTAAAAAAAATCCACGTCAGTCAAACCGCATATTTCTTAAAGAGTTAAAACCAATGATCAATTGTCCCTTTTAAAGCTGACTTTTATAAGAATGATCGTAAAAAATTATTGATTAATTTAATAAATATTAGTTTTCATTTTTGAGATTCGAGTTCTTGTCAACACTCTATTATATGGACATTTTAGGTGATTTATATATCAATCAGCTCTCATAATCTATTCCTATCTGTAAATAGTTTCAGATTTAACTTAAATATCAACAAATATTGTCTGTCTTTTTAATAATTTAAAAAAGATTTCTTTAAAATACAAAAAAAATTTTAGAAAAATAAAAAGATAAAATTCCAGATTGCGTTGAATTACACTAAAAATCAAATTTAGAATGGCTGTAAATACTAAATAGAACAGAAAAGAAAAATAGTGGCCAGTCATGACTAAAGTATACCATTTTAAACTCTTTAAAATCATTGCACTAATCGGTGTGCAAAGTTTTGCAAAGGAGTGTCTGAAAATAACCGTTATATAAATGAATTATATACTTTCTTCTGTTTATATTGAACACATTAATGACGTCATTATATTTGTAATTAGTGATTTAATTAGTCCTGTGTTAATGTTTTTATACTCTCGAAAGATCTCTTCAGAAGAAGGATTTGGTATTTTTATTTCCGCCTTTTATAAAGTATTACAAGATGTTATATTTGTATCAATTTTCTTTTAAACACAAAAAAGCGAAATGTCTATAAACACTAACCATGTTTATTGTAAAACACCTTTTTTAAAGTTTTATTTTAAAAAAAGTTTAAAGGTTTAGTTTACTTTTTTTATGGGAGCTTATTCTATTTTAATTCATTCCTAAAGGGAGTGTTCGTGAAAAATAAAATTGGGTTTAGGCGTCTGTAAGGAGAAATTTGTTAAAACGACTTATACCGAAAAACGTAGTGTCCATACAAATTCAGAAAGTTTCTACATTCAGCTCGGATCGTAAAAAAATCGATTTAATTCCAAACAAATCATTGAAATATTACAACCTATAATCATCGATAAATTTTCGACGCATTTGTATATAGTTGATATTTCATAATATTTTTGATTTTGTCTTCAACTTGACGATGGATTTTCGAATATTCCTAAAATATGAAAAGTCATCTTCATTATCCAAAATCATCGAGACAGGAATAACTGTTTTCTAAAGTTAGATCATAAAAGATAAAAAATATTATGAAATATCAACTATATACGAATGCGTCGAAAAATGATCGATGATTATACTTAATAATTTGTTTGGAATGAAATTGAATTTTTACAATCCGACTGGTGGAACTATCTTAATTTGTATGGACGCTTCGTTCTTTGGTGTGAGTCGTTTTTAACAAATTTCTCCTGATAGACGCAACAGATAGAAGTAGGATTAGTAGCGATCACCATCGAATATTTTTCGCCGTGCGCCAATATCCCCGTTCATTTTCACGAACACTCCCTTTAAGTTAAAGCTTTAGAAATAGGAGGCCTTTTCATTCATTCCTATTTAGATATTAATTCCTTTCTGTATACTTTGTTGTGAATCCAGTTCAACTGGAACGAATAATTAGCACTATTAAAATGTTAGTTTGATTATTTCAAAGAAAGAATTTTTTGAAATAGAATTTAAATTTTTATTTTTTTCGTCACAGAATTATATAGGGTGGATCAAAAAAGTTGGTGGGTTCAATTTGGGCCACCATGGCTTAAAAAATGACCTTCGGCTCATGAACATTTAAATATGGTTTTCTTCCCTGTTTTCTAAATGATACTAACTTACATTTGTAAAAAGTGAATATGTACATATTAAAATATTAATGAAAAACCTAGAAGTCTAAGATCCAAGTTGTAGATCGCTTGGGTTGAATTCTGGAATTTAATTTCTAAAACATTTTTTATTTCTAATGCAGGTTGAAAGGAGGCCCAGGGAGAATACAATCTGACAGAGAAGTTTTTGATTTCACAGACTCTAGGTAAACACTTCGAATATAATCGACATTATTGTTCAGAAACCGGTTTAGCAAAACTGGGTACTGTTGTGAATTATGAATGCCCCTCTTTTCTTTAAAGCAATGGTCACTTAGAATTAGACATCAGTCTATTTAATCTTATTTTTAGATTTGTAGACCCTCTTCCTGAGACAAAGTTTAATAAACCTCTTGAGGAATTAGAATTTGAACGTGCTGTTGAATCTAATAGACTCCTTCCAGGTAGCCATATTCAGAGTTTATATACGCATACCAATAAAAGGACCGAATTTAATGAATTTAGCTGGGTCACGGAACTACCACTGCCGGTTCAAATTTAAACCACGATTCAAAGTTAAAGATAGGTATGCAGTTCAAAATTATTAGATCGGTTCCAGGATAGTGTACAAAATACTAATTATACATAAAACATGGATACCAACATACTCTTCATATTAATCACAAGTTTCAACATTATTCTTATCAGGCTTTACGAAGATTATCACATGTAGTTTTGTCTAATCCTGAGCTATTCAATTTTTAAAATGTAGCAGGTTTATTTTAATGCTAAACTTATTATCACAACTAGCATTTAAACATGCTATACTCTAAAATTTTGCACTAGTATTTAAAATCAAGACATGCTTCACTAGCTGCAAATTTTATCACATGTAGCAACAATTATGCTACACTGTCCTAAACATTAATATTCTAAACATGTGAATCAGATTATCAGATGCCTCTAAACATGTGAATAGATTATCAGATGCCTCTAAACGAATAGATTATCAGATGCCTCTAAACATGTGAATAGATTATCAGATGCCTCTAAACTTGTGAATAGATTATCAGATGCCTCTAAACATGTGAATAGATTATCAGATGCCTCTAAACATGTGAATAGATTATCAGATGCCTCTAAACATGCGAATAGATTATCAGATGCCTCTAAACATGTGAATCAGATTATCAGATGCTTCTAAACATGTGAATAGATTATCAGATACCTCTAAACATGTCAGATTATCAGATGCCTCTAAACATGTGAATAAGATTATCAGATGCCTCTAAACATGTGAATCAGATTATCAGATGCCTCTAAACATGTGAATAGATTATCGGATGCCTCTAAAAAATGAGAATTGAAATTACGTGTGCGGCCCCTTTAACCTTTCCTCTGTTCTCCATGAAATGCAAATCTGTCCACCTAAACACAAAGATTGTCTTTGTACAACCTTTTCTTGCAAAATCATGATGTAGTATTGCTAGAGTGTCAAATATAATTTTGTCCTGACTTGCACAAAAAGCAGGGGAAGGCAGATAGCTATGAGCCACAACTAGTCTGTTCCATGCCACATTTTAGCATTTTTTGGTCTTCAGATGGTTATGAGCTACAATTATTTTCTGTTCCATGTTATAAATTCTCTCGGCAGCTCTCGCTATCAAAACTGCAAATCCAATGTTTTGAATTAAAAATCTATGACAATTGTTTTCGCTGCAAATATTTAGTTATGGAGACTCTTCAAACAATTATAGAATGTGCAAGGTTCTAGGTTGCATTATTTAGTATCTTTATATTCCTTTCAAATTAAGCCATTCTGGGGCAGCATTTAATTTATTTACTTGTTGAAAAAACGTATTGCACTTTCTTTGAGAATAATCATCGTCATTTCCACTAAAACCTTGAAGATAAGGGTTAGAATGTTTAGCTTTTGTTTAACATGAGCTGGGAGTTGTATTGTGAAATCAAGATTAATACTTGATCTCGATCTTTTATAAATCTGAAGACAAATCTTTATATTCGATACCCCAGTAATAGTAATCGGGATAACGAAAATAAACAGATTGAGCATTGATCTTCAAGTTAATAACGAAAATAAACAGATTGAGCATTGATCTTCAAGTAAATAACTGGAATAAAGAGATTAAGCATTGATCTTCAAATCAATAACTGAAATAAAGAGATTAAGCATTGAACTTCAAATCAATAACTGAAATAAAGAGATTAAGCATTGATCTTCAAATTGATAACTGAAATAAAGAGATTAAGCATTGATCTTCAAATCAATAACTGAAATAAAGAGATTAAGCATTAATCTTCAAATCAATAACTGAAATAAAGAGATTAAGCATTAATCTTCAAATCAATAACTGAAATAAAGATTAAGAATTTATCTTCAAATTAATAACTGAAATAAAGAGATTAAGCATTGATCTTCAAATTAATAACTGAAATAAAGAGATTAAGCATTGATCTTCAAATTAATAACAGATATTAAGCATTGATCTTCAAATTAATAACAGATATTAAGCATTGATCTTCAAATTAAAAGTGACCACAATAGATATTGCTTGTTCTCCTCATGAATTTAATCTCCAGATTAATTAACAGATCGGGATTAAGGATATCACATTCTAAAGTTTTCAGCTCAGGATTAAGGGTTTCCAACACACAAATTCCCAACTATGACCAGATTTTAATAAAAGAAATTTAAAAGATATTTTGAATTTAATTCTGTTTCAGGAGGATTTCCATCTTTTTCAACCCCAAGGCAACCCTTTCAGGTTCAACAAACTGGGTCAGCTTTCAACCAGGTAGAACAACAAGCTAGGTCAGCTTTCAACCAGGTAGAACAACAAGCTAGGTCAGCTTTCAACCAGGTAGAACAACAAGCTAGGTCAGCTTTCAACCAGGTAGAACAACAAGCTGGGTCAGCTTTCAACCAGGTAGAACAACAAGCTAGGTCAGCTTTCAACCAGGTAGAACAACAAGCTATGCCAACACAAGCAGATGTTTTGACTACGCTTGAGTCCGACCATATATTTCTCATTTTATTTCAAATGTTAAAAAGTTAATTTTATCCATTATATTATTCTACTTGTTTACTTTTTCTAAATTAAATTTTCTTAAAAGTTTAATTTTGATTTACATTTTACATTTACATTTTTTTAGCCGCTGACTCCTTTTGTTCACACATCGGCCATTGCAGAGTCCCCCAGACAATCCAGCTTTCAAGGAGTCCAGTCAAGATTACAGGGAGTCCAGTCCAGACAGAACCAGGGAGTCCAGCCCAGTCTTCTTCAACAACAGGAATGGCTTCGAAGATTTAGATACTTTTAACTGATTAGTTCACTGTTTTAAATATACGTACTCATGATATCGCCATTTAGTTAAGAGCGTTCACATTCCCACTAGTGGAAGTTGGGTAGCTCTAGTCCAACAAGGTTATACAGTATAGTGTGATAATGTACGCTAATCCTGTACAGTCCAGATAATAGGGCGACAGGTTATAGAAAACATATTGTGCTACAATTAGGGTTGGGCACCTTCTAGACGTTATATTGACGATGAATAAAAACTGTTAAAAGAAATGTTCACATCGTTTTTCAACTAAAAAATAAACATTCGTTTTGTTTAAGGTAGTTTCCGTTTTTCTAAAACTACAGTAAGTTAACATGATTTTTAGAAATTAATGATTCTTATTGTAAAAATAGCTAGACAAATTTAAAGACAATATAAAAAATCAAAACTGGTAAAAAACCCATCAAATGATATAAAAAATCAAAATGCAAAGGTTATGTAATTCATCAAAGAAGCCAGGGAAAAATCAGAAAACGGCGTTTAAATAAAATCAAAAAATATATATTTTACTTTTTGCAAGTTTTATGCAATTTTATGCAAAAAAAGTGAACTGAAAACACAGTTCTTGTTTTCAATCAAATTTTTTTTCAAAAGCGATTATTTCCGTTAGTTTTCAAAAGCGATTATTTCCGTTAGTTTTCAAAAACGATTATTTCCGTTAGTTTTCAAAAGCGATTATTTCCGTTAGTTTTCAAAAGTGATTATTTCCGTTAGTTAACGATTCAAAAATTAACGGTTTTTTCAGTTCGTTAACGGATTCTCCTGTTGATGTAAAAACTCCGCTTTTTATTGGAACTTTGCACAGCCCTAACTACAATCATTAGGTATAATTTGGCCACGAATTTGTTTGATCTGACGCCATTTTACCAGACTTTTCAATCTTTTCTACCGGAGGCAAACTTTGCATCATTTGCCAAGATTTCTAGGAGTATCCCACAGGGCAGGTAATGATAACATTAATAATAATAATAATAATAATAGCAGTAATAAAATAGTAAAAATAATGAATTTATTTATTTTTTAGCTATTCCATCTCCTATCCTTCATCTTAAGAAGATCATGAATTTGTAGCTCAAATAAAATCTAGTAATCAATTTTGTTTTAGTATTGTAAAAGTGCTAAAAATGTAAAAAATTTCATCAGAACATTAAAAATATTTCTTTTAAAATTTATACATGATTTAAACTAAGTTTTTCAATATAAACAAAGTTATTGTAAATAAATATAGCAATGTCATTCAAATTTACATAAAAGGAAAACGTAAATGTTCAAAATGCAATTCTGTGTGAATGCAACCTAACACAAAACCTTTGATAAAAAAGTTCAAAAGAAAAATATTAAAAAGATGTTTTTACTTTTAACATTTTATTTTTTTGTGTAAGAAAAATAGATGATTCCGCAATAAAAATTCAATTTGAAGACAGCAAAAACTTTGATTTCCAAATAAAGTATTTAATTCAACAAATTGGGGATGGGATCTTTTCATATTATTAATTCTTAATGGAAATTAAAATGTAAATTTTTTAAAAAATTTCCGTAAAAATTAATGTTTTGATATTTTTTTAAATTTAACTTTATTTCCAACCAGTCCCAATTTATTTCTAGTCAATAATAAGGTAAAAATATAAATGAAAAAAAATTGTTCCTTTTTAGTTCTATTGTAAATATTGTAAAATTAAATAAAACTCTTGAACCCAGGAATTGATTTTTTTTAACCTAATTGAAAAACATTGTTCTTTTTAATTGTCAATTCTGAAGATATGAAGCCGCCAGACAATATTTTAAAAAGCTCATCTGGCGTGCAATTTGTAAATTATCATTTGTCAATTATCGGAAATTGTTTATTTTTTAATTAAAAGAAACTAATTCGACGCGTAAGAAATTGAATTGCTATATTTTTCTATTAAACCCTAATCAACGTTCTTGATCCGTATGATAATAGTTATGACCGTATTTTCCGAATCGTTCTTAAAATGAGTTTTATAAACGTAATTGAAATAAACGGAACACACAAAGGTTTCAAGGGTACCGTTGTAAATCTGACATGACCGTCTTTGAATTGAGGGTCACTTGAAAATACGCTGACAGTCCCTTTAAACTTATTTAAATACGTTAAAATCATTTTCTCCTGTTGGTCTTAACCCCTCGCTTTCATTCGTAAAATCTTCGAGTTACAGTTTATAAAAAATCGCTTAACTACAAAGCTTTAGAACAAACAAATTAGTATTTAAATCAAAAGCTCTGGTCAAATCATTAGAAGACATTGCTGAATACAATTTTTAATTTTAATAATTTATTATTTCTGAATTTAGAATTTTCAATTAGAACAAAGCTACAAAAAGTTATTATTCCAAAAATATGAATGACTTGGGAAAAAATTTACAGATTCCATTTTTTATTCTTTCTTCACAGTTTCCTGAAATTATAAATGAGATTATTTTTCTTTCATCTTTAAAGAAATATAAAATAAGAATAAATTAGGTGAGAGCCTATTTAAGAAAAAAATAATGGGTTTAAAGTGACCATTAAGTTTATTGCAAGTTAATAAAATTTAAGTCATCTTTTAAGTGTTAAAGAAAAAAAAATAATAAAATGCAGATGTCCCAAAGGGCGAGAAAGACAAAAACTTTGCGTTTTTTCCTTCATAAAGTTTTTTAAAACTAAAAAAAAAATAATCGTTCTTCATTATGATTTTAAAAGGTAAACTATCTCTTTACGATGCAGTCTTGAAATATCATAGTTTTAGATATTAGACTTCTGTTTAAAATCTTGTCTGTTCTTATTGTTTGTACAGTTAGACCCGTAAATCTGTGGAAGACGAATGTAAGCTCCGTTACGATTTCATATAATGCAATGAGCATATAAAATAGAATAATTTTGCGGTGTAACTACGATTAAACTATTTGCGCGGGCTTTAAAACAAAATCAAATATACATGAGGGTGTTAGATGTCGTCTTTTTTCCACAGTTTAATGGATATCATTGGAAATTAAATAAAATATCCTATTATGTATTGGCCAATCTCAGTTAAAATTTAATGAATTTGAGCCGCGTCTCGAATCCGCCAAAAACCGGTTTCAATTGAGCGTCGGTTTAAATCTTGAAAAATTGAATACAATTTTACGTGGAGCCAACCATATTTGAGCCGCGTCTCAAATTCTGCAAATTCGGCCTCTGAATATATATTCTTCTTACCATCTCATGTATCTTAGTATTCAAGTTATTCCGTTCTGCTGTTAGGGTTTTATTTAATTTTATCATACTCTCCAGTTTCTTCTTCAACTGTCCAACCTGGAAATATAAAGTTCTATATTTCAACTTTAGGAAACCTTTCCAGAGTAACAGACTCACAGGAGGAGAGAGGAGTTGAAATCTTTATATTTTTTGGCATTTTTTTAGGGTAAAATTTGTGCGAAAGATCTTTTACACCTTTAGCAATACAGATATTGAAGACGTTATTTATTAACGTAAAGTTTCGCATATATGAATTTGAATTTGTAAGAATACCAATACTAAAAAAGCTTTTGAGATTGAAGATTAGTTCGATATGAGATAGAACGTTTTTTTTCAGTTAATTTTAACCTCAGAACAATTTCCAACGTAATTTGAAATAAAAATTTCTCGAATCGCAAAAATGTATCAACATGATGTTAATTTTCTGCGGAATTTTGCATTTTAAAAAATGCTGAAAGTCTTCAATTTTTAATTTATGGTTTAAACATAAAATAACCTCTTTTTCCCTCTCTAAGCTTTGAGCATTCATCTTCTTCACTTGCTGGCTGCTTCCCTGCAATAGATTTATCTTGATCCTGATCTTGATCCTGATCTTGATCCTGATCTTGATCCTGATCTTGATCCTGATCTTGATCCTGATCTTGATCCTGATCTTGATCCTGATATTCTACCTCGTATCTCTCCCTCCATTGATGAGTATCTCTGTCCAGTTCACACATTTGCTTCGTGAGTTTATCTATCTGGGTCTAATTCAAATTTTGAATGTTATTAAAATTTTATCAATTATGAATTAAATATAAATTATAAAGTCAGATATAAAAAACATAAATACCGGTAAAAATAGAAACTGTAAACTATATTCGACAAAAAAGCTTTCATTTTGAGATCAAACCTTTGTGTTGCGAATCTTTTATATTTTTTCGTCCAATATAATTATACTGATATCTCAGAATAATTAAAATTGGAAGGCTGATTCGTTAGATGTACGTTCTGTATTTCCGTTTACACGTATATACTGTACAACTTATTCAAAAGATCAGTCTGATCAGTGATGGTAGATCAGCGCTGTTCACCTTAAAATGTTGGAAGGATTTGGTACTTGTCCCTGCACCAGTTTGAAGTTCATCTAACTGAGTCTAGATTATTTATTTCATTTTCTTTTGTTATTTTTGGAGAAAAATAGATTTCTCACTGAGAATTTGTTGCTTTCATTTTGGGATTAACACTAGGAATGGGCATTTTGGGATCACCAAGGGATGGGCATCTTGGGATTACCACTAGGGATGGGCATTTTGGGATTACCAAGGGATGGACGTTTTGGGATTACCACTAGGGATGAGCATTTTGGGATTACCAAGGGACGGGCATTTTGGGATTACCACTAGGGATGGACATTTTGAGATTACGAAGGGATGGGCATTTTGGGATTACCACTAGGGATGGGCATTTTGGGATAACCACTTGGGATGGGCATTTTGGGATTACTTCTAGGGATGGGCATTTTGGGATTACCGCTAGGGATGGGCATTTTGGGATTACTACTAGGGATGGGTATTTTGGGATTACCACTAGGAATGAGCATTTTGGGATTACCACTAAGGATGGGCATTTTGGGATTACCACTAGGAATGGGCATTTTGGGATTACCACTTGGGATGGGCATTTTGGGATTACCCAGGGATGGGCATTTTGGGATTACTTCTAGGGATGGGCATTTTGGGATTACCGCTAGGGATATTTTGAGATTACCACTAGGGATGGGTATTTTGGGATTACCACTAGGGATGGGCATTTTGGGATTACTTCTAGGGATGGGCATTTTGGGATTACCGCTAGGGATGGGCATTTTGAGATTACCACTAGGGATGGGTATTTTGGGATTACCACTAGGGATGGGCATTTTGGGATTACCACAATGGATGTGCATTTTTGGATTACCACTAGGGATGGGCATTTTGGGATTACCACTAGGGATGGGCTTTTTAAGATTACCACTAGGGATGGGTATTTTGGGATTATCACTAGGGATGGGCATTTTGGGATTGACGGGCGGATTTTTGCTAATGTCAATTTGGTAATGAAAATTTGGTAATGACAATTTGGTAATGACAATTTGGTAAGGTGACAGTTTGGTAACGACAATTTGGTAATGACAATTTGGTAAGCTCACAAAAGTGACAATTTGGTAATGACAAATTGGTAACGTCATAAAAGTAACAATTTGGTAATGACAAATTGGTAACTACAAAAAAGTGACAATTTGGTAATAACATTTTGGTAACTACAAAAAGTGACAATAAGTTGATAAAAGTTAAATTTAATTCAATTTAATGTTTAATAATTTGCTGTTTCTCACATTATTTAGGGTTAGGTTAGGTTAAGACAATTTCTGGGCCGAGCGCTGCGGCTAGGATGGGCTTTGGGGCCGAGCGCTGCGGTCTATTAAAAGTTTAATAATGTGCTGTTTCTCTCATTATTTTGGGTTTGGTTATGTTAAGACAATTTCTAGGCCGAAGGCTGCGGCTAGGATGGGCTAGGGGGCTGAGTGCTGCAGCATATTAAATGTTAAATAATGTGTTGTCTCTCTCAATATTTTGATTTAGGTTAGGTTAGGTTAAGACAATTTATGGGCCGAGAGCTGCGGCTAGGGTGGGCTAGGGGGCCGAGCGCTGCGGGCTATTAAATGTAAAATAATGTGCTGTTTCTCAAATTATTTTGGGTTAGGTTAGGTTAAGACAATTTCTGGGCCAAGCCCTGCGGCTAGGATGGGCTAGGGGCCAAGCACTGCATCCTTTTAAATGTTAAATGTTGATTATAAAAGGGACAGTTTGGTAATTACATATAAAAAGTAACATTAATAACTTCCTAACATTGACATACATAAAGTCCGTTCATGTTGTAGTATTTAAATCCTTCTGAATCTTGTAACATTTTCCCACCCCTAGAAGGGGTGATGAATAAGTAATTCATGATCCAAGTCTCCTCTTCTTGCAGTATATGACACAAGTGCAGGTTGAAACGTGGTTTTTAGAAAATATTGCGAATTTTACAATTATTTTTGGCGCATTTCTTTTGTGCAAAAATAAAAGATTCATAGAATCCATTATCTTCAATTGAATATAAAACTAAAAATTAAACAATTTTACATAATGTCACTTTTATTTCGTTTACCAAATTGTCACTTTTATGACGTTACCAAATTTTTATTACCAAATTGTCACTTTCTTGTTGTTACCAATTTGTCATTACTAAATTGTCACTTTTGTAAGCTTACCAAATTGTCATTACCAAATTGTCGTTACCAAATTGTCACCTTACCAAATTGTCATTACCAAATTGTCATTACCAAATTGTCATTACCAAATTGTCATTACCAAATTGTCATTACCAAATTGTCATTACCAAATTGTCATTACCAAATTGACATTACCAAAAATCCGCACATCTTTGGGATTACCACTAGGGATGGGCATTTTGGGATTTAGGGATGGGCATTTTGGGATTACCACTGTGGATGGGCATTTTGGGATTACCACCAGGGATGGGCATTTTGGGATTACCACTAGGGATGGACATTTTGGGATTACCACTAGGGATGGGCATCATTTTTTATAAACTAATTAACCTTGGTTCTAAGAAAAAAAAGGAAAAAGGTAAAATATATGTTATTTTGTTGATGTGAAAAACGAAACGTAAAACCTATATTTTCGTCAAACTTTATTGAGGTAAAATTCAGTTGCAATTTATTAAGCGAGGATTAGATTGAATTTTTATAAATATTAAAACAATCGTTTCTTTTTCATTAAGTGTAGTTACTGTTGTTATTGTAGTGGGGGGGGGNAATATTTCTGATATAATCTACCTGGTAAATATTTCTGATATAATCTACCTGGTAAATATTTCTGATATAATCTACCTGGTAAATATTTCTGATATAATCTACCTGGTAAATATTTCTGATATAATCTACCTGGTAAATATTTCTGATATAATCTACCTGGTAAATATTTCTGATATAATCTACCTGGTAAATATTTCTGATATAATCTACCTGGTAAATATTTCTGATTTAATCTACCTGGTAAATATTTCTGATATAATCTACCTGGTAAATATTTCTGATATAATCTACCTGGTAAATATTTGCTTGTTCTTTAAGAAGACGACACGTTTCTTCAAGATTAGAATTCCTTTCTCGTTCCAGCCCTAGTTCCTGAAATCAAGAGTTTAGAATTGTTCCAATCCTGGTTTCTGAAATCAAGAGTTTAGAATTGTTCCAACCCTAGTTCCTGAAGTCAAGAGTTTAGAATTGTTCCAATCCTAGTTTCTAAAATCAAGAGTTTAGAATTGTTCCAACCCTAGTTCCTGAAATCAAGAGTTTAGAATTGTTCCAATCCTAGTGCCTGATATCAAGAGTTTAGCATTGTTCCAATCCTAGTTCCTGAAATCAAGAGTTTAGAATTGTTCCAATCCTAGTTCCTGAAATCAAGAGTTTAGAATTATTCCAATCCTAGTTCCTGAAATCAAGAGTTTAGAATTGTTCCAACCCTAGTTCTTGATATCAAGAGTTTAGATCTGTTCCAATCCTAGTTCCTGAAATCAAGCTTGATTTTGATTGATCCTTTATTCAAGATCAAACTTTATAAATAATTAGGATAAATCGGATAAAAAATATTTGCTAATTTAGCTAAATTTATATTAACCTCTTTTACAAAAAGTGAAGGGTAGAAAATCTATTTGTTTACGTACTAAAATCTTATGTCTTAATTTTCATAGGTGTTTTTGGTTTTATTTTTGAGAATACTCTAAAAAGTGTTTTAGAGTATTGGTAACTTTGAATTTTAATTATTTTTTTTAAATCATGGGTGTATTTATTTTACCTGCGAACAAAGCGACAAATGTGTTACCTGTGCTATTTCAAGCCTTTCCTTTGTCATATCTGCCTTTATCTCAGCTTTCTCGATCTGGGCTTTGGCAACCTAGGAGTAGACATATATAATATAATAGCCCGGCAATGCCCGTGGAATTTTAGAAACACTTTAAAAATTCTAAATTTTGAAATAAAAACGCGTTACTGAAAATGTTATAGAGCTATAATAAATCAACGACCGTAGAACGATCGTTAATTGGTTGAAAAATTGCTCTTGAACCGTTTCATGACAATAACTATAGGATCACGTTCTAAATGATATATAGGGTTAACCACAAAGGATCAGACTTCAGAGACGACTTAACGACCTGAATTTTAAAACAATCTTCTTTCTTAAAAGTTTTGTAAATCATTATACGACTGCATACTGAAGGCAGAAAACCAAAACTAACAATTAACATTCATAATGTCATTTGGGTTTTGGGTCATCTTTGAAGGAAGCGTTTGCGAAAAATAAAAGGGGGTATAGGCTTACGGCGAAAAATAAGCGCTTTTGATTGCTACTAATCTGTTGCGCCTTTAAGGGGAAAATTGATAAAAAAACGACTTGTACTAAACACTCCCTTTAAATATTTTGATATTTTTAATAAAGTAGAAAATTTTAAATTAAAAAAAACCAGTTCAGATATTTTCTACATGTCCCAATCTATTTTAATTTATTTCTATTCAATTGAATTAATCTGAAAAGAAATAATTTTAAAAGTTTTTAAAATATTTTTCTGTATTTTAAATCTTTACAAAATCTTAAAATATCCTTTACGTGAAAAAACTCTTCGTGACGTCTTTGGAGAAAAATCTAATCTTTATTGAATAGTAAACCATAAAAACACGAATATTAAAAATTAATAATCAATAAATATGTTATGTACAGGGTTACCCACAAAAAATGAGACTTAAGACAGGACTTTACAAAATGCTTACTGTTTGTTACCGTAAATCTATGATTCCCTGCAACTGCAAAATTATTTCTTTCTTTGTCAAATCAATAAATAAGCCATTAAACGGCTCTGCTATATATAAGGCAAAAGACTTAATTTTGCATTGGAATTATTATATTTTAAGAGTTTCTGGTCGTCTTTACAGTCTCATCCTGTTTACAGGTATACAAGTCGTCTTTACAGTCTCATCCTGTATGTAAACCTGTATACAAACTAGTAGCTGAAGTCCCCGGCGTTGCACGGGGTTTAAATCATTTTTTCTTTCTAAATCGTCTGTATCATTATATGATTCAAAGTCCAAAGTCACATGACCCCAGGAAAGATTTGTAGCTGGTCAGAGAATAAACACTTTACATCAAAGAAATATCGAATAAATGAAATCTTTAAACGTTGGGCAATAGAAACATTAATATCTGCAAAATTAGTATTGCCATTATTTGAAAAAAAATACAAAAAGCTTGCAAAAAGATTTAAAACCCAGAACCTAACAAGATAAAAAAAGAAAATATTTTGATTTTTAATTTTGCCAAAAAAAATTAAATATAATCTTAAAATGATGAAAACAGGCTAGAAAATTCAAATTCGTAATGGTAGCTCCAGAATTGTACTTTTAAAGAGCATTATAAACTTTGATTGCAGTATTAAACTAATTTTAGAATAATCATAATAATGTTAAACATGAAAACTTCAACAAAATCGAAAAATTTACACAAATAAAGCGTGTCATTTCTACATATACACAGTTTTAATATCTTTCACAATTTTTTAAAGTTTATAAGAATATTTAATTGCATTTTCGGTTTCTTTAAATTTTTTAAATTCATCCTATTAAATAATTTCAAGTGACCCGGCCTTAAAAGCTTTGCTTAATCAAGTATGAATTGTATTCTTAAATTTTATTAATCAAATTTCTGAAATTTTTTTAATCTTGTATAAAATAATGCAAGAAAGTAACCAATGCCTGAAGAATATGCATGTCCAAAACTAAAATTGTCGAGAAAATTATGAGATTTGAACTCTTCTTAATTGTCATTGGTCAATTATGTAAAAGTGACCAATAGGAAGACATTCCAAAACAAGATTTTTCCAGAATTGAATTCTAAGAAACACACACCGTCACCAACCGTTTGATTTTTACGAAATTGCTGAATTGCGGATTTGCGCAAAACTCTTGTTGCGGAATTGCGCAAAACTTGAGTTTCGCAAAATCGGAATAGGGCAATTTTGCGCGAAATGACTTTTGCGAATGATTGCGCAAATTGTTGTTTTGCGAAGGAAACCCTAGCTGGAAAACAATGGATACATTCATCATTTTTGATTTGAGAAAAGTTAACAGAGCAATGTTGTGGTACGCACACTCTCAAAATAAAGGATTATGTTTAAAAAGCGTGTTCAGTCTCTTTAAACCATGAACTCTGGTGTATAGTCCCTCTAAACCATGAACTCTAGTGTACAATCTCTTTAAACCATGAACTCTGGTGTACAGTCCCTGTAAACCAGGAACTCTGGTGTACAGTCCCTTTAAACCAGGAACTCTGGTGTACAGTCCCTCTACACCATGAACTCTGGTGTACAGTCCCTTTAAACCAGGAACTCTAGTGTGCAGTCCTTTTTAACAAAGAACTCTGGTGTACAGTCCCTTTAAATCGTGAACTCTGGTGTACAGTCCCTTTAAACCGTGAACTCTGGTGTACAGTCCCTTTAGACCAAGAACTCTAGTGTACAGTCCCTTTTAACCATGAACTCTGGTGTACAGTCCCTTTAAACCAGGAATTCTAGTTTACCTGATGTTCTAGAAGTTTCATTTGAAGTTGATATTCTGTCAGCCGATGGGTTATCTTTAATAAAAAAAAATGATTTTAAACAATTATTCTATATTTTAAACAACTATTTTATATTTTAAACGATTATATTATATTTTAAACAATTATTCTATATTTTAAACAATTGTTTTATATTCTAAACTATTAATCTTTATTTTAAGCAATTATTCTGTAGTTTAAACAATTATTCTATATTTTAAACAATTATTCTATATTTTAAACTATTATTCTACATTTTAAACAATTACTCTATATTTTAAACAATGATTCTACATATGTAAAAAAGTACCGTTTTCTCTCTCTTTTCCCCCTCTTCACAGAGAATTTTCAATTTTTCGGCCATTCCAACATTTTCATCACGTAGCCTGATACAGTGAGACTCATAATAATGTGGAATAAGATGACGACATATATGCATTCTCATTAGCATTTGATGTTGGCAAAAAAATATTAATGTTAGCTTTACTATCAACTTCTTCAGTGGAATGGGTCGGTGTACTGTATGTACTGTATGTACACAACACAATTGGGTAATTTCTGACCGTAGGAGTTGTCGTAAGGCCCTAACTTAAATCTTTATACCCAAACTAATATAAATTATTAAAACTAAGTGTTAATTAGCCGCAGCGATTGGCCCCCTAGCCCATCCTAGCCGCAGAGCTCGGCCAATATATAATCCCAACCTAACCCATCATATAAAAAACATGATAAGATTGTAAATGTATAGCGGTTAAATGTGAACAAAAAGAATTCTTGTATACCTATATTGTTTCGCGGTTTATTACTTAAACCCGGCATTGCCCGTGAAAAAAAATTGAATTTTTTAACCTAAGACACCCTATTTTATTATATAGATATGTATGCATATTGTGTATTGGGGCCTATAATAGATAGAAAGAACATATCACGTGACCTAATGGTTGGATTTGATAGTTTGGGCCTTACCACTTTTTTTCGCTGTAAAGATTGAACCCACAATTTCTCTTGTTAATTGGACTATTTAAAATCATACATTGAGGTTAATAGTCGTCTTTATAAACCACAGTTTAGTGTGATCCACCCATTGTAATATTGGTTACTTACCCCCCCCCCCCCTAGAATCCTTGGGGTAATTACCAAGGATTATTTACGCCCCTGTTGTTTATAAACTAAACAATGTTGATTATTTGGGCTTACATCATTTTTGTCGCAAAACTTTAAAATATTTTATTCTTTTTTATTCTTTTTTAAATCAAAACTATTAGCTTACCTGGAATTCTGCCCAGTATGCGTTTCTAAGAAAAATATGATGAGGAATTTTTAGAAATTTTTAATTGTAGATTTGATGAGAATTCTTTCTTTGTTAAATTACCAAGGAGAGTTGAGAGGTCGTTCATAGTAGTTTGGTAAGAGGTTATACATTCAGACCTCCGGGCTGCCTCCTCCTTTACGATCATTACAATGATAATAATGATAATAATGATAATAACGATACTAATGATAATAATGATAATAATGATAATAATGATAATGTTGATACTCATAAGATAATATCATAATTGATTATAATTATTGGGATGATTATAATATTTACAATGAGATACAGTAAATGTCAAACAAGAAAGGACGAACAGTATATGTCACACAAGAAAGGACGAACAGTATATGTCACACAAGAAAGGACGAACAGTATATGTCACACAAGAAAGGACGAACAGTATATGTCACAGAAGAAAGGACGAAAGTTCTTTTCTTCCACTAATATTGAAGATAAAAATATTTCCCCAATTAAATCCAACTCCAGTGTCCGAATTTAAAGAATTTGAGCCGCGGCCTAAATTTGAGACGCGGCTCAAATATAGTTGGTTCCACCTAAAATTGTATTCAATGTTTAAAGCCGGCGCTTAATTGAAACCGGTTTTAGGCGGATTTGAGACGCGGCTCAAATCCATGAAATTTGGACTCAGGACGTATAGTTGATTCAAAGGTTTCAATGCAAACTGTCGCGCAAAAAGTGATGAGATGAAATGAATTGCCTAATAGTTCTCAAAAACTAAAGTTTAAATTAAAAAAACATTACAGTGTACATCACAAATTTAGAAGAGTAGAAGATTCTACTTTTCATTGCAGTTTAAATATATTTGGGTGATAGTTCGATGTACATGGCTGGATAATTGGACACATATTTTGATCTTTAGCATATGGATGGATCGTTTCCACTTTTTTGAAAAACGATCGTCTCGTTTTGAAAACTACGAAGAAAAAAATAATAAGTGAAAAGATTGTTTTTAAAAACGATAGTTTGAAAAAAATATCGTTTGTTAAACCTTCAACTTATGTTTGTTAACGGAACATAAAACTTCCGTTCATTACCAAACCCTCCGTTTGATAACGGAACTTTAAAATCCGGTTCGTCAATGAGTTAACGGAACTCAAACTTCCGTTTGTTAACAGAACTTACACTTCCGTTTGTTAGCGAAACTGTAAACTCTTGTTCGTTAAAGGGTAAGCGGAACTTTAAACTTCTGTTCGTTAACAGAACCTACACTTCCATTAGCTAACGAAACTTCAAACTTCCGTTCATAAACGAAACAGCACATCAAATAAAAAATGTCAAACTTGAAATTGTAAAAAAAATACATTTTGATTTAACTGTTTTACTTGTATAATATTTACCTGTAGTTTAAGATTATTCTCCTCCCTGACCAACTCAATCTGTTTCCTGTACGCTGTGTTTAACTCCTTCACTGCATCTTTAGCCTAAAATAAAATAAATTGCATTAATATCAACTGTTCACATCGAACTCGATCACGCTGTAGTGATTGTGATTTATTTTAACCAGACGCAGCCTCAAGTCAGACCGCGTCAACCTAGTTGCACCAGCTAGCCCTGCCTACAGAGTTAGGCCATTTATATTAACTCCTGCAGCACAAACTAGGACTGTAAAGGTCGGTTCAGCTCAGATTAAAATGTACATGAGTTGAGTGTACCATAATTATCATGTAAATATCGGAACCTGGGGCTAAGTAAAGGGTTTAAAGTTTTCAAAGGTCACTTAATAAGTAAATCCTTTTAAAATTAATAGTCCAGAGCTGGGAACTTTTGAATGGCGGATATAGGGATTAATGCCTGATCCACTCTTTTCTAAATCTCGAGATTAAATAAGGCTTGTTCTCCTCTTGTTATTAATCTCCAGATTAATTAACCGATCAGGATTAAGGATATTCTATTCTAAAGTGTTCAGCTCTGATGTTAAAACTTTTCAGTCTTTAAAAAAAAATTATTTTGAAATCTGAAAAATATGAAAACAACATCTGTTTCGTTTTTTGCAGGTATATTCAGGTCAAAACCGGATTGCTTTGTGGGTTTTGATTAGTTAAGCCTTTTAAAGATATTCAAAAGTAATTAACTTTAAAAAAACCAATTTTAATGTTTTAGCGCAGCTTTGAAATTCAAAAATTCCGACCCCAAAAAAAATGAACTTAAAACTATTTTATAAAGTAAAAATTATGAATTTTTAACCTGATTACTTTTGTCAATCTGTTCCTCCAACATGCCCATCTCCGTCTTCAAACTAAATAGTTTTTAAAAAAATTTAAATAATTTATTTAAAACTTATTTAGTTTTTAAATTAAACATTTTATGATAAATAGTCGAATGTAGAAGCAAGGAAATTTTCCTGCAAATCATTTCAAAATAGAGTTCTGCAAACTGCAGTTATTGTGGTTTTCTGGAAATAGAGTTCTGCAACCTGCAGTTATTGTGGTTTCTGGAAATAGAGTTCTGCAAACTGCAGTTATTGTGGTTTTCTTGAAATATTTTTACTCGAACAAACATGCATTTCATAGTTAGTTAGGTTAGGGGTGACCATGATAGGAAGATGACCAGGGGAAAAAATCAGAAAAACAAAAATGTTAAAAAGTGTGACGCAAGAATGAGATCAAGAACTGTTTGCAAACATGTGAGCAGAGAGAAGGCAACCCTGACAAATTGTGTATCATCTGTTTTATTTTATGAAATTGTTAGAAATAATTGGGAAAAGTTTTGGAAAATTATATTTAAAGAAAGTGTGGGAACGTTGTCTGAAGGAGTAGTTATAATAGTTAGAAAGTAATCAATGTAGAAATGTGGAAAAATAATCACTCTTAAAAAAACAACACCAAAAAAATGTTCTAAAACGCGTCGAAGATATGAATTCCTGATATGTGAGATAATGGAAAACCTTGAATTGTTTCGAAAATAGTATAGGTTTTATTATTGAAAATAAACGATTACTCAAAGTTTAACTTTAGAAAAAAGTAAATAGTGTTATTAGAAGTTATCGTTGTTCCTAATAATAGTTTCTTTATTGATATTTGCTCTCGGCACAGAAGAGGTTGCTAAAACGTTGATCATAATAGTTGTGCACAAACCTGACACTCAGTGTCAGGTTTGGAACATAAACGTGGTTTGTAACTTTCTCCTGCAGTTAGCGCAAAAAGTGATGAGATGAAATGAATTGCCTAATAGTTCTCAAAAACTAAAGTTTAAATTAAAAAAACAAATGACTTTTGCGAATGATTGCGCAAATTGTTGTTTTGCGAAGGAAACCCTAGCTGGAAAACAATGGATACATTCATCATTTTTGATTTGAGAATGTTAATTGAACAGAACGAACAATTTGCCTCAAACTATAAGTTTATATTTTCTTTAATATTGCAACAATATGGAGTTTTATATATATCTTTTATAAATTGTTAATCAGAACAGAGTTTGTAATTTAGAATATCAAAAATTTACACCATTGGGTCGCAAAGATATAGGGAACCGAAAACTAAAGTTTGTGACAAGTAATCAATTCATTTAAGTCTATAGAAAGTGTTATGGGGGAGCCACAATCTAAAAACATGAAGGTGTGCGAAGCTAATTTTTAGATCAATTCATTAAATTTAACGTTAATATCAGCATTTTAAAATGACTTTATGTGAAATTTAAATTCTTAGGATGAATTCATTAATTTACCTTATTCAGAATTCCTGCTACAGTTTTCACTTTCTGTTCAACGGCACTTGCGATTTCATTTTCATTTTCATCTACCTTCTCTTCCTTTTCAACAGGAGCATTTTCATCTACCTTTTCTTCCTTTTCAACAGGAGCATCAGATTCAATTTTAGGCGGATTTTCTGCCACATTTACTGGAATATTTTCTGTGCCATTTACTGGAACATTTTCTGCTTCATTTACTTGGGCAATATCTGTGTTGGCGTTAGCTGGAATATTTTCTGTGCTATTAACTGGAACATTTTCTGTGCCATTTAATGGAGTATTTTCTGTGCCATTTACTGGAACATTTTCTGTGCCATTTACTGGAACATTTTCAGTGCTATTAACTGGAACATTTTCTGTGCCATTTACTGGAACATTTTCTGTGCCATTAATTGGGACATTTTTTTCTCCATTTACTTGAACAATATCTGTGCCGGCGTCTGCTGGAGCTTTTTCTGTGCCATTTGCTGAACCATTTTCTGTGCTATTAACTGGAACAGTTTCTGCAACTTTTTGTACTTCGATGTCAGTAGTTTTTTCTAGTTCATTCTTTGCATTTTTCTTGCCATTTTCTTGAGATTTTTTTCCTTGTTTTCCTTTTTTATTGTGGGTTTTCTCCATTTTGAAATTTAATTTCTGAAAAATTATATTATGCAATTTTTATTTATTTTTACACGCAATGAAATATTTTGTTTGCGTCTTTGTTTATTTAAATGTGAAACGAATAAAAATGAAGCATTTGAAAGTGATATTAAATCAAAAGCTGCAAAGCGCGAAAAGTGAAATCCCGCTTTCCCATGCTAGGTTTGTTTTTTTCCGTTCTGCTCTAGAGAAAAAATTTCCCAGTAACAGAAAGACAAGCAAAATTTTTGTGTAAATATATGTAATTGTTAATTATTGGTTTATACTCACTAAACTTTTAACCAAGACCTCTAGTTTACTGTGAAAGGGAACCTCAATTCTATTTAAACCATTTAAATTCCACTAGACCTTGACATATATCTCCACTATAACTGGACATATATATCTCCACTATAACCATATATATATATGTGTGTGTATATATATCTACAATAACCGGACATATATATATCTCCACTATAACCGGATATATATATATATATATCCACTATAACCGGATATATATATATCTCCACTATAACCCGACATATATATATCCACTATAACCCGACGTATATATCTCCACTATAACCGGGCATATATAAATCCACTTTAACCGGACATATATATCTCCACTATAACCGGACATATTATGTCTCTACTATAACTAGACATATATATATCTCCACTATAACTAGACATATATATATCTCTACTATAACCGGACCGGACATATATATCTCCACTATAACCGGACACATATATATCCTCTAAAACCGGACATATATATCTCCACTATAACCGGACATATATATATATCTACTATAACCGGACATATATATATCTCCACTATAACCGGACATATATATATATCTCCACTATAACCGGACATATATATATATATATCTACTATAACCGGACATATATCTCTCCACAATAAACTGGACACTGTATAATCCCGCTCGTATGTTTATATATAGGATTCTACTCCTTTTACTCAAAACTTTCTCCAGGGGGAAAGTCCTATATGTGTGTATTTAAATTCCCCCAGCTTTCCTACATGTGGCGCCCCCTCCCCCTCCCCTCCTCCCCTACAACTATTCCCCTATTCTAGCAAATTCTCAGCAGGTTTAGCTTTCAGTCTGAAAATACAAAAAGCTTGCTAAAACTTGCTTAAGAGCTTGCTGAAAACTTGCTAACAACTTCCTAATAGCTTTCTAAAATTTGCTAAAGCTTGCTTAAAACTTGCTAACAACTTCCTAATAGCTTTCTAAAATTTGCTAAAGCTTGCTAAAAGCTTGCTGAAAACTTGCTAACAACTTTCTAATAGCTTTCTAAAATTTGCTAAAGCTTGCTAAAAAACTTGCTACAAGCTTGATAAATAATTGCTAAAAGCATGCTAAGGCTTGCTAAAACTTGTTAAAAGCTTGCTAAAAGCTTGATAAAAGCATGCTTAAAGCTTGCTGAAAACTTGCTACAAGCTTGCTAAAAAATTGATAAAATCTGCTATAAATTGATAACAACCTGCGGATAAGCTTGATAAAGCTTACTAAAAGTTGTCTACAGCTTGCTAAAAACTTGCTGTAAGCTAGCTTAAAGCTTACTAAAAGTTTGCAAAAGCCTGCTTAAAATTTATTGCAGGTTCCTAAAAACTTACTGAAAGCTTGATAACTAATTGCTAAAAGCTTGCCATAAGTTGCTAAAACTTGTTAAAAGCAAGCTAAAAGCTTGATAAAAGCATGCTAATAGCTTGCTAAAAGTTGGTCAAATCTTGCTAAAATCTTGATAAAAGCTTGCTGAACGCTTGCTAAAAGCTTGCAACAACTTAATAAAAACATGCTAAAAGCTTGATAAAACCTTGATAAAGCTTCCTAAAATTTACAAAAGCTTTCTAAATGCTTGTTAAAAAATTCCTGAAAGCTTGCTTAAAAATTTTTGTAAAGCTTGCTAAAAGTTTGCTATTCCTTTCTAAAACTTGATAAAAGTATTTTTTTTTATCTTATATTAAGGTTATTAATTCTTTTAATCCTATTTACCCTGGGGGGGGGGGGGTCAAATGTCATTTTTTTTGCGATAACTCCAAAAGTATTTAACACATGCTCATCACTTAAGGCTAAAAGCTTGGCTTTTATACCTTTTGCCTGAGCATTTAGGCATACTGCCTAAATGCCTTATTTTACCTATCCCAGACTAAATCTATATTTAGACTTACTTCCAGTCATTGGATTTTAACATTTTACAGCTCTTTGGAAAGCCTATAACAAAAGCACCAGATCGGACAATTTTTGCAAATAAATTTTGCACAGACTTTAGCAGAGACGCCCTTACAGAGAATATGCACATTTTCAGTTTTACTTGAATACACATTACACATTTAGGTTTTAAAAATTATGCAAATGTTTTTGCACATTTGAATTCGCTGTGCCAAGGGCTTTTTAAAAATGTATAATTTTTTCAATTTGCGGTATTTTGTTTGCACATTCTTTGCTTTATAAATTGATTTCGCAATAAATATTTGGATTTTTGAAAATTGGTCATTTTTTGCAGATTATTGAAGTAGAGACCAAGGGCTTTCCAAAAACGTATCAAATACTATAGATTTGTTTCACGATAAGAAAAATGAGGGGGGTCAATTTGACCCCCCCCCCCCCATTTACATATATTTTGCCGTTTTTCCACTAAAATTCTATTTTAGTTTTTATCGCTGCTACAGATCCACAGAAAGTCACATGTAACATAAAATCACAATTTAATAATATTTAGACAAATTAATAACAATCATATCAACATCATTCTTTCACAGTCAAAGGCTAAAAAAGGGTAGATACTTAATCAGTTTAAAAAAAGACTCGGATAACTTAGAATTACGCTTACACTCCCTTTAATGGGAGGGGGTAACTTGGAATTACGCTTACACTCCCTTTAATGGGAGGGGGTAACTTAGAATTACGCTTACACTCCCTTTAATGGAAGGGGGTATCTTAGAATTACGCTTACACTCCCTTTAATGGGAGGGGGTATCTTAGAATTACGCTTACACTCCCTTTAATGGAAGGGGGTATCTTAGAATTACGTTTACACTCCCTTTACTGGGATTGGGTTACTTAGAATTACGTTTACACTCCCTTTAATGGGAGGGGGTAACTTAGAATTACGTTTACACTCCCTTTAATGTGTGTTCTATGTTGTGGGTTGTGCAATGGTTTCTCAAATTACCATCTTAAACTAGGAAATAAATGCTCGCCAAACATTAAAGTAGAACCTTACTAACATAAGCCAAAGATCAGGGAGAAATATATATATATGTGTATATCTATGCATAAATTTAGCTTGTCTGGGTGTCTGTTTTGTTTGTTTGTATCCAATAAACGTCAAAACGGCTGAACCGAGATCGGGCCCAAATTTTGTGTGGGACCTCACGTGACCTCCAGGGAAGGTTTATGAAAGATTAAAATTTTAAAAATTTGTGTTTAAAAGTTTTTTATTTTTGTAAAATTGTGAAAATGCGCGAAAAAATATTATGAAATCCGCGAACTTTTTAAAAAAACATTTATACTGAACAAAGAGAAGATGCTCGCAGATAAAGCCACAATTAAAAGTTGAAATAGAAGATGGGCGCGAAGCGCCCTAAAAGCCTAGATTTTATATATATATGCACACAAATAAATAATTATTGAATGAGTTCAGCAAATTTTCTAGTGTTTTAAAAAAATTATATAAAATATAACTTCGTATGATTTGATCTTAACTTTTAAGTAGTTGATTTTTCTGAAAGCCTTGTGTACATTTGAAATAATAATACATTATTTCGCACATTTTCCTATTTCCATAGGTAATTTTTTTTAATTGTTTTAGACAAATTTGTATCATCCCCCCAATATCGGTTCAGTTCAGCTTTTTGTGGCAACAGACATAATCCCAGGGAAGGTTAAAGTAAACAGCCTGATATTTTTAACCTGAAAAAAATCTCGACATTTATGAGTTTTGATAATTTGCCATATTAGATCCGAGAAATTTAGTTTTTATATAAACAAGTGAAAAGCTACAGTTACAAAGTTAAGCGCCGCTGCTTTGGTCAATACTCAATAATAATAAAAAAATTTTAGCCGCAATAGCATAACACCTATTTTTAATCTGATCAATGCAAGAGGACTATATGGAATGGGAAAAACGTGTGTCCATGTTCAAATTAAAATGTTTAAAATTGTGGAAGTCATAGTTTATTCAAGTAAACAATAAATGTAAAATATTCAAACAATAAGCAATATGAACAACATAAAACCTAGTCAAATGTTTTATGACACTTATATTATTTCGGCAAAGTCATAAACAAGTCTTTTAAATACAGGAGGTCCCAAATAAACATTCGAATTGGGTCATAACTTAAAATGTTTTCAAATTACTTTTGGAACATAGCATTGATAAAAATAACAGACATTTTTTTGAAAATTTTAGAACTTGTTGTCATAAAAACTTTTTAAAAAATTGCTTATGTTATAAAATAGCGTTAAAATTCAGCCTTTAATAAATCTTTTCTCGAATACTTGTCAAAATAATGCAAAATTAATTTATTTTGATAGGATGGGAGGGCAATGAGCTCTGAGATTGGAAAGATCCTCGGTATCATAATTGATTTTCAACAATTGGCTCATCCCATTAAAAATATTTTTTGATGACAATAATATGTGACACGTTGATTCGTTTCTGCTTTCAAAGCTTCACAACAAATCAATTTTGATGTATTTATATAAACTATAAAGGAATCGAGTCTTTGTCACAAACTCATATTTTCTAATCCCTATAACTATGGAACTTGATGTTGTAGACTTTTGATATTTCTAACTAAGATAATTTGATGCAACAGAATTCATAGTTTGAAATATCTAAGGTCTACGACAATGGGTTGCAGAGATATAGGAATTAGAAAATCAGAGTTTGTGTCAAAGACTCAATTCATTTAAAAAAGTTTTCTTTTTTTTTCTTGGAAAAGTAAGAATGAATATGAACAATTATGTATAAAAAATTATCCAGACAAAAAAAACAGCAATAAGTAAATTCTGTGGAAAATTAAAGCTCTTTGACGTTCAGCATTTAATACAATTAATCTTTCTTTTTATATATTTATAAAATATGCTTGTTTGCCAGTGAGAGAAAAAGGCGAACAAATCTCTAAAGCTAGAAGTTTTGTTTCAATCATGGCCTTCAGTCACCATTTTTGCAAACAAATCTACCAAGGAATCAGCAGAAATCCACGAAATGTGGATCAGTTAATTTTCAGATCTAAACGTTTCAGAAAGATAAGATAAGCACATAACATTCGAAAATCTAAAATTTTAAGGGTTAATAAATAAATGTGTGCAAATATAAAATATATTTGAAAAATTTTAGATCCATAAGACTGATACATTTTGCACAGCTACACACAGGTCTGCCGCTTCAGTATTTGAAAATTGGCGGTATAGTCCAATCAAGAACTCCAAAGATTGGCCCAGCTCGGATATTCTTTTACTTTTATGTACTGTAAGTTATACTAAATCACAGCTTTATAATTATAAACAATGTCTAAAATTTTGGGGTTCTGATAAAAACACCTTTTGTTTGATTAAAAGAGAATCTTCTGTTGAAGAAACTTGACAGTGCTGCGGTATCCCGGTACGTGAGCTAAATTCTAATTTATACAGGAAGTAAACAGGGTTACGCACAAAGAATGATACTCTAGAGACGACTGTACAAAATGTATATTTTCTGTTTCCTTATATAGTTCGTTTTAACTGTAAACTTGTTTCTTTATTTTCCTCAAATCATTTTCAAGCCATCAGACTAAACGAGTTTCAGGTCGTCTATACTGTCTCATTCTTTGTGGGGAACCATGTATATTTTTGCACAAATTTGCTTTCCAATTTCGAAAAATTTTGCACTAAACTTCGCAGTTTTTGAACAAATTGTACGGGGAGGCAAACCCAATTCGGTTTTAATATTTCCGCGCACATGCGCGAAAATATAATTACAATTTTAGCAATATTTCTAGTATTCTGTCTATCATATTATATATTTAAGAATTTTCGGATAATTTGGTCAAATGCGGTTAAAATTCTTTCTTAATATTGCGGGCTGGGGCAACACAAAACATTAATCTTTTGTTTATTATATTTAAAGACAACATTTATTTTTATATAATTTACATCAATGTACTGTGTAATATACACAATTACAAAACTTATACAAAACTTATATACATACACCATGTTTTTGAAAGATAGAAAAAACGAAAGTTTAATTTGATTCCGTTCATCACACAATTTGTTTGAATACAATAAAACTTTATTAAATTGAGCAATTTGTTTGCGGCAAATAAAGCTAAATAAGAATAATAAGTTAAACATAACAATATCTGAAAGGAGTGTTAATATCGTTTAAGCTAGTTACGGCCCTATACCTACAGATACGTCTCCTCCGTCTAAAATACCCATATTAATCCAAATCTACAAATAAATTTTATTTAACATAAAAATTTGAAAACAAAAATTGCGCAAAATATGATAAATTTTTTTAAGGCAAATTTAAAAAGCCCTTGGGCTCTACTTTAATAATCTGCGAATCGAAGAGGTTTGTATTTTGCAAAAAAAGTTTAAAAAACAAAAGTTGTGCGCAATATGATAAAGTTTTTAAAGCACTTGGCCCAGCAAAATTTAAAAAGGCATGCAAATTTTCAAAATCAAAATGAGAAAATTTAAAACAAGCAAATTCACTTTATACAACAGTTATTAAAGCCCAGCTTTTAGCCCGAAGTGAGAATCTTTTGTCAGCAAGTCAGACCAATTCTTTTTGACTTTTCTCCTGGATACTATACTAGAAGGTCCCCCCACCACCCCAGTAGGAATAGGGTTAAGCACCCGAAAAATTTGCATTTCGACAAATACAATTAGTTGAACTTTTCCGTTAGATACTAATTTCTGCAAACTCATCTTTTTTTATCTGAGAAAAAGTATTTTTTTCCAAAACAAAAAAGAATTCTTAAAAATTTGTCGCGGAATCTGAGATAAAAAATAAACAATTTACTGTACATATATAATAATACTCCATAGTTACACAAGTTACATTAGCCATAAAATGGAAAAAAACGATTGTACACACTTTTTATAATTTTAAATTACAAGTTTTTAAAGAAAAATCTTTACAATAAAAATATGCAAAAACTTGTTTTTATATTATTTACAAAATGTTTTGATTTCTATTATGATTCGTTTTGTGTTGGCACAGGTCTATAAATCATATCATTTTTTAACCTGATATCATATATAATATTGGACTTGATCCATAATAATACAGTCTTGTATAATATAAAAGCGACTGTACACAAAATCTAAAAATTTGTAGACTTTTATTAAAAAGGGACATTAAAAATCCTCAACGTTTCTGTCGAATGAGGGGAGGAAGGCCAGCCATAACAATTTCTCGTCCGAGCCACATTCTCCTCATTTCCTCGTCCGAGCCACCTCGGAATCCTCGTCCTTCGATTATGTTGTGTTAAAAAGTTAAAACTATTTTTTACAAATCTGGCCACGTTAGGGCATAAAATATGGATAGACTAAAGCATTTCAATCTCTTCTATGGTTTTCACTATAGTTAACAAAAGTTTTATAAACTGGGAATTATTTGCGGCATTCTACACAAAGAATATCTGCGTAAAAAATGTGAACAATTTTAAAGACATTAAACTTGAAATCTTTCATTCAATTGAAACTTTTTTTTCGATTTACAAAAATTTGATATTTCATTGTTGCCCTAACGTGGCTTGATTCTTTAAAAATAATTTTACCTGGAAGGATTAGACACTTAAAAAAATAAAATTGAAAGGACGAGAATTTCGAGGTGGCTCGGACGAGAAAATGAGGAGAATGTGGCTTGGACGGGAATCTGTTGTGGTTGGCCTTCCTTCCCTCGTTGAATATTTATCAGAGAATGAAACAAGTTTTTCTGAATAAAAATGGCAACCTTTTTTAATTAAAAAATGAAATATTTTAGCTCAAATTAACACATTATTATTAAAAAAAACTTATTCTTGTTTTATTCAAAGTGAACCCTACGACAAAGGTTTTCAAAGATATATGGACAAGAACATCATAATTGGTGGCAAAAACTAAATTCCTTGTCATATTTGATAAAAGTCGTTTTCATAAAACCGTAAACTTAATTTCGAGTGATCCTCATTGCAATAAAGAGGCTTATTCTATTCACATCTGTATCAGGTATTATATTTATGACAAACGCACGTTTTGTTTTGAAAACTGATTTTTTTACACAAGTGATTTGAGCATTGTACATTTCTTGATTTGGAAACAATGGATAAAGTAAAGAACTAAATAGTTTCTAAGGTATGAAAACAATTGAGAAAGTAAAAAACTAAATAGTTTCTAAGGTATGAAAACAATGGATAAAGTAAAGAACTCATTAGTTTCTAAGGTATGAAAACAATTGAGAAAGTAAAGAACTAAATAGTTTCTAAGGTATGAAAACAATGGATAAAGTAATGCACTAAATAGTTTCTAAGGTATGAAAACAATGGATAAAGTAATGCACTAAATAGTTTCTAAGGTATGAAAACAATGGATAAAGTAATGCACTAAATAGTTTCTAAGGTATGAAAACAATGGATAAAGTAATGCACTAAATAGTTTCTAAGGTATAAAAACAATGGATAAAGTAATGCACTAAATAGTTTCTAAGGTATGAAAACAATGGATAAAGTAAAGAACTAAATAGTTGCTAAGGTATGAAAACAATTGATAAAGTAAAAGTAAAAAAGTAAAAATTAACTTAAAGTGCTCTATTTTGTGCGTATCCATGGTAATCTAAATGTTATTGTTTCTTTTCGATGGTGTTATGTTGTGCGGTAAAAACTGATGTAGAGAATAGAATGGGGTGAAATTAAACTAAATTGAGAGGCGACTGCTACTGAATTTAGATTTTACAGAACCTCTCTTGGCTCCAGATCCAGCTTTACTTCTGAAAGAATAAATATTTTTTCCAAGCTTTCGATCAATTTAAATCATACAGTGATACACAGAAAACATTGAAATGAAAGATTTTTTCTACTTTGTTTTATTTGTGACAACTCATATGACCCCAGAAAGAATTTGCACAGGAAATGTACATTATTACAATTTTCGAAAATCCATCAATTTGAACAAAAATCCGTGTAAGTTTTCTTAATTTGTGCCGGATGAAAAATAGCGGCTTAAAAGCAGTTCAAATCTACAGGTGCAAAGTAGGCAGACTACGTTTTATAAATACAAATAAATAAATAAATGTATATAATCTGAATTTATCCCAAGTATGATTAGATTAACGAACGTATTTTAAAGTCGTCTTCCAATTTTCCTGCTTTGTGGGACACCTCATGAAGAAAACATCACTTATAAAAAAGGAAATGAAGGCAAAAAAGTGGACATATTTAAGTCTGCGAATGAAATATTGACAGTTTTATATTTAACTTTATCCAGCGTTCTATATTCATTGTATAATAGTTTTCGATTTATTTTCAAATATTCACAGAAAAAACAAGTTATCAACGGATAAATAGCATTTTGTTTAAATTTTATCTATTTTAAATTCCAAATGCGAAGAAATAAATAAATTGCGTTGTTTTTCCTGTTTTATTCAAGAATTGACAACCAATTATAGATATAGAGACAAAAATTTTAGAATTCTTCTTTTGTAAAACCATCGCAGAAAAACAAAATAGTCATTCTCAACAAGAAAGGTTTTATAAGATTAACTTCGCATGTAAAAGAATATATTTAAATATTAAATCTTCATTTCTTTTGTTTAAATATATTTTATGATTTTGATATTTCTACTCCTTATTCTTAAAATTGAGACTGTATTTTTAATGAGATAAAAATCAATAGAAGAGAAGAAAAAAAGGGGTTGATATCAAATTGAAGTCAACATCGATCCCCACTAATTTTAGTATTATCAGTTAATTGCGAATAGAAGAAGAAAATGGATGAAAACGTCTTGTACCCAAGAGCCTCCCTAAACTAAGCTTTCCGTGTGTATTACAGTACACTGACCGAAGAAACAGTAGAGTTTAGTGGAGAGTGGAGCATCCATATTCCACTCAAATCGTAAATAATTAATTTTTTAACATTTCAATGGACGTTGCGTTTTAGGGTTTGACGTTTTTAAATGGCTTTAACGGTTTTCCGTATTGACAGTTTGGGTGAAAAACTATTTTAGGTCGTAAAAAGGAAGAAAAATTTTTAATTTATATACCTGGAGCTGGAGTGTCTTTGTAAAGTTTGAGTGTTGAGTCCTATAGTTTGTTGACTATGTCCTAAATAGCTGCTCTGCTCTCTAAAATATAAAAAAATAGTTATTGCGACAAACTTTGATTTTCTCAGCTCTATATCTAGGCAACCCGTGGCCGAATTTAAAGAATTTGAGCGGCGGTTTAAATTTAAGCCGCGGTTTAAATATGGTTGGTTCCACTTAAAATTGTATCAAATGTTTCAAGATTTAAGCCGGCGCTAAATTTAAACCGGGTTTTGGCGGATTTAAACCGTTGCTCAAATTCTTTAAATTCCCTCTCTGGTGTCATAAACCTTAAATATTTAGAGCGGCGGTGAATTTTGTTTGATCAAATTATCAAAGTTTGAAATTTCAAACCTTTACACAAAGATATAGGGATTTTAAAAAATGAGTTAAAACGGTAAAGACTTTATTCTTATAAAAAGAAAAAAATATCAAGAATGTTTTATATTTTCCTAAATATCTTTTATTGTTAAAACTTGGGATTGTAAAAATATTCCAATTCTTTTAAACGCAATATTTGTACAAAATTGTTGATATTTGACATATTTACGAAATATGAAAAATGAGAGCAAACAATCAATTCTAGTTTAACATATTTAGCAAACATTGCTTTTATAAAGTTCATAGTATACAGTCCTTTTATATTTCTCATCCCNCCCCCCTATTCTTTTACATGATCAAGAGTTCATTAAATTAATAAAATCTTTGAAAACCTTTTCCTTTGAATTATTTTTATAGAACCACCAACTTTTACAATTCCATTGAGAGACGACCCTAGGACAAATATTTGCCCGAATTCTTAAAATAGATTGAATTAACTATTATACACTTCTAATTAGACCTGAAAACAGCCATCAATTAAAAAATATAAAACTTATTTTGTTCCATTTATAATGATATTTTAATTATTGAGAAATATAGGTTTCTTATGTAAACAATACTTTGAAAAGTTCTCCATACTATGTGTTTTTAAAGCTAATTTAAATTATTTTCAGGGGCCTAATAGCTCCTGAATTCAATAAAAAAAAAACCTGAGAATTTGGACACTTATAATTTGAAATTCAAGGCTCAAAATTAAAACAATGTTTTTTTTGAAATGTTACAAAATCTTAGGATTGATTTATCTATATTTTATGTGAAATCATTTCCTTAAATTTTATGATTGATTTATCTATATTTTATGTGAAATCATTCCTTTAAATTTTATGATTGATTTATCTATATTTTATGTAAAACCATTTCCTTAAATTTTATGATTGATTTATCTATATTTTATGTGAAACCATTCCCTTAAATTTTATGATTTATCTATATTTTATGTAAAACCATTCCCTTAAATTTTATGATTTATCTATATTTTATGTAAAACCATTCCCTTAAATTTTATGATTGTTTTATCTATATTTTATGTTAAACCATTTCCTTACATTTTATGATTGATTTATCTATATTTTATGTAAAACCATTCCCTTAAATTTTATGATTGATTTATCTATATTTTATGTTGCACGGATATCCCCTCTTGCCCTCCTGTTATGTATGAAAACAAAATTTGAATTGCAAAAACTTATGATGTACAAAAAAGGGGTAAAATGGGTTCTAAAGTTAAAACTGACTGAACTTTTAATTAGGACCTCTAGCTTACTGTCCCCCCCCCCTTCCTGCTGTTTATGAATATCACCTTTCACTCCTCCTCCTGCCTATCCCTGTATGTACAAATATCTCACCAAACCTGTAATGTCCTCAGCTGTTATGTACAAATATCCCCCCCCCCCTGTATAAACAAGATAGTTCCATTAATATTTGGACAAGTTGATTACAAGTTTCTAACTTGTTTATTTTTACAATATAATTATCTAAAGAACATGCAGATTGTATATTTTGCTTAAGAGCGGAACAGGGATGGAATGTTTCTTAGACTAAGAACACCAAAGACAGAACAGAACTGGATGGATGGTTCTTTGACTACCAACACCAAGAACGGAACAAGGAAGGAGAACAGAACCATCTAGCTGAAGGCCCTTATTCTAGAACGAAACGGAACGATTTTAAAACAGTCGGAATAAACCCAGCCCTATTCACGCCATTAACACCGTTAATATTGTAATAGACCTTTAAGGACTGTGCCGTTAATGACTTCATTTACTGTTAACAGTTATTGAAAATTTTCCGTTAAATGCCGTTAGTAAAATTGAGATCATTAACTAATGGTAATTTTTTTTATAAACGGAAAATACCACTTACTTTAGGAAGTTTCCTTCTAACACTTTAAAAATAACAGCTAACTTAGATTTTATTTTAAAACGGTTGGAACTAACCATTAACGAAGTGGCTTGAAAAAGTTGGAAGGTGTCCAGCCCCTTGGTGTATGTTATGTGAGGGTATGGATCATTTCCACATTTTGAAGAACGAAACAATCGTTTTGAAAATGATGAAGAAAAAAAGAAGCGATCATTTTTGAAAATAATCTAATTTTATAAAAAAAAATATTGTTTTAAAAACATTCGTTTTAAAAAACTGTTGTTTTTCGTTTTTTAGAAAATTATTGTTTTTAAAACAATGGTTCCTTTACGACCATTAACAACATCCCTTCGTTAACGACCATTAATGTTGACCCTTTGATAATTACCCTTAACAACGACCCTTCTTTGACAATCATTAACGACCATTTAAAGAGAAAATACATTCAGGTTAATTGTTTTTGGTACAAAAACATTCATAACCTTATCTTCCCTAAAAAAGATTAAATTAACTGTCATAAAATTCAAAAACTATAGGTTTTTGTTTCTTGAAAATTCAAAATGATTGGTTCATTAAAAAAAAAACTCTCTGAATGGGCTTATTCCAAAAGAATGGTCCAAACCACATGTATTTTTTATAATTAAGATAACTAGCCCCCCAAAAGAAATGATTTTCCCAAATTTCAAAAGCATAAGTTTTTATTGACTATATTTCTCATGGTTATCACCTTTTTTTAAAGATGGTTCTCCAGATTACCAAACTGGCATATTTTGGAAAACGTTGGTAGAATTGAAATTGAGATAAAATTTAAAAGTAACACAACATTGGGCCACATAATTGAACTTTTAAAATAAATATTTTTATTGAGAAAATTTTTAATTTTCTAAAAAATCGGTTCTGCACTAACCTGAGTGACCAATCTAGGACAGGATCTGTAGAAGAATACAAGTAAAAATGTCCTTCAGGAGTTATGATACGAGGATGGGATCTAAAAATGTAAGGTGCGTGCTAGAAAAAATGCATAAGTTTTATTTCCTGGATGGATTCTAACATAGAAAAAACTGCTTCTGTTTGTAAAAAAAGCCAAGATTAATTCAGCCAATTAAGAAAAATGTCACTAAAATTTGTGAGGGAAGACAACAATAATGATATTATCATTCCAATAACCTTTTGGAGGAATGCTATGGTGTCCTCCTTGCTAAATTTAAATTTAAAAAATGAAATTATTAATTCAATAAAATGAATTCCCTACCTGGCTAAATCACTGGTTCCGTGACTATATGCGATGATGTGCGGCGGATTATTGTTGAGCTGATGTGTAGAAAAGGTGGTTTGGTAAAGTTGGGGCGGAGAATATAGTGTTATGGGTGGATGTTCACTAAAGGATTGACTATCTGGCGGATTGTGCAAAGTTAGCAAAGGATTGTGCAGAATATGAGGTCGGCTTTGGTTCTGAGCATCCAAATGAGCCTGTTTTCACAAGGGTAAATATTTTAGGGAAATTATTTACACCTTTATTTAGATAATGGAATTTTTGGTTAACACTATTCCTGCTTGGAGGTGGGGGGGGGGGACAATTTGACCAGTCTGGGAAGAAAAAAAATTCTAAAATAGCCCATAACTTTTAGTGACTAAAGCTACAGATCTAAAAGCTATATATTTGAAAAGCCCTTGGAAAAATTAATGTAGAAACATGTGACACACTTTTATATTTGCTTAAAACAAAACATAACTATTTGTTAACATTTTTTTTGACATTTTTTTAATTCTCCCAAGCAACCAACCATTAATGTTATCGGTCTCATTTCTTTTAATGAGCTTTTCTTGAAAGATTGGGCTATGAGCATGCATTTCAACCCTATACCTATTCTCTATAATGGCCTTTTTCTAGAGGGGGTGTGGGATGCCCCCCACCCCAGGCTATACATAGATTCAACTAATTCTGCTAACTTTTATGTTCATTTTTAGAGTTAAACATAAAACTGTAAGAAGTTTTCTTGGGCCGTCAATAATAAAGGCATTTAAAACATTGTTGTCCGAAATTGAGGCAAGCCTCTTTAGGTGCATCACCATTCTTTCCAGCTTGACAAACCTGTAGGTGGTCATAGATGACCTGTTCCAGAACAAAAGCCTTCGGAGTAATGACTTTTGCAATATTTTACTCAGATCGTAAATAATTCAATTTAATCTAATACTTACCATTCATAATCTATTATTATCAAATTTAATTTGATGCATTCATATATATTTGATATTTCATAATATTTTTAATTTGTTTAATCTACGATGTACTTTAAAAGATGATTGTTTTGGTCACTATAGGGTTCGGTGGCACCCATATAATCGTTATTTAAAGTTTATTATATAAGAAACAAATAAAAATATTATTGAATATTAAATTTCTATAAGTGCAATTTTTATTGTCCTTAGAGCATAAGAACTAATTTACAGCTCCCAAGATTTTGAGAGGGGAAGGGGGAGTTCTTGAAAATATATACCCTTGCCTGCTGATGCAGTGGGTGATGAACTAGATCATATTGAGGATGAAGAGGATGATGAACAAGGTTGGCCGGGTATTGTATTGAGAATGCTGGTTGATTGATCATGTATGCAGGGTTGGATGAAGATGGATATTCAGATGTATCTCTAACTATGGCAGGAGCTGTTTCAGTTTCTCCATTAAAGTTGATCGGATGCAATCTTACAGATCTCATATCATGAACTATATACCATCCATACATTCAAATATAAATAGATAATGCTAGATTTTTAATGAGATAAAATTTAGTTTTTTACTTAAAATTCAACCTCTTTTTTTCCAATTCCTCAAACTCCAATTTCTAATCCCTATGACTTTTCAATCTCGAAGTGTGAACTTTAGAACTTTGGCAATTTTACCTTGCAGAACTCATGGATTAGAATATAAAAGATAAAAAGGACTAGAAATTAGCATTTGATAAGCTTATTTTGTGAACATTTGTAAATTACGAATTTGTTTTGGTTTCATGGACAAGAAGGCAGGGCGAAAAAAAATTCCTTTCCATTTAGAAATTTAAAAAATAAAATTAGTTTAGCATATGTTACCCCCCCCCTCCCCAGGGTATGACAATGGGTTCCCTCAACAAACTACAGCCCATTTACTCCAGCCGTTTGGCCCGATGTAGCTAACATAAACATATATGTATATATATGCTAAAGAATGTCAAACATGAAACACAGTGTCCAGCAATAAGCTATAATAAATAAATAATAAAAAATGTTCTGAACTTATTTTAAGAAGATATATATATATATATATATATACGAGGGAAGAGGTTTATCATATATCAAAGGAATTTTACCAAATTGTGTAACAACATGAAAAAATGTGTTTTCTTCAGATATTAAAAATAATAAAATGTGTCGGAAGTTTGGACAAAGTTACAATTCTGAAAATATTTTAACTAAAATTAGATTCATTCTTTGGATGCCAAAGTTACCGCTCTCATAAATATTATTTTCTAAACATAGAACGGAGTAAAGTTAAATCCAAAACTTTTTCGGGAAAAAATGTTAAAGATGTTGATTAATGTTGATTAAGATTTTAACTTATCGTCAATATCAACTAGGGTTTCCAACGCAAATACCAGACCTGTAATTTCGCGTTCCGCGCAATTCATCGCAAAGGAATTCCGTTTGGAAACCCTAATGCTAACTAAAGTTTCTCAAGCATATCAATAAACTAATTAAATCAGTATTAAATAAATGCTCGCAAATTATTGGTTCAACAATTTTGCACAAAAGCAAAAAAATTGTGCAAAAATCTGAAACTTTCAACAGCAGATTTTGATTAATAATGTCACACATGTTGCGACTGATATGAACGTTAAATTTAGCATTAATGGGACTGTCATTGTTTATTTTAGTGAGCCTCCAACCAACGGTGCCCTGCCTGATTATCAACGGTGCCCTTGAAACCTATATATGATCAACAGATTATGCCGTATTTCTAGATACAGACGGAAATCATGTGACCAGTATACTGCACGCCATTAGCTAAAGTCCTGGTGACGTAATACGGACTATACAGACTATATGTAATAATATTATCAATTATATCTACTTAAAATGCAAAATAAAAATTTAAAAATTATTTAAAAATTTATTTATATGATTTGTTTAACCCTACTGCGTTTATACAAAATTGTTTCAATATGAATTTCGTATAATTTTGTCACAGTTTTATATCAATTTTTCGAGACACGTAACATCAGATAGATATGTGTCGTTCAGCGCCTGAGATTCTCAGGAATCATCCTATACCCTCTTTCATTTTTCCTTCACAATCCCTTTAATAATTTCTCCCTTAATTTCCTGCAGTAGATATATACAAGTAATTTTTCAGAAAAAAAAAACAGCATTGAAAATAATACGTTTTAAAATTATAAGTAAGTTTAAATTAAGTAAGTTAAAATTATAAATAAGTTTTAAAATACAATTAGTTTTTCCATAATATGTATTTCTAGCTGAATTTGTAAAAAAAATCTAAAATTTAAATTTTTTAGCCAAAGAAACCCCAGCTTCCCATGTGTGTCCACAAAAAAATTCAGCCCATTCAGTCCTGCCGTTTCGCCGGCTATCGGTGACATATATACGAATGTCTTGTTTTATTTTATAGATAAACAAAGAAAGAATGCTATATTTAACGGGATTCTCTGATGTTCCTGTTAGATATCCAACATTTTAAAATTGTTATTTGTTAAAGCACAACTTTTACAAGATATAAACCTTCCCCTTTGTGTCATGGGAGGTCCATAATAACAATTCAGCCATTTAATGTTTACTTTGATGAATAGACGGACATTTCATAAACAGATGGGACCCAAAAAGTAAACAGATGGGACCCGAAAAGTAAACAGGTGGGACCCCCCGGAAAGTAAACAGGTGGGACCCGGAAAGTAAACAGGTGGGACCGGGAAAGTAAACAGGTGGGACCCGGAAAGTAAACAGATGGGACCCGGAAAGTAAACAGAGATGGGACCCGGAAAGTAAACAGATGGGACCCTGAAAGTAAACAGATGGGACCCGGAAAGTAAAACAGATGGGACCCGGAAAGTAAACAGATGGGACCCGGAAAGTAAACAGATGGGACCCGGAAAGTAAACAGATGGGACCCGGAAATTAAACAAATGGGGCCCGGAAAACTGCAGAATTTGAAGATGAAATCTTTGTGTATTTGTTTTATGTATAAGGCAAATATTTACTAGTAACTTGAAATGATTGTCTTCACTGCACACTTGCTGTGTTTCATGTTTATTGGTCCTTTTGACTCTAACAGTCGTCTTTGTATTTCACAATTGTATAGATCTTTCTTTATATATTGTTTACCTGGAGTTTAAAGGTGTTCCTATAAATATTAAAATTCTGCTAATTTTAATTTTAATTTTATTCCTGCATGCTTATAAAAAAAAATTCAAAAAGCTAAAAAAAATAAAGATCTTTGTCTAATTTCTTAGTCGTGCTACAATAAATAGATAGATAGATTATCATACTACGCTCTACCAGAGTAGTGTAGCTATATACAATAAGACCTATGGTGGTACCTCTGGAAGTGTGATTAAGAAATTGGTCTCTTTTTAAATTTGAATATATGCATTCCTGAAGAGGGTCTGGATCTAGGGGGAGATGGTAGATACTCAGAATAGTTTATTGGTGGAGATACACGTCCTCCTACAATAATTAGTCTTCAGAATTACTTTGATATAACTATTACGCATTATATCATCCCACTCTGTGAATAGAAGGTAAAAATTTATACGATGAAGCTGTCCAAGGTACTAATGCAAGGAAAGTTAATTGCGGTCGCGTATACTCTGCGTACACATTGAAACCAGTTCTATCTCGGCGGAATTTGTTGACAAGAATAGATGCATTCAGTCGTTTATTATCCGAGGAGGTTAAAAGCACTTAATTTTGATAATTTTGAAAATTCACATAATAGTTTCCTATGACTAAAATATTTCATAGATTATTTTTGTGAAAATGGATTTCATGTCAGGCTGTGACATCCGTCTTGTGTTTACTTTTCCGCCCAAAGACAGTACACTGCAGTTCAAAAAATGTGTACACCTCTGAAATAACTTTCCTTGCATTAATACCTAGAAGCTGTGACTTTGTGATCTTGTAGATTCTCTATTATATTTACACCATCAGGTTGCAAATATGTTGGGATTCCTTTGCATGACACAATAATGTATCAACCATTTCTATTCTTGTTAAATGAGTGCAAAAGAGATGGTCAATCTTCTATTTATAGAGTATAGAGTATAGTAAACAATGTTATCGTACCCTAGAAATACTCATTACACAGATACTCCTCATTCTGCAATCTATACTAAGCCAGATATATATTTATATATATATATATATAAGCTGCCGATGAGTGTTTAAAACACAAAACAATTTTTACATCACAGAAATGGAAAATAATCTTTGATTTACTTCACGTGCAGCCGTAGTACATTTGAATTTCCGAGCCGGGTCAACCTTTTCGGTCCCAGTTTGTACTGTACCTACCTCTATGGACAGGACTAGCCAGTGCAACAAGGTTGACGCGGTCAGACTTTATGCTTCATATATTTACATATAATATACAATATATATAAATATATCTTCTGAGTTCAAAACTCTGGTGGAAGTATATTATTAATCTTGAACGCTTAATCTTGATATCCAATGCGGACATTTATAAATTTAAGAATGAATGCACGATCCTTTATTTAGAATTATCACTTCGGACTACGGAGTACGAACACAAAAAGATATCGAATAGGAAGGAAAACGTAATCCTTAGATGTCTGAATAGAATGAAAATCAATGCTTGATTACAACAACTTTAGATTTACAACAAATTTAGATTTTTATTTGCAAAATAAATAATTGAACAATTATTTTTAAAAAGTTAGTAATCCTTTGATCTTTAGTTCACTAAATTATAATAAAAATTTAGATATTCTTTAAAAAATGTTTCATCCGTTGCAAATAAAAGAATGTGAATTTAAAGTCTAGGTTCGGTTTCTTTAAACAGTCAATTTGTTTGCTTTCAGGAACTTTTACAGAAATCTGATGATTGTGTTTTAAATTTTTTCAAAGCAATCAAACAATTTTTTTGAAAATAAATTAGGCTTGTCAGAAACTAAATTTTGCTATTGCAACAAAAGCAAACAATTTTCAATTGCATACATATTTTAGACTGATGCTCAGATTTATATAGAAATTTCTTTAAAAATATTAAATATCAATCTTTATACTATATCTATATATAAATTTAGCTTGTCTGTTTCTTTGTATCCAATAAACGTCAAAACGGCTGAACCGATCGGGCCCAATTTTTTTGTGGGACATCACGTAATCACAGGGAAGGTTTATGAATGATAAAAATTAAAAAAAATATGTTTGAAAGGTTTTAAATTTTGTAAAAAAAATTTAAATTCTTGAAAATCCGCGAATTTTTTTTAAAAATCCGCAAATTTTTTTCTTCTTTGTTTTAAAATGTAAACAAAAAAAACATGTTCACAATTTAAATAGAAGATGGGCACGAAGCGCCCTAAAAGCCCAGTACTATATACTTAGCTTGTCTGTATTATTGTTTGTTTGTATCCAAGAAACGTCACAACGGCTGAGCCGATTGGGCCCAAATTTTGTGTGGGACCTAACATGACCTCAGGAAAGGTTTAAGGATAATCAAAACTAAAAAAATAGCCTCCAACAAAATTTAATTTTCATTAAAATTTGAAAACCCACGATTTTTTTATTATAAAATCCGCGAACTTTTTTGTTGTTGTTTTACAAATAGAAAATGTTCACACTAGAAATAGAAGATGGGCGCCAAGCGCCCTGTTAGAATTGTTTTATAAATTCATTCTATATTTCCAAAGTTCTGCTTTAAACTGGAATATAAAAGTATGACAAGCTAAGCTATCTTCTGGTAAAATTGGTTGCTTTGTGTAATATATTAGATAATATCAGCTAAAGGTTAATCCTTGTTGTCAAATATTAGATAATATCAGCTAAAGGTTAATCCTTGTTGTCAAATATTAGATAATATCAGCTAAAGGTTAATCCTTGTTGTCAAATATTAAATAGAATTGCAAAAGTGTTGAACTAGGACTGGCCAACGTTCCGCTAACAAAACGGAAATTGTTAAAAATTAACAGAAAAGTCAGATTACGGACAGCAAAACTCGTTAATTTTATAATTTTTATTGGGCAAAAGCCTGAAACAGCCGTTTTTGAAAAAAGGGTATACAGTTGAAAAAAGAACAAACGGTGTTTTAAAATAACGTTCTTTTTCTACTTAAAATTTCATGAAACGTGCAGAAAAGAAATTCTAATATTCATAAAACGTGCAGAAAAGAAATTCTAATATTCATGAAACGAGCAAAAACACAAAATTTCATGAAACGTGCAGAAAAGAAATTCTAATAATCATGAAACGAGCAGAAATACAAAATTTCATGAAACTTGCAGAATTACAAAATTAATTTATGTATTTTGATGCTTTGAATGTCCTTTTCTTTAGAGCAATTATAAAATTTGATAAATTCAATATCCAACTATAAGAAGCTAGAAATGCTAGAAATATTATAATGATGTGATAACTGTATTGTACTGCAGTTTCATGTGTGATAAATTGATTAACCTGATGCAGGAGGGAACTGTATTGTACTGCAGTTTCATGTAATATAAATTGATTTATCTGGTTCAGGAGGGAACTGTATTGTACTGCGGTTTCATGTGTGATAAATTGATTAATCTGGTGCAGGAGGGAACTGTATTGTACTGCAGTTTCATATGTGATAAATTGATTAATCTGGTTCAGGAGGGAACTGTATTGTACTGCGGTTTCATGTATGATATGATTAATCTGGTGCAGGAGGGAACTGTATTGTACTGCAGTTTCATATGTGATAAATTGATTAATCTGGTGCAGGAGGGAACTGTATTGTACTGCGGTTTCATGTATGATAAATTGATTAATCTGGTTCAGGAGGGAACTGTATTAGATTCACTCCGTAGTTTACAACTCATTGGATTCAATCCCAATATCAGGTAAAAGGGATTCACAAGATTAAACACTTGAGAGTGTTCTAGGGGAATTCTTAAAGACTATTTACTATTTATAAATCTGCACTGATTGATTGGAAACCAGCAAAGTTGTACTTTTAAAATGTTCACAATTTAAATGTACACGAGTTTTGAAAAATACATCTAAATATAATATATATACTTTCGATACAATAAAATCATGTTTTGAAAACTTATTTTCTTCCATATATATATACATATATATATATATATATATATATATATATATATATATATATGCAAGGTTATAATGCAATGAAAGTTAATTGTAGTTGCGCATACTCTGCGTACATATTGAAACCAGTTCTCTCTGGGCGAAATTTGTAAACAAGAATAGACGCATCAATATTCGTTTAGTATCCGAGGAGGTTGAAAGCATTAAATTTGGATAATTTTGATAATTTTGATAATTCACATATATAGTTTCGTATGACCAAAATATTTAATTTTGATTTTTTATGTAAAAGATGGATTTCGTGTCAGCCTTCGACATCCGCCTTGTGTTTACATTGCCGCTCAGAGAAAGAACACTGCAGTACAAAAGATGCGTAAACCACTGAAATAACTTTCCTTGCATTATAACCTTGTATGAATTGTATTTTTTTTTAAATCCGCAATCGTGCTGCTGAAGAATGTCTAACATTAAACACAGTGTCTTTGCAATAAACTTTATTAAATAAACAATAGAAAATATTCTGAACTTAATTTAAGAAGATATATAGATAAATATAGAGTAGAAATCTCTGTTTTTTGTCCGATTGAATGTCAATAGAACCACGGGAATGTTCTTATTTTGGTTTAAGTGTTCAGATAAGTAGGTTAACAGAGATAACTCCGGACAAAGCTGGCTCCCCCAGTACAGTTAGCAGTTAGTACTTGGAAACGGAGGGTGAAACGTCCAATATCGAACGGAAGAATAATTACTCATGAAAAACTCGGTTAGGGAACAGTCTGAACCTTTATTTAGCTAATATTTATATTTTGAATAAGGAACAGTCTGAACCGTTATTTAGCTAATATTTATATTTTGAATAAGGAACAGTCTGAACCGTTATTTAGCTAATATTTATATAACCGTTATTTAGCTAATATTTTTATTTTGAATAAGGAACAGTCTGAACCGTTATTTAGCTAATATTTTTATTTTGAATAGGGAACAGTCTGAACCGTTATTTAGCTAAAATTTTTATTTTGAACAGGGAACAGTCTGAACCGTTATTTAGCTAATATTTATATTTTGAATAAGGAACAGTCTGAACCGTTAACCGTCAAAGTTTTGCCAATGAACAATAGTTTTTTTAACAGAATTGAAAAGAAGAACTTTCAAGCTGTAAGTTAAATATGAATGGCTACTTAATGACCATATAATGCTTGATCGGTGGAATTTTGAAAAAATCGAATTTGGAAAAAATTGAATTTTGTTTAGCCTTGTAACCCCCAGGATACCCATGGGTTCCCTCAAAAAAGTTCTCCACGCCCATCTTCTATTTCAATTGTGAACATTTTCATTTTGCATACAATGTAAAACAAAAATTCGAGGATCATAAAAAAAATTCGTGGATTTTTAAAACTGACAATCTAATTTTGTTGGAGGCAAATTTTTTAAATTTTGACAGTGTTCATAAACCTTCCCTGGGCTGGACACGTGAGGTCAGTGTTACACACATAATTTGAGCCCGATCGGGTTGACGTTTATTGGAAACAAACATACAAACAAACAGACAAGCAAATTATATATATAAATATATGGATAAAAAAATAATGTAATTTCATTATATAAATTAAGATATAACTGAGAACTTATATATTTTTAATTCCTGGATCAAGCATTGAGGATTAATCTAGGTATCTTTAGACGTTCAAAGGATTAGATTAATTACTTCTTGGACTGTGATCGTACTCAGAAAGGGTGACGAAAGTTAAAGGATCAAGGCACTCATTCAACGAAGGAATTGAGTCTTTGTCACAAACTCTGATTTTCTAATTCATATATTTTTGCAACCCAATATCGTAGACCTTAGATATTTCAAACTATGAATTTTAAATCAAATAATCTACGTTTAAAATATATCAAAGGTTTACACCATCAGGTTACAAAGATATAGGGATTACAAAATTTGAGTTTTATGACACCAACTCAGTTCCGTTAAAAGTTGTCACAGTGAATATGAGCGTTGTAAATTTGTACTACACAGTACACACAAGAGTTTCAAAGCAAAATTTTCAGAATCACTTTTCTGCCATATTCCCTCAGGGCCAAAAAAATACTTCTTTAATATAATTTTTTTTTTTCATTTCTTCTCAAAGAAAATTATTTTAAACTTTTCGGAAATGAAAGAAATAGTTTTTTACAGACTCTTAATTTGAAATAATTTGTTGTTGTAATCTCTAATATAAACTTTGCCAAAATCTGAATAAGAGCAAAATTTGTGAAGTCTAGCGGAATACTAACTCAGCTAAATAATCATATCATAAAGTCATTTGAACGTAACATCACCTTCGAAAAACATCCTTATTTACCCCCCCCCCCCAGCCCTGACGACAAATGGAACAAGTTAAAATCTTTGTGCTTTCAGACCAAATGTTTGCTAAGAACATTAAAACTTTTTAACTGCACACCATTACATGATAAATGGAAAACCCTTTCACCGAGCAAAATAAATATATAACTTAAGTAAAATATTTATTTTCTGGAAAAACATGCCACCTGGTGCAATCTCAAGAAGAACTTGAAGAAAGGATGATTACAAAAGTGTATAGAAGTAAACATTTTGAACTTAATCAATATTTACTAGATTAATTTCTTAACTGTTTCATTTAAAAAAATTATTTCCAGACTTTTTTATCTTCTCATCCCTAAATCTTTACAACCTGATGGTGTAAACCTTAGGCAACTGATCGTTTTTGTTCTTTAATATATTAAATTTTAAAAAGCTAACTGAAATATGATAAACTGTACTAGGCTTTGATTTTACCTTTTAAGTTTTTATAAAAATATAGAAACAATGCCTAATTATACTTATTGCATTAATAGATTTTCTCGGCTTGTATATCTAGTGTTTATGATATATTATACTAGGCTTTGATTTTAACTTGTAATTGTTGTTCTTTAACGCTTTTAAGTTTATCAGTTACTAACACACAAACAAACACCTGAACACCAAAACAAAATATACATTACATAGTATATATAGATTACAAAGATGATAAAGAAAGGCTCTTCTGTTATATAGGATGGGTAAGTAGGTTATATAAAGTATATCTAGATCAGTAGTAAACCGAAAACTCAATGCTAACCAAATTAACTAAATATAATTCCAAGTATTGTCCGATCCAGGCATTTATCTCAATAAATTGTGTCATTTAAAAAACATAAAACTAGTATTAAGCTTTTTAGATATTCAAAATTATGGATAAATACAAAAGTGTGAATTTAAATCTTGGATCCTGAAAATATTAAGTTGGATGGGGTTCAAGAGTCTGGATCACCTACTCGGGGTCTAACACGCCATGAAGTGTGAGGGCCATCTGACGCAGATTTAACAGTTCGGAGCTGGGAATTTTTGAATGGTGGATATCGGGATTAATGCTTGATCCACTCTTTTTCTTAATCTCCAGATTAAATATTGCTTGTTTTCCTCATGAATTTAATCTCCAGATTAATTAACAGATCGGGATTAAGAATATCACATTCTAAAGTTTTCAGCTTGGTTCTTATCCCAGCAGCTGTTAATTTCAATTTTAATATCAATTTTAACTTTTTTGCCTTTTCTTTATTACTTTATTGCGTGTTTAAGGAACAATTTAAAGATGACAACTCCGTAAGTTTAAAGATTGTTAAATTAAAAACCAAAAAAAAAGACGCAATTTAATTCAAATCAAAGAAAATGAACATAACTCGGCCTTATTAATCTAATGTGATCTCTTTGAGTCTCACATCTCAGAGCTGGGGTAGGGAGGGAACCCCCGGACGCCATGAGCCTCTGCTATGCAGACATCGAGCCTCCCAGATTCGCTAGGCAGACCGAGCCTCCACTATGCAGACAAAGCCTAAGCTATGCAGACCGTGCCTCCGCTATGCAGTAAACGAGCCTCCACCATACAGCACAGCTTTTTTTAAATCTTGGTTTTTATGAGTGATGAAAACTTTTAACAATTTTTTTTTGATGTAGTGGCATAAGAATTTTACTAAAGATAAGAGTTATTCATTGATTGTCATGATTAGAAACATATATGGACTCATAAAGTGGTTTATAGGATTTATATTAAAACTTTAAACATTTCTTACGCAGAAAGGAAGATTTTTGGAGAAATATTTCTGGAGTAAACTTGGTTTGTTTTGTTGTAATATTTGATTTAAACAATGCCTTTTTTTGAAAAATGTTAAGATTTAAATAATAAATACAAATTTATTAATTTAATTTGAACTTCAAAAAAAGGTGTCGCTAAAATCAAAGATTATAAAAGATGAAATGAAACTCAATTCAAATTTTTTTTCTTAATATTTTCCTTTTTGTGTAAAAAATGTTTAAAGTTTTTGATACCACTTTATTAGTCATAATTAGGCACTATTTATGGTAATTAATAAATATTTCTCATCTTTGAGAAGCCTCTCATGCCACTGTCTAAAAATTTCAAAAAAATCTTTTAATTAAACTTAAAACACAAGTTTAAAAAACCTCCTGTATTTAGGGATGTTAACGTTTTCATTTTTCAGAAAAACGATCGTTTCGTTATGAAAACGACGACGAAAAATCGAAAACGAAACGATAGTTTTTAAAAACGATCGTTTTTTTTAAAAAGTTTGTTTTTAAAAAATGGTCGTTTTTCAAAAAGCTCGTTTTTAACAACGATCGTTTTTCAAAACGATTGTTTTTATAAAATTCGTCGTTTCGTTAACGATCGTTAACGACGACCCTTCGTTAACGATCGTTAACGACGACCCTTCGTTAACGATCGTTAACGACAACCTTCGTTAAGGATCGTTAACGACAACCCTTTGTTAACGATTGTTAACGACGACCCCTTCGTTAATGATTGTTAACGAAGAGAGGAAACCAACCTGAAGGGCATCTGTACTTATTGGGTAGTTTTTAAGAAAATATCAAGGAGTTTTAACTCCCCCACAACTGTTAAACTTCACGATCGTTAACGACGACCTTTCGTTAACGATTGTTAATGACGACCCTTTGTTAACGATCGTTAACGACGACCCTTTGTTAACGATCGTTAACGACAACCCTTCGTTAACGATCGTTAACATAATTTTCAATAAAATTTTTTTTCAAAAACGATCGTTTTTTAAAAAAACAATCGTATAAAAAACGGTCGCAAATCGTTTTAATAAAAACGATCGTTTTCAAAAACGATCGCTATTCGTTTTCTAAAAGTTCAAAACGAGTGGGTTGTTTTTAAAAATGATCGTTTTTTCCGAAAACGAAACGATCGTTTTTGAAAACGAAACAAAAAACGATCGTTTAACGATCGTTTTGAAAAACGATGAACAACCCTACCTGTATTACACAGGCACATTTTGATGTGTTGCACATGCTCATTTCTGCAAAGCGCAGGCTTGGTCTGCCTAGCAACTCTGGGAGGCTCGTGTCTGCATAGCGGAGGCTCATGGCGTCGGGGGGTTCCCTCCCTCACTGGGATGACTGGCGACTGCATGGGTCGAGTGACTTATTAACTGAAGACCGATTAGGATTCAATAATTTAACAATTAATGCATTTTTACCTGGTTTTTGTTTTGAGAAGAATGGGTTACATGAGGTACAGTTACAAGAACAAACACTTCTAAACACAACATTTATTCATTTAAAGATAAAACTTAGAATTGTGAATAGAAAATGTTTAATGTTTCTTTCTCTTGATATTCTGAATGAATTTATGTATTTCCTAATATCATCTCCGTCGTTTGACATCGCACTCTCACGATACCTAGAACACACATATTATTTTATCAACTCATTATTTTCTTTGGACTGGAAAAAAAAGAAATATTTTCTAAATATAATAAAATATCAATTCGTCATATTTTCAATTTAGATAAATAATCGTCCAAACATTATTTGATCAATGGAGTTTTGACTCTATTTGTAAAAGTTTCACGGGCTAGAAAGGAATAGAGTTTTTGCCACAAGTTCAAATTTTCTAATATCTATATCTTTGCAACCTAATGGTGTACACCTTTGATATTTCAAACTTAGATTAGTTGGGCTAACATAATTCATAGTTTGAAATATCAAGGGTCTACGACATTGGGTTGCAAGGCTTTTAGGATTAGAAAATCAGAGTTTGTGGCAAAGACTCAAGTACTTTGAAATTTTTGAATATTTTCAGAAAACTTAAGATTTTGATATAATAATCAAAATTTTGAAAGGACAGCATCCTTACATTTTCTTCTACACTTTAATCTATACTGTATAAATATTTTATCATCTCATTAATCCTCAATTACACCTAGGTTAAAAGGGTACCGTTGTGGATCGGATAAACCACTTTATGAGAGGAGAGTTGTCTGAAATAACTTCTCCAAGTCAAGTCCTTCTAAGTTTTTTTATCAAGTTTCAGATTGGAAGTTTGTATTTTTCAAATTCTTTCCAATTCTTTATCAACTGTGAAGAACCTTGGAAGTTTCTTCAGATAGATTTTTTTATTTTGAAAGTCTACTGCATTTAATTTTATTTTCAATCTGCTTTCTTCTGTCATTAGATTTCTAAGAAGTTTAACGCTGCTAAAAATGATCAGCAAAAATGCGAGGGAAAAAGAGATTTATAGTTTTTCCAGGGGTATACATTCTTATTCTTGAAATCCTCTCCCCGTTCTTTAAACTAAACGCATTCTCCTGATTTTTTAAAACAAATTTTTAAATGGCGGATGCTGCTGGGGAGAATAAAGAATGTTTTTCTTCTCCCAAAATCTTTAAAATCGATTAAAAAGCCCCTTTTCCCCGACTTCTTGATAAATAAGCATAAGTCTGAAAAGCATTACCTTGGATCAGAAAGTATATCACCGATGATAACATCTCCCTCTACGCGCACAGAATGCCGCGCAGCCTGAAGAAAAAATTTCAAATCGTCTTCCTTTCTGTACATATAGCACATGGCATCCTGCTTGAGCTGTTTTTAAACATTTAAGGAATTTTAGGTTTAGGTGATTTCACAAATATAAACAGTATTAACCAGATAACTCTGAAATAGGAAGACGACTTTATAGCAATGCAAGTATATTTGATGATGTTACAAAGAATATGGATTTACTAGACACTTACTTTATCCCTAATTAAGTGAAATGGGTCTGTTCACATTGCACACTTTCTGTGTCCCATGCTCATTGGACTATTTAAAGTCTTATTTTGAATCTAATAGTCGTCCTTCAATTTCAGAGTTTTCTGGTTATCACTGTATGTGGCCTAATACATTTTAAATACATTTAAAAATGCAGGTTTTTGGAGTAAATATTTAGTTTTTTCAATGATCAAATTTTTGAAATGGGAGATCGCACATAAATTCTTACATGTTTTTTTTAATATGCCCAACGCGACTTTCTTCAGAATGTCAATGTCAGTGTGAGCAATAAAATGAAAATACAGTGAGACCAATCAAACTGTAGTGTAGGAAGACGACAAGTAAAACATGTTATACGTTTAAGAGCAAAACGTTTTAACAGTAACTTGTAAATCAAATTGTGATATGGGTTTGTGCAGTACACTGTGTGTTTCATGTTCATGTAACCTTTTAAACTTGAGTCTACCAGCTGGGATTCCTATTAGTTACATAGTGTTACGGTTCTCACTGTATTGTATCATATCATTGTATCATATCATATTTGCACTATGTATAAGAACTTTATTAATTAGTTACATAGTGTTACGGTTCTCACAGTAATGTATCATATCATTGTATCATATCATATTTGCACTATGTATAAGTACTTTATTAATTAGTTACATAGTGTTACGGTTCTCACAGTATTGTATCATATCATAGTATCATATCATATTTACACTATGTACAAGGACTTTATTAATTAGTTACATAGTGTTCGGTTCTCACAGTATTGTATCATATCATTGTATTATATCATATTTACACTATGTATAAGAACTTTATTAATTAGTTACATAGTGTTACGGTTCTCACTGTATTTTATCATATCATTGTATTATATCATATTTACACTATGTATAAGAACTTTATTAATTAGTTACATAGTGTTACGGTTCTCACTGTATTGTATCATATCATTGTATTATATCATATTAACACTATGTATAATGACTTTAATAAGTTACATAGTGTTGCGGTTCTCACTGTATTGTATCATATCATTGTATTATATCATATTAACACTATGTATAATGACTTTATAAGTTACATAGTGTTACGGTTCTCACTGTATTGTATCATATCATTGTATTATATCATATATACACTATATACAAAAACTTTATTAATTAGTTACATAGTGTTATGGTTCTCACAGTATTGTATCATATCATAGTATCATATCATATTTACACTATATACAAGGACTTTATTAATTAGTTACATAGTGTTTCTCTTAGAGAATGGAGAAAAAGCAAAAAAGTATTATAGGGAGTATAGGGATATCCTAATTGTTTAAAAGCATTTTCTCTAATTGGACAACTTTAGTAGGAAATATATATATATATTTTTCATATCATCAATCCTTTGACAGATTTGACTATTTGAAATTACAAACAACACCCCAAGGTTTAAAATTCTGATTGTATAACAAAAATTAAAACGACATCTGCGTACCTCAAAACTGCATTCGGCACAAACTGAAAGATTATATAAAACAGACCTTTGACTACTCTGGCCCTTTTTGCCACAAACTCAAATTTTCAAATCTCTAGCTATATCAATGCAATATGCAACCTGATGGTGTAAGACTTTGATATTTCAAACTTGAAATATTTGATCTGACAGAATTCAGAGTTTGGAGTATCAAAAATATCGAAAAAATCAATTTGCAAGAATTCAGTTCCTTCGTGAAGAAGAAAACTGTAATAGAGCAAAATCACTGTAAATCATGAAAGTGAGAAAAGAAGTGATGTTTACCTGAATACTGTAATAGAGCAAAATCACTGTAAATCAGGAAAGTGATGTTTACCTGAATACTGTAATAGAGCAAAATCACTGTAAATCATGAAAGTGAGAAAAGATGTAATGTTTACCTGAATACTGTAATAGAGCAAAATCACTGTAAATCATGAAAGTGAGAAAAGATGTAATGTTTACCTGAATACTGTAATACAGCAAAATCACTGTAAATCATGAAAGTGGTGTTTACCTGAATACTGTAATAGAGCAAAATCACTGTACATCATGAAGGTGGGAAAAGAAGTAATGTTTACCTGAATACTGTAATAGAGCAAAATCACTGTAAATCATGAAGGTGAGAAAAGAAGTAATGTTTACCTGAATACTGTAATAGAGCAAAATCACTATAAATCGTGAAAGTGAGAAAAAAAGTAATGTTTACCTGAATACTGTAATAGAGCAAATTCACTGTAAATAATGAAAGTGAGAAAAGAAGTAATGTTTACCTGAATACTGTAATGAAGCAAAATCACTGTAAATCATGAAAATGATAATTACCTGAATAGCTTCAATCTCATCTCTTTTTTCGTCCTCAGTGTTCATTGTCATAAACTTGAGAACCATGAGATTAAGTACAGCTGCAATAACAGCCAAACCAAACATGATAAAGAAGAGGGCAAAAGTAACATATTCAGGTTTCTCCTCTAGAGCATTATCCTGCTGTAGTGCAACAAGATCCCCAAACCCTGAATTCAACATTTTGAAAAATTAGCTTAAATATGTATACAGCTATGTAAACACTAAAACCGCTAAACTTTAAAATTGATCTAATAAACTGTTTTTTTTTTCTTTTATAAATAGTTGCAATAAGGAAAACAAGTGTTTTTACTTCTTTTCTATCGACAAAAGGAATGAAGTGTTAGCAACAAATTCTAATCTCTATATCTTTGCAACCTCATGGCGTAAACCTTTAATATTTAAACTTAGATAGATCACACATAATTCATAGTTTAAAATATCATAAAAGGTTGAACAGATATAGGCCTTTCATTTTTAGGTTTCAAAGATACAGAGGGACTAGAAAATTTTATTATGTGTCAAAAACTTATTTTGATTGCNTCATCATCATCATCATCATCATCATCATCATCATCATCATCATCATCATCATCATCATCATCATCATCATCATCATCATCATCATCATCATCATCATCATCATCATCATCATCATCATCATCATCATCATCATCATCATCATCATCATCATCATCATCATCATCATCATCATCATCATCATCATCATCATCATCATCATCATCATCATCATCATCATCATCATCATCATCATCATCATCATCATCATCATCATCATCATCATCATCATCATCATCATCATCATCATCATCATCATCATCATCATCATCATCATCATCATCATCATCATCATCATCATCATCATCATCATCATCATCATCATCATCATCATCATCATCATCATCATCATCATCATCATCATCATCATCATCATCATCATCATCATCATCATCATCATCATCATCATCATCATCATCATCATCATCATCATCATCATCATCATCATCATCATCATCATCATCATCATCATCATCATCATCATCATCATCATCATCATCATCATCATCATCATCATCATCATCATCATCATCATCATCATCATCATCATCATCATCATCATCATCATCATCATCATCATCATCATCATCATCATCATCATCATCATCATCATCATCATCATCATCATCATCATCATCATCATCATCATCATCATCATCATCATCATCATCATCATCATCATCATCATCATCATCATCATCATCATCATCATCATCATCATCATCATCATCATCATCATCATCATCATCATCATCATCATCATCATCATCATCATCATCATCATCATCATCATCATCATCATCATCATCATCATCATCATCATCATCATCATCATCATCAACATCATCATCATCATCATCATCATTTTAAATATAAGTTTAAATTAAATAATTTGTATAAATTTAAATATAAATTTACATCACGATTGAAAGAAAGACGTGTAAAGAAGATTAAATAAAAACTTTTCACTGATTAAATTCAACTTTAGGAGCTCGCAGAGAATATTAAATATTTCGAGGGAGTAGGCGCCCGCGCAACACAGGGTTTCTAGCGAAGGAAAGTTTCGCGAAAAATGTGAAAATTTGTGTTCGCATTTTGTAAACTTTTCGCCAAATCGAATTTTTTTCGAAATGAGTGAAGCGAAAAAATGCGAAAACGATGCAAAAATTCGCGAAAAAAAATTTCGCAAAGATGCAAAATACGAAATTTCGCAAAAAAAATCAATTCCGCGAAACCCGTAAGTGATGTAGCTGGAACAATTAATTGCGCAAAAAACAGACTAAGATGTTTTATCTTTAAATGCAGGTTTAGTTGACCTACGTCAACAGTCTCTATAATGTTATAAATTTATTCGTTCATATCCTATAATTTTATGATTAAAAATCCTCAAGATTAAGGCTCAGCCATCTTCTGAGATGCTTGTAGTTTATTGTTCTCAAAAACAAGGTTTATTTTCTTGTTTTGTTATTCCCTTTTTAAAAATACTTTATTTGGGATTTGACATCTTTAATCTGTATTTTTATGAAAAAAACTAAATTTTTCTTTATTCAACAAAAAAGTTTTTCTTAAACTAAAGTTTCTGAAGATTTGGAGGCGCTGAATTAGTCTTTCAATCCGAATACAAATAATTTTTTCCGTATGGTTAAGAAAGTCTAGAAAAACGTTGTACTTTTTAAAATAAATGTCTTTAGAGTTCAAAAGAAAAGTCCATTAAAAGTATGCTATTTTTCATAGTTATACAATAAATACAAGTTTTATTCAGGGAACATAAACACTGAAGTGTGATGAAATCATTTCTTTCCAAAACAATGTTATTTTGTAAATTTAATCTAAAATCTAAAATAATCGAATCTATTTTTTACTTCATTTTCAAATTAAGATTTAAAGCATTTTAATAATTGAAAAAAACTTGTTAAACTATAATCTTCAAACACAATATCGAAATTACGTCAAATTTTATTTAAAAAACAATTTATTCATGCATGTCGTCTTCACCTCATAATGCGAGAATGCTGTAGCACCAGTGCCCATAATAATGGCGGACAGAAACATGACCACTAGGATCAAATCAACCTGGAAAAATTGCAAGATTTTACTAAATCAAACTGGTAAAAAAGTTGTTACACAAAGATCACCAGAAAACTAAGAAATGATGAATATTTTTTTTTCATGAAATTATGACTATGTTAATTGCTAAAAGTGAAGATGTCCAGTGCTCATTTTTAGAGAGAACTCAGCACTGAAAATTACTCAAAGGGTTTCGGAATTACAAAAATTAAATGAATATATTACAGACATTGTTCTTGTAATAAGTTTAAGTATATATATAGATATTATTTGTATATATTTTATCATAAACGGAGAAAATTGTCGTCTTCATGAATGTAGATTTTTAATTGAGGATTAAAAAAAAACTTTTAAGAAATAACGGTAACTTTAAAATTGTTGCTATTTTTCTCAACCATGTTTCTATTTATGCCATAAGTTTATTGTGGAATTTATATGACATTTTTTGTCATTGTTATTTAATATTTTTTGAAAAATTATTCTCAACACGTATCCACCCAAAAAGACGATTTTAAACGTCAACTTTGCGCTGAAATTCAGTAATTATACATTGTAGAATCATTCTATATGTCTCAAACGAATCCTAAAGAATTTTTCCACAACACTACATACTCAGCTCAATTACCATACATAGCAGGTTACTCCCTTTAAATTGTTCATTTTCAATAATCTATCAATCAGGTTAAGATCAGCTTGGTCATGAAATTATATTGTAGACACTTGGAAACCTGAATGTTGTGAAATTCGCTTTAGTAATATTTTAGCTATTTAATATCATCTTGTATAAAATAGAATTTTCTAAAAATTTATAATAAGTTAAAAAAGAATTTTAAAAAGCTCACTTTTAGAAATGATAATCCCAAAAGTAACTAAAAAGATTGAAAGAAAATTGTGCATATTTGAAAAAAGCTTCTTATCTTAAAATGTGACGCAGAAAAGATCCATTATAAATATTTAATTCCAAACCTCCCACACAATGAATAGAAGCCGGATTTGTGACCAAAAAACATTCATGGTTAAAAAAATTTGATATTTTTCTGCTGAATGATTTTCCTGTAATATGCGCTCTAGATATAAAAACTGGAACTATGTAACAGTGGTAACAAGAAAACAGCGGAACTGTTGTAGTTTTCAGTTCAATCTTTTCATTATTAAAATGCATTTTTTAATTTGTTATATATCAGCTACAACAAATCAAAGTAGATATTTAGAAAAAAAGTGCTATAGAGTAACTAGAACATAAATAAAGCCTCCCAACAAACTTAATGTTTCCTAATTTCTAGGTTTTTCACGGTTATTTGACACTGGATACTGTGGTTAGGTGTACATGGATGATCAAACTTTTCCCATCCGCGCTATGTGTCCCCTGTCGCGAGCAGTATTCAGTAACATAAACCTAACATCTAAAAAGCCCCGTTTAATTTTTTCCTTGAATTTATCATATCGTACGTAATTTTCACATTTGTAAAAACTTTTATAAATTGACCGAGTAATGCTGATTTTCCATGCACATTTTTAATTAGTAATTTACTTTCACAAAGTAACACTTGTTGCTGTTATCATTCTGATGAAATTTGTGCAGTTTCAAAAATAATAAATAGAAGGCAAACATTTTTATCCTTAATCTTCCCTGGGGTGCAATGTGAGTTGCAACGAAAAATTGGTCCTGATTGGTTCAGCCGTTTTGACATTTATTAGAGACAGGCAGACAAATAAGCCAAACATATGTATAATTAAGGTTGTGATATTTACAATTTGTCGGTCTATGAAGTTAGGGTAGCTGTAAGTATCATATTTAACTTAAATTGATACCCACATTTTTGTTATGATGCATGATGCAAAGTGAACTGAAAGCAAAAGAACATATTTCCAAGGTTGTTTCTTAAGGTTGCTCCAATATACATGACATGTTCTCTACAAACTTACAAAAGCAATGGGCGGCGGTTTAAATGACGTCACTGATTATTGGGCAGTTTGCTTTAAGAGACGGTTTTTGGGTTCAAAATTAGACTGGACCGAGCACTCGCAAACCATCCAGAATTATTTTCTTATTTAATTTTATTTAATTTTCAATTACCTCCGTAGTTTCCTCCTGTTTGGTTTTGAAGGATCTTCGTAAAGAATTTATAACGAGAGAGCTAAATTTATTCAACCGTTCACCTAGTAAATAAATCAATTTAAAACAATCAATTGTTCAATATCCATTCATCTATTAATAACCCTATAAAACATTATATTTACTATTATAAATTGCAAATCAATTAATCAACTAATTAACTAATCAATTCATTAACTAATTTATTTTGTAATTACAATTTAGATTTAATCAGAATAATATATATAAATACTAAAAAAAAGTTCTTGATAGATCTATGACTTTATACTGAAAACTTGTAGGAAACATTTATCTAATTTACACATTTTTCTGATTTTTATCTAATTTTGAAAACACTGTATTTCTACAAAGATTTCTAAAGAATAAAATTGAATACACATAAATATTTCACAATATATTTCAACACATATTTAAAGCACTATTTAAATCATTTAAATAGTTGAAGGAAAATCCTTTGATGCAGTTACAATACTAAACTATTGAATTGAACAAAACTACAATACTACTAAGACTAACCCCTTTTGAATTGAACATGACTACAGTACTGCCCATTGAATTAAACATGACTACAATACTAACAGCTATTGTATTGAACATGAATACAATAGAAACCTATTGAATTGAACATGACTATAATACAAACCTATTGAATTGAACATGACTTCAATACTACCCATTGAACTGAACATGACCACAATATTAACCTTTTAAATTAAAGATGACTACAATAGAAATCTTTTGAATTAAAGATGACTTCAATACAAACATATTAAATTGAAATTGACTAAATCTATTGAATTAAACATGGCAACGATACTAACCTATAAAATTAAACATGACTACAATACTAACCTATTGAATTGAACATGACTACAATACTAATATTTTGAATTAAACATGACTACAATACTAACCTATAGAATTAAACATGACTACAATACTAACCTATTGAATTGAACATGACTACAATACTAATATTTTGAATTAAACATGACTACAATACTAACCTATAGAATTAAACATGACTACAATACTAACCTATTGAATTGAACATGACTAGACCAAGAGGAATACCAATTGTTGCGTAAATCATTGTAAATATTTTTCCTCCTGGTGTTTTAGGTGTGGAATGTCCGTAGCCTGAAAAAAAAGTAAAATTAAAAATCTAACAAAAATTAATATGATTTTTTTATTTTTTCATCTCTAAACTGCATACAGAAAAATGCAACAAGTTTAACAAAACGCACAAACTATTGAAATAAAAAAATAAAAGATTAATATATATATTGTATTGTACTGTACTGTTTTAATCTTGTTGAAACCTCCCAAGCACAGTGTCCGTAACCCTATCAAAAATCTAGAAAAGTGCGTGAAAAGCATTTTTCAAGATTATGTATTTAAAAAAACAATTAAATTATATTTTATCTTCAAGAGAATTTAAATTCTGAAATTTCAAAAGTTTCAAAAAGATCATTTTCAAAATGGATCCATCAAGCATTTTAAAATTATCTTTATGGATTGCCTTTAATAATTAAAACGAACAAGATTAAAACAATTACTTGCTAACACCCACTCGTAGATATGCAAGCATAGGAACTATAGGAAGTAGGATGATCTTGATTTTGGTAAAATAAACACAATTGTTGTTCTTACGTATATGACATGTCCCAGTTCCATAAATTGCTAGAGTTGCATTTAATTAACTAATTTTTATTGTTTTTTTGATCTCGTTTAAAATTACTTTTTTATTTTTGATTGTTTACAAGGTTTTTCTTAATTGCATGTTTACAAGCAATCAAAGAGAAGCTTTTTTATTCGACTGCTTCTTTTTGTTTGCATGTTTATGTGTATCAATGTAGTTTAAAAGCTTGACTTAAAACAAAATTGAAATCGAAAGTCGTCTTCATTGTAATGATATAATCGCCTAACATAATTGTCAAAATTCAAAACTTAAAAAAAAAACTTTAAATGGAGGGTCACACTAAATAACATTAACAATCCCTTTAATTATTTTCTTATATTAATTATTTAACCTATAGAGGTGAGCACTGTTGTAGCGTAGTAAAATGAACCAGCAAATTTCCAGGGTTTTCCTGCCTTGTAAGGTTTATATAATAGTACTGCTTCTTCCATTAACAAGAAATCCACCTTAACACAGAATTTTGTAAATAAAGGGCGAAAATTCCATCCAAGAGTGTCTTAAGGGTTGATGAATTCTGATCGAACAAACAGAGATTGATATATATACTTTGTACACTAGCTTTGCCTGAGGCAAATTGGTCAATGGGTTCAGGAATTATGATCAAACATACAAAACCAGAAAAGCTATGATTATAATTACAAAGCAGTAGTCTCTGTCTGTCTGTCTGTTGTTGTTGTTGGTATGAACGTTTTTCCTCAAAATTTGACTTTTGAACTCGGGAGAACCACGGGAATGTTGTTAGCTTGAGTATAAGATTCTAAGTTGAGGCGATTTACTATTTTTAGTGAAAAAATCGCTAAAATCGTAATTTAAGACAAGCTGGTACAAGGCAAGCGGTAACTATGAATCAGAGTAACCAGGGCAACACTGGGGACTTCAGCTAGTGAATATATAAAACACTAAAACCCCTTTCATGTAGGTTTTTATTATTAAATGTTATAAATGTTTTTTTCTCATTCATTTTTACAATTTCAAGAAAATGCATTAGACATTTAATGTAATGTTACAATCCAAAAATAAAAAATAATAAAAGAGGAATTTAGAATAAGAAATATTAATTAATCAACAGATTTGTTCAAACGAAAAAAAAACTCAATTTGAAAAAAAAAACATCTATAGGAACATGTCTTAATGATTTGTTGTCAAATTTACCCTTAAATAAAATTAAATAAATTTTTTTTGAGCTGAAAAAAACTGTTTACATTTATTATAACAGTTGGTTAAAAAAATAGCATGGATAAAAAAAGGTTTTTTAATGTCTACCTTTTAAAGCTACAGATTGGTTTAGTTCCTCCTCACTTTCTATCTTGTCAAAGATAGCAGCACCAATCAGCAGATAGGTCAATGTAGCAACTAGAATATATATAAGATAAACTAAAAAGTTTTGAATAAAAAAATACAACAAATTTTATTAAACGGATGAAAATTTGTTTGAAAGTTTAGGCTCACTGACTCAATAACAAGGACCCCTAGTTGACCGTGATACAGCACAGTGATAACCAGAAAATTCTTGAACAGAAAAACGACCTTTAGAATCAAGTTATGTCTGTAAGTGTCTGGTAAAGCTATTTTGTACTACAATCAAATACACATTTGCTATAATTTCTTCTTCCTATTGAATTGTTTTCTGGTTATCACTGTATGTATATAGCAGTGTATAGCAACCATAGACATATTTATAGATTATTTTCTTATTAAGATGTAAGATACCTTATTTACTCAAATATCTATAATTCATTGCCCAACAAAAAAAAGTATTTATTAGTAAATACAAAAATGGGTTCTAAAGCTGATTGTCTACTTTTGACAAGGACCTTTAGTTTACCGTGAGATATAAAGAATACCTTTAGTTTACCATGAGATTTAAAGAATACCTCAGTTTACCGTGAGATATAAAGAATACCTTTAGTTTACCATGAGATATAAAGAATACCTCTAGGTTACCGTGAGATATAAAGAATACCTCTAGTCTACCGTGAGATATAAAGAATATAAATGTGGCCTTTTGAACAATTATAATTCTTTCCTGTCCTGATATCAGATATCATGGTGAATATATTAAATATCGAAAATAAATATATTTTGTAAATATTTATTCTCAGAGCTATACTGTTGTATATGCATGCATTATACTTAAATAAAGTAAATATTAATCCATATGTCATATATACTTGTTGCCCCTATTTGCTTTGTTTGTAAACAGTACTGCACTGTTTACAATCCTACTAAACCTAACTCCTTGCAGTCAGTTAGATCCTACACCCCAATGACGGTAGAATAGTAAAAGATAAGGCATTAGGAATTAATCTGAATAGTGTGTACGCTCTGTACACTTTTATATGACTTCATTGGCTGCAATTTCAAACAATCAACAATTAAAACTCTAGTTATCAAATAAATTAATAATCGTAATTGCTAAAAATGGTGGGAAAATAACGACACGGTTATAAACTTATAAATTTGTTTTGCTCGGTTATAGGATAGGATGCTCTCCTGATAAAATAAAGCAAAAATTGTGATTTTGTTATGCATCTTATTTGTATGAAAAATACCACATATTTTGAAACAAAATTTGTTAGATATCATTAAGTATAGTCTTGTAATAGTCTAAAGCAGAATTTTAAGCCAGTAACATGAGCAAAGCCCAAAAAAAACCTTGGTTTCAAGTAGCCAAATTTTTAAAACAAATTACATTGCAATCTGTTTTAAGATAAAGTTTATCTAATAAGATAATAAAGTTATGCATTTCTAACGCCAAATTATGTAAAAAACGCAAGTTTTTGGTGATGGAAATGCTTAAACAGTCCTAAAATCTTTTTAAATTATAGAAAAGACGACATTCTTTGGCTTCTTATTGAACCCAATTGAGGCGTCTGGTTTTGCGTATAAATCCCAATGCCTACTCTTTATATTACAAAGCTCTTTGCTACACCCAAACAATTTATTAGAATTTGGTTGAATTATAGTTTGTCTCCAAGGGCCGAATATTGCTGGAGTTGGATCGTTTCCAATATCTTGCACTGATAGTTTGGTAGGACTGAATTGTCTTTTTTGTTTAACACCCTCTTGGTAGTTTATGATATAATTCTGATAAATTTAATCCCATATGATGATATTAAGTGCCTATTTACACTAGCATTTAAAGGGATTGATTAAGAAACGCCCTAAATAGCTACAATTTAAGGGATTGTTCAAGAAACACCCTAGATAGCTAAAATTTAAGGAATTGTTCAAGAAACACCCTAGAAAGCTATATAAACAAAAGGAATTTGTCAACCCTTGGTAGCTACAAAACTAAAGGGACTCATCAAAATTTGTATTGTAATTATTCCATTTATATGGAAAATTAATTACGATAGTTCTTATTTGTAAATACAATGTATGTCCAAGCTCATTATTGCAAGGTTACACTGTAAATATAAATGCATCATTCAAGAACTGTTTATGTTTTCCAACTACATGGAAACTTGTTATCTATGTGCTCTAAACCATATGTAATCATGTCTAATATGAGGACTCGATTACAAGGTGTATCTACTGCTTGCTCTGATGGTGTTCTAATTCCAGTTCCTACTCCAAGAACAAGAACACCAACTAGTGATGGTTTATCCCCAAAATATTCTCTTCAAAGTCCTGTATCTGTTATTAGTTCGACTGATGGATAGTGTGTCTACCTCCTCAACATTGAGAGAAAATGGGGGAATTAGCTCTCAAGATTCTCTTCTCATCACATATGTTCCAACTCCTAGAGCAAGAGCAGCTTCTACTTTTGATACTGCAGCTTTGACTGATAAGGAGCCATCCTTATCCTAGGACAACCTTGGCCTCAGAGACTGACCTTCAAGCAGCATGGTGGAGAGAGAAGTAGAACCATAACCAGAGAAACCTCATAATAGAAACCTCTATGTGCAAATGGGAAAGATTATTGAATATGCAAAGAAAGAGTCATCATCTTCACCTTAGCGGGGAGAAACATCTTGAATTGCAACCATTTACAGGGTTCTCAGATGAAGATACTGTGTCCTTCTTGGAGACATTCTTACGGTTTGCTGAAACTTTATGTTCTCCAAAGGATCAAGCAACACTTATAGTATCTTCTTATCTCTCTGATCACATCAAGAAAGAAGTTTGGTCATTTAGAGAAGACATCCACAGGATCAAGATGCATCTTACCAGCAGGTATTATGATTTGAGATCGATCTCAGAAGCTAAGACTTGGAACTTGTCAAAACTGAAGCATCCTGCTGCATCAAGTAAATCTCAAATAGAATACTTCAAGCAGGTGTACCAAACACTTCTTCAATTGAAAGTCTGGCTTCTTCAGATCTTGTCAACAAAGAAGAGATAACCAGTGTTATATATAATGCTACTTATGTCAAAACTATAGCATCCCATTTGCCTGAAAACAAAAATTGATTTAATTTCACAAAGAATCGAAAGAGAATTTGAGACCGTCCTTCCTAGCAGTAAGTGCCACTTTGAGATACTCAAGCAAATAGTAGATCTTCGTTGGTGCAGAAAACATAAGATCACTAAGAGAGTCAGGAACTCAACCAAAACCAGCTGTGTCTGCTAATATTGCTAGTTCTGAATCCTGTGCCATTGGAAATTGTACTGTTCAACCATTACAGTCTTTTGCAAAAGCACTGGTTATCACTTTCCCATGCCCATTTCATGTAAAATTTCCACATGAATTAGGAAATTGTCACAAATGTTTCAGGGTAAAATGAGGATTGTAGAGATATGTTTAGAAAGTCATTAGCATGTTTCTCATGTTTATAGACAGGTTTCAAAATCATCCTGTGTGACTGGTGGATTTTTGAGCAGACCTTATCAAAAGTAGGACAAATGCCAGACCCCAAATATTCTAACTTGCACTGAAGCCTCTTATTCCTGTCCTGGTTTACAGACTGTTGAGAAATTGTAAAGATCCTACATGAAAGTGATTGATATTTCAACTTTTCAGAAACTTAAGCCTGGATTTAATCTGGTGGCAGCAAATCATGCTCTTGTTCTACCAATGAGTGAGCTGCAATCTGAAAGAATTGAAGCAACTCCACTGTGTGAGGAAAGTCTTGATCTTGTGACAGCCACCCTACCTATGTGGAAATCGTTGAGCCTAGCTCAATCCCCCCCCACCCCCTCCTGGCCTTGGCATAAATCTTCAAACATCCGATAATTTCTTCCTAATTTTATTCATATATTCATAAACAAAATATTAGGTGAAATATTCTCATAATTCTTTTTACATATTATAGTCCCAAGGGTATAATATAAATCACTGTCATACTAATGCTGGTCAATGTAAAAGGGATTATAGTTTATAGATTAAGTGTACACCAAACTGTGCCCGATACCCTGTCTTAAGTTTATGGCTCTGATACAATCTTGCCACTAGTTTTCCGTTCAGGGGTTCATTTCAGGAAGATTTGTAGACAGGATAGAATAAAAAGAATAATCACATTAATCCAGTGATGACTAAAAGCATAATGAATTAAAATTAGTTGATTTAAAGTTCTGGTAACAATTAAAAATATCCCCTTCCCCACCCCTCTCGAAGAATTTTTTTTTTTCCCACAAAAGTAATTAACAACATCAAATATTTATCAGCAGATTTTTTACTAAAAAAATGCAGTTTTTGGAAATGTGAGGTGATGGTGAAATTATTTCTGAAAAGTTATGATAAATCGACAGGAAACGTCATCAAAAAGTACATATTTAGAGAGTTTTTCTTCACATTTACGAAGAATTAACAATGCAAGGAATGAAATATATTTGAAATCTTAACAACTAAATTGCCTTTTATGGTCCTGTTGGGGGAAAAATTCTCCCCTCTATATTTAAAATAATCAAGAGTTTTAAATGTAAAGAAATGTGCTCTATTACTGTAGGTTGGTTGCATAATGACAACTTTTTACAATATATCCTGTTATATGTTCATATTATTTCTTTACCTAGACTTTCAAAATCAAGATACAAAGATTATTTCTCATTTTTCCAGACCAGCTCATTTGTTACCGTTTGCGTTGTTTGCTTCTGTTTTTTAAGTCTTCTACCAAAATGACAAAGTTTTGAAGGTTTAAAAATGTCATTGTTGTGAAATCATTGGGATTAAATAAAGCATAATGAGAAATTCCTATTTTGGGTCAGCAAAGTGGAGGAATTGCTGATTTAAGCTGAAGATGGAAAATAAATCGATTCAGAATACATAGCAGGGCTGCTTTCCCTCCCCGGACAGAGCCATCTAGCGGCTGTTCTTAGAAGTTTTAACCACGTTCCAAGCTGTCTTCGGGTCATCAGGTAGAACAACAGGCTACCATAGGCGAAATGGGGGGGGGGGATGATAGAGCCCTTGTTATTGCTCAAATTGCAGCGCAAACAAAATCTTTTTTAAGTTTCGTCAGTAAAAATTTAATTGTAACATAGCTATTTATTTATCTGTCCTTGCAGTTGCACTATTAACAGTTATAAACTCTTTATTTTTATTGAAAGTAAACCTTTCAGCTGATATATGGAATGACGTATTGCAATATTATTTAGTGTTTATTGTGTTGAGAATGGACACTTAAATACCTTTTGTTTATTTTGTATGTTAGTAAACAGACCTAGATGAAATAAAAACAAACTAAATCTTTTTACATGAACTTAAACTTTAAGCAAACAAAACTAAATCGTTGATGACAACGTAAAACAACGTGAAGCAAAACTAAATTGTTGATGACTACATAAATCAAGGTGAAGCAAAACTAAATTGTTGATGACTCTGTAAAACAACGTGAAGCAAAATTAAATCTTTGATGACTACCTAAAACAACATGAAGAACAACTAAATTGTTGATGACTACAGAAAACAACATGGAGCAAAACTAGTTCATTGTTGACAACGTAAAACAATGTAAAGCAAAACTAAATTGTTGATGACTATGTAAAACAATGTAAAGCAAAACTAAATTGTTGATAACTATGTAAAACAATGTAAAGCAAAACAAAATTGTTGATGACTAAATAAACAATGTGAAGCAAAACTAAATCTTCGATAACTATGTCAAACAACATGAAGCAAAACTAAATCGTTGATGACTATGTAAAACTATGTGAAGCAAAACTAAATTGTTGATTACTACGTAAAACAACATGAAGCAAAACAAAAATTGTTGATAACTATGTCAAACAACATGAAGCAAAACAAAAATTGTTAATGACTATGTAAAACTACATTGATCAGAACTAAATTGTTGATGACTTGACTAAGTAAAACAATGTGGAGCAAACGTACGTTTTTGAACCATTTTGTTTTATTGTGCTCAGAGTAGGCTTTTAATCAGATGGGGATATCCCCCCCACCCAGTAAATTTAAAGGAACGTTCCCTTTTCTTAAATTTTTTGGGATCTGCATTGAAGCCCTCTTTAGCTGGTCGGATACAATATTATGGTGTTTTATAATTCAGTCTGATCCTCTCGATTTGAAAAAAAGTTTCTTGTCGATTACTTTTCCGAAAAAATAGTATTTTAAACAAATGTTTGTAATTAAAATTTAGAAAGAAAAAAATATTTGGATGTTCATATTGAATAGGATTAAACCAAAGTTTATTTCTATCTACATTTAAATTAATAAAAATGAAACTAATATTTATTTTCTAAACTTGAATAAATTTATAATCTTCACTACCTAGCAACTACAAAAATACATATAAAAATGAAGTATTTTAAAATGAGGAAAACCTTAAACAGAGATATCCATTAAAACAATCAAGATAAAGACGACTTTTGATGAGAGTCCTTAAAATTCCATACTTAATAATAGATAATAATGTTGATGATAATTGAGAAAAAAAATTATAAGAATTATAAGAATTATTTCTCTTATTAAAACATATTCTAACTATTTTAAATGGGCTGTAGTTGAAATATTTAAGTGAGACTCTTTAATCCTTTATGAAATCAAAAATGTGGGAATTATGGTTGTTTCTTCAAAGAATCGAAAAAAAAACTTTAAGAATATTTGAGTTAGTTTCAAATTTCAAATATTAATATTTAACAACTTTCATAAGCGTTGGGTAAAAATAAAACAAACACTTTTTCTAAACTAAAGAAATTCCATTTGAAAAGCATTCTTTGAAAGAAAATCTAAAACTAACTAAAAATCTTCCAATTTGCTATTTTCAATTACAATATTACAATTTGATTTAAAAAAAAAGTTATTTTGTGGATGATGATTTGTCTTTAATTTTTTCAAGTTAAAAGATATTCATTTATTCATCTTCATATTATTAAGATGAGGCTGAGGGACAAGAAGCATTGATTTTAAATAATAAATTTTTACCTTAAGCTAAAGTACCATTCATTTATTTCTTTATGATATTTACATGTAAACTGTTTCAGACACTAAAATGTAACCCTTAAAAGCTCAAATACACTTGTTAAAAGGTTAGTCTTTATAGTGTGCATTGACAAGGTAATAAAAACAACCATATACCACTGTAAAAACAAACCAAGCATTGTTTAAAAAAAAAAAATTTTTGCAATTTATTGCCCCCCCCCCCCCCCCCTGGAATTATCCTGGCTACGAGCCTGATTTTAATCAGAGATTGTAGCAAAGACTTAATTTCTTTACACTTTTCATTATTTTCTGAAAGAAAAGTAAACTATGTAACAATATTTTCAATGTGTGTCTTTATCAAAAGACGAGCCAATTTATTTGGTTTAAAAATTACACTTAAAACGCATTTTGTTAAGGGTGCAAATAAAAAAAACAAAAATTCTTCAAAAGGAAACATTGAAACGAGATTAGAAGATTTTGTTTTAAATCAACATATTTTGCTCTCTGGGCTTTTAAAAATGATATTTCAAACTATATGAACTCTGTTAGATCAAATAATCTAAGTTTTAAATATTAATGGTTACACCATCTGCAGATTGCATAGATAGGGATTAATTGTTAGATTAGTTTGTGACAAAGACTCTATTCCTTTGATAACTTAATTAATTTTTCAGTTTTAATCAAAATAAGAATGTTTCTTTTAAAAATTTTCTTTGAATCAATCTTTTTATTGTTAGGATTTAGGAGTTTTAGCTTGTAATGTGAGAAAATGCAGTTTAGAAAAGACATTCCCCAAACCTCAAAAGAAACCGTTCTCCTTTACAATAACTATTATTTTTCAAAATGAAGATACTCTTAATTGTTCTTCCTTTTGTGAAGAACATCTCATTCCTTTATTTTCCTTGACTCAAAAACTTAAACAAAAAGTTGTTCTAAATTTTAAAAATTAATATTGATTATTTTGAAAAAGGGTTATTTAAGAATACTATTATAATTTCTATATCTTTGCAACTCAATATAATAAATTATGGTAGATCAAATAAATAAAAAAGGTTTGAGGTTGTGGCTAAGACTCAAGTCCTTTAAACAACCAACCGAAATGTCATATTTTTTAAAAGTTACAATACAGACTTTATGAGAATTAAGTGACAACATTAAGTCGTCTTTTATTCCAAAAAAATATTTAGAGACAACGATTATATTAGTTTTTAAACAAATGAAATTAAAAGATTTTTCCAAAACTTCAAAGTTGACAACAAAACTTAAAGTTTACTCGAGAGATTAGGTTCTAAGTCTAATGGCGGACATACAATATCGTTCAGAAAGAAAGGTTAAAAATTATCTTTAAGTTGGTTCCTCTGGGTATTAGGGAAATCCGCAAAATCCGGGAAATCCGCATAAAACATTTCAAAGATGTTAGTGTACCGACACCAATATAACAATGTTAAATTTGCTTTTACCATTTCAAATTTTCTGGTTTTCAGGGGGCAATTAGTGTTCTTTTTCTTCTAGCAGTTTTACCTATTTTTACATTTGATCTTTGAGCTGCAATTTTTTCTTTGTAAATCGAATCTTGCCAATTTTTCTGATTTGCAGATATTTTTTTTAACCTGCCACACATCTATAAACCTTCCCTGGGGTTATGGGAGTTGTCACAAAAAAGGGGCTCAATCGGTTCAGCCGTTTTGATAATTAATGTGCTGTATGTTCTCTTTTGCAATATAAGATGTGTCCAGATAATACAATGGGACCCAGAAATCAGTGGAAAAGGAAGACGACTGTTAGACTCAAGTTTTAATTCTATAGTTCATGAAACATAAAACACTACATTTCACTTAAAAAGTTGATTGTCAAGGTATTAGTAAAACTTTAATAACAAAAACACAGAAGATTTGCTATTCCACAAGTGTATGGCTGCCATTGTATGATTTCTATTTACCTATAAGACTGATGGTTCGAACATTTTGCTTTTTCATTGTTTACTTTCTTCCTCCCCAGCTAGCCTTTAGTCATATTATTTCTATTTTTCCAACATAGTAACATACAATCTGAAAGTTAAAATGTTTACCTTTTTATAGTTTTAAGTAAATAGTGTTCAGTTGGTTTATTGTTTTTAATAGATTTCTTGCTTCCACACTTGTAAATACAAAAATTAATCTTACTTCTAAAGCTGCTACTTAGATAAAAAGATATACCACACAACTTGATGCAAAAATTGTAAAATAAAGTAGTTTTAAATCAATCATTAAAGGGGACACTTGCTATTTTTATTGAACAATAGAAGTTTTAAGTATGCTGACATTATTTTTTATGTTGATTACAAACTAGGTTAAATTGGTGGTTGAAAAAATTAATTAAAATGACTCCATAGAAATACCAAGATCTAAAAATATTAAGTGTTCTGAAAAACAGTCAAATAACAAACATTTGTTGAACCCGGGCCAATAAAATTACATATCTAACCCAAGAAACAAAATCAATATTTTGACAATTTTTTTTCTGAACATATGAAAATTGTCTTGATCAATCCAAAAGTTTAAATTGATATAGAATGTAAAGCAACATTTTTTGTAATATCGAGCTACCGACAGTATTCCTAAATTTATGATTATTTTGTTCTAAATCCACACACCTCTGCCCCTTTAGTAAAAGTAAATTGAATTAATCTATATGCTTAAAATCTGACCGCGTCAACCTTGTTGCACCTGCTTGTCCTGTCCATAGAGCTAGGTAGAGTACAAACTGGGACCGGAAAGGTTGACCCGGCTTGGTAATTCAAATGTACTACGTCTGCCCGTGAATCATGAAGAATACCTCATATTCTGTTTGTAGTCTAGAACACGTTTTCGTAATATTTGAATGCTTTGTGAGGAGAGTTTCCAATTGTTGAGACACTCTTCTTATTTAATAAAAACATCAGTTTCTATTGTAGGGATTCTCTAATCTTAAAAATATTCTAACATTCTTAAATAATAATAATAATAATAAACGATTACAGATTTATTTTCAAATTTCTTTATAAAGCATTTCTTGGCTATATGAGGCCCTACGAAAAAATGGGGCACGCATATACCATTTTGACTTTTTGACGTTTATTGGACACAAACAAAACGACAGACATGCCAAATTATACATCTATATGATAAAACAAGACATTCATATGTTGCGTATACCCAAACAGCTGGACCGATTGGGCTGACATTTTTTGTGGACACTCATGGGTGGCCGAGGGGTGTTCTAGGATTTTAAAAAATGGAAAAAATGTTTTTTAAAAAAAATTCCGAAGGTTTTTTCAACATTTTTTTTTATAAACATACACACTTATTTTTGCACCCCCTATAATGCTCTTATTTTGACACCATCATGTAATCAATCATCTTCACTTTAAGAAAAGGTAATTTAAGTTTTTGTAATGCATAAAGTATAAAAGTGTAAAGATTGATCAATACAACATTCCAGAAAGACTGTAAGGCATTGTTGTAACTTCTAAGGTCCGTTTTAAATATTAATTTCTTTTTAGACTTTTAGACTTTTAAGAGGATTCACAAGAATCTGAGATGTAAATTCTAATTCAAAACGACAAGCTTGCTTTCATTATTACATTAGATTACATTCATTTCATTACATTACATTACATTTCATTACATTACATTACATTACATTACATTACATTACATTACATTACATTACATTACATTACATTACATTAAATTTCATTACATTACATTACATTTCATTACATTACATTACATTACATTACATTAAATTTCATTACATTACATTACATTACATTACATTACATTACATTAAATTTCATTACATTACATTACATTACATTACCACATGGACCCCTTAAAACATTGTAGCATAAAAATATTTCATGAGAAAAAAGCTAAAAATTATAATTATTTTTATAATTTGAGTATATCTGCTATATACATGCTAAATATAATAATAAACTATACACTGCTTAATTATATTGAGGCTTTAGGATCCTAATTAGCAATTACAAATTAACAATACATCATCATCATCTGTATCTATCTATGTAATATATATATATATATATATGAATGCAAAATATTATCAAAATTGTGGACAAATCTTTAAAGTACTATGCAGCAAACAATGAATTATGATTGTTAACTCCTTAAACCTGATATATTTTAAAGTACTATGCAGCAAACAATGAATTATGATTATTAACTTCTTAAACCTGATATATTTTAAAGTACTATGCAGCAAACAATGAATTATGATTGTTAACTTCTTAAACCTGATATATTTTAAGTTTGTTGAACACAAAGTTGTCAGTTTTAAACTTTATGATTGTTAACTTCTTAAACCTGATATATTTTAAGTTTGTTGAACACAAAGTTGTCAGTTTTAAACTTTACTAAGATTTAAGATAACTACATAATTCATATATGTATATAAAGTTTCTTTTAATCTAGAACTTACTTACTAGAACACCTTAAGACTTTTGTTTCTTTTAACTTTACGTTTTCAACATATAGACATGACGTTTTCAGCATACAGACATTTTCAGCATATAGACATGACGTTTTCAACGTATAGACATGTAGTTTTCAACATATAGACATGACGTTTTCAACATATAGACATGTAGTTTTCAACATATAGACATGACGTTTTCAACGTATAGACATGTAGTTTTCAACATATAGACATGACGTTTTATAGACATGTAGTTTTCAACATATAGACATGACGTTTTCAACATATAGACATGTAGTTTTCAACATATAGACATGTCGTTTTCAGCATATAGACATCACATGTCGTTTTCAACATTTAGACTTGTCGTTATTTCTTCTACAGGCTTATCAACAAAGGATGAGTCGAATGTACAGAATTAGAATTCTTTTCTAAAAAATTCTGATATTTAAGGTGCTCTCTTAAATATACTGTAACATTTTTTTTGCCCCCCTCCCCCTTAACATTTTTAGGGGTGGGAGGAAAAATGTGTATTATACTCAACCATGTAAAAACTAACCTTACCAATAGGTTATATGGGTGGGGATTATTTGTAATTGTGGACTTTCTTTTTAGTTTTGGGCAAATTTTTTTGGACAATTCTTTAATCTATATTTAGGGGGAATTTTTTCAGTTAGGGAAAACTGAAAATTTTCATTTGGGGGCAAATTTTTGTGTGGGAAATTTCAAATTTTTTTTTTGGACCAAATTTTATATTTTGGAGACATTTTTTCAGTTCGGGGCAATTTTGCGTATGGGAAATCTTTAATCTTTACTTTTGGGGCAAATTTTTTATGTAGGGGCATTTTAAAAATATATATTAACAAAGGGTTATTTTTTTGTTTGGGGTAAAACTTCCTAATGTTGGGGCATTATCTAAAATTTCTTTTTAGATAGGGCTGTAAATTTTAAAGTTGGCTACATATATCAAACATTAGTGAATAAAAATTTGAATTTAGGAGCAAAATAAAAATATTTGGGGGCATCTTAAAAAAACTAAGGGTTGCAAATGCAGAAAAAATGGGAAAATTTAAGTCTGGTGGGGCAAATTGAATAAGAATGTGTGAGTGTACTTTTTTAAAGATTGGGGGCAAAAAGAGTTGGAGACATAACTGAGTGTAGTTTTCAAATAAAAAGGTAAAGTCGTCTCATTGTATTGATATATACGGCGCCCTCTGTAAATAATTAGATTCTGTGAACTTTCTTCACTGTTTCTGCTGCAGAGAGAACCGCAAGTCAATTTGGTTTTATAAAGAAAAGTAAGAGTATCTGTATCATCTTTGATCATACCTTTTTTTTAAATTTGAGTCGTTTAAACAAAAGTAGAAACAATGCAAACCAAAAAATAAAGCTGGATTTCTAATTGAAATATTTAGTATTTTGATATCCCATTCCCATGAGTATGAATATCAAAATAAAAGTTTATAGATTGTAATTTTATGACTAGAATCGACGAAACTCATACAGCTAGGCTTGCAGTATTTGTATATAACAGATAAACTGAATAAATTGTCGAATATTTACATTTTACAACACTCCTCTCTTTCCAATTTATTTATTGGAGGAGGGGGTGGCAACTGGCAAGGTATTGTACGTACGATTAGATTTACATAGAATTTATACAGAGAAAATGACAAGACTAATCAAATGAAATCTTTTTAACCGAAAACATAGTATCTACAAAATGCTATTAACCTATTCCGATACCGGGTTTAATACAAAACTCTGTGACGCTGTGATAAACTTAGGGCTCAGTGGATTTTGAGAAAACGGTAAGAAACTAAAGATTATGTTTAGGCAATGCATACTGATGATGTTTACAATAAATATGGCACTGCAGTACGGTATTTATATACAATCTGCATTTGGCTCAGTTTAAAACTTCAAACTTCAACTTGCATTATTGAGCTGTGTAAAGTCTTGTGAAGATGGTTATAGTGGCTCTGCACGGCCCCTCTCTCGTCAGGTTATAATTATTTACAACTACTTTACAGGGAAATAGAGGAAATTTTACTCTATCAAGGGTTTCCAAGACCAATTTTGCTTACAAAACATCCAGAGCGCAGCGAGAAAGAATTGATCGAGGGAACCCTGGTAAAGTAAAATTTTTAATTTCCCGAATTAGTAGTTGTATTATTGTTTACAATTTTACCGTCTATTGAGTTGAAAATGCGCAACTTTCAGAATTTGTTGGTTTATTTTTAACTGAATACTGTTATAGTATACTAAAATGTGACCCGGCCCTTGCAAAGAAACAGTCTTAAGCAAGGTTATAATGCAAGGAAATTTACATGCAGTTGCGTAAACTCTGCGCACATATTGAAACCAGTTCTCTCTGGGCGGAATTTGTAACTAAAATATTTCATTGATTTTTTATGTGAAAGATGGATCCCATGTCAGGCTGTGACATCCGTCTTGTGTTTACATTACCGCCCAGAGACAGTACACTGCAGTACAAAAGATGCGTACACATATGAAATAACATTCCTTGCATTATAACCTTGGTATTAAGTACATTTCATTACTAGAGATCGGAACTTCTGAATGATACTTTCTTAAATTTCCGGCTCAGAGGTTGGAACTTTTGTGTGATACTTTCTTAAATTTCCGGCTCAGAGATCGGAACTTTTGTGTGATACTTTCTTAAATTTCCGGCTCAGAAGTTGGAACTTTTGTGTGATACTTTCCTAAATTTCCGGCTCAGAGGTCGGAACTTTTGTATGTTACTTTCTTAAATTTCCGGCTCAGAGGTTGGAACTTTTGTGAGATACTTTCTTAAATTTCCGGCTCAGAGGTTGGAACTTTTGTGTGATAATTTCTTAAATTTCCGGCTCAGAGGTTGGAACTTTTGTGTGATACTTTCTTAAATTTCCGGCTCAGAGGTTGGAACTTTTGTGTGATACTTTCTTAAATTTCCGGCTCAGAGGTTGGAAATTTTGTGTGATTATTTTTTTTAATTTCCGGCTCAGAGGTTGGAACTTTTGTATGATACTTCATTAAATTTCCGGCTTAGAGGTTCGAACTTTTGTGTGATAATTTCTTAAATTTCCGGCTCAGAGGTTGGAACTTTTGTGTACATGTTAAACTCTTGATGTTGACAATTTTAAATTTGAGAATAAATGCTTGATCCATGCGCGGCTGCTGAGTAGTGAGTATAGACCACCACAAAGCGGTATCGAAGAGGATTTAAATTAATCCAATTATAGTCTGTATAAGAATTAGATCAAATCTTAATCCGAAGTTTTGACTACAGTCTTCTTTATATATATATATATATATATACGGTTGTTTACAGGATCTTTCTCAATTTTTTATCAAAAACGCTATACAGTGATAACCAGAAAACTGTAGAATAGGAAGACAACATTAAAGCAGTTCTGAAGTGCATTTGATGTTGTTACAAAGCAAATAGCTTTACTATGAGCAAGTTATTAAATTAGTTATTTTGTAAAATGTGCCTGATTGAACACTGGACTATAAGTCATAACTTGAGTCTAAAAGTCGAGTTTTCTTGTTAACACTGTATGTATGAATATACATATAATTATACAATGACGGCTGTAGAGTTTGTATTTAAATATATAAATAAACACAGTACTGTATGTATACATGAACAGGAATCTTTGTGTATTAAAACTGCATGTTTATTGAAAGGCTTTAGATAAATAAGCAACATTGTGCTTGTACTTTTAGCCTTTTAGGCTATTAGAAACGGTTCTTTATGTGCAGTGCAGGGTTAATTTTACCAGAAAAAAAGCATACTTTCCAAAATAGAAATCTGAATCACTAGATCATGAAGGGATTGTGAGTGCACAGCACTGTGCACGGGATGAGAGGATGAATAAAGGACTGTGCGGAGGACGGATGGAGGATATATAGTGGTGTGCAGCTGAAACTATACTAAACATATATAAACTGGAATCATTCTACACAACAGAGGACACCCTCTAGCCTCCATATAAAACAAGGAAGGATGTTAAGGTGTCCTATAAATACACACAAAGTAATTCTAAAATGTTTTAATATGCAAGCTTTTTTATATGGTACCAGCAATGGAACCCAGCTTTGTCTGGAAACTGAATTATAAGAAAGTCAATTCACTCATCCTAATATTGTTTAACCAAGCTAAGAACATTCCCGTGGGTCTACCGTTGTATATTAGGGTGGGTCATACAGTACAGGGTGTCCCAATAAACATGGGAATTCAGTGACGAATTCGATATCGTCTTTGTTATGAATTAGCATTGTAATACCTAATTTCAAAAGCAATAATATTATTATGTCTGCTAGAGTTTATTTATAAAACGGTAAATGGCTGTAAAGATGTGTCTATAATGTCTCCGCAAGATGAACAGTGAATACGGACAAGTTTACTCTGTTTGTATACAATCTTTCTTGAGATTATAATTTTAGTTTTTATTTAAATAATAACAATTTCTTTTGCTTAACTATTTTAAAACACTTTTAGGTTTCAGAGCTTTTTTGCAACATTTAAGAAAAAAAAATGGCCTAACCTTTTTTTTGAAAAAAAGGCTTTTTATACCTACTGCCTCCTTAGTGGTATAATTGATTTACTTTTTAAAAATATATAGTTTCCAGTCAATTACAGATAAACACTAAATGAGCCATACATCGAAAGAATTTATCAAATGTCGTCTTGACAATTTTTCAATGAGTTTTTACTATTTTACGTAAATCTCAGTATTTTCGAAAATAAATAAATAGCCATGAATATGGTTAAACAGTTGTAAAGAGCTCCATTTAATCATTTAATTAAAAACTAAATATCTGCAATATTCCATTATCTGCAGAGACTAAAGAATACGACATTTGAAGAATTCTTTTGATGAATGGCTTATTTAGGTTTTAACTATAGAATGTTTGAAAAAAGTTATGCTATTTTGTTGTTCTGACAAAGACGTAATTTAGCATCGATTTTTATCAAAACAAGGGGTTAAGCTCTCTCTAGAATATACAAAAGGAAAATTATGACTTGAAAATTTCCGATATTGTCATATAGGAATGATCTTGTTCAATTTATAGCTAAAATAAATTCTGATGTGCATAAATATCATATTGGATAATTGTTTGGATATAATAATATTACCCAGTCATAGTTAGTTTTCATGCATTTACTGTTTTTGACGTCACAAAAAAAGAGCTAGAGCGTTCATTCAGAGCAATTGTATACAGTTGTAGGTCCCACTATAGTATAGTGTAGGTCCCACTATAGTATAGTGTAGGTCCTACTATAGTATAGTGTAGGTCCTACTATAGTATAGTGTAGGTCCTACTATAGTATAGTGTAGGTCCCACTATAGTGTAGTGTAGGTCCCACTATAATATAGTGTAGGTCCCACTATAGTATAGTGGAGATCCCATTATAGTATAGTGTAGGTCCCACTATAGTGTAGTATAGGTCCCACTATAGTGTAGTGTAGGTCCCACTATAGTGTAGTGTAGGTCCCACTATAGTGTAGTGTAGGTCCCACTATAGTATAGTGTAGGTCCCACTATAGTGTAGTGTAGGTCCCACTATAGTGTAGTGTAGGTCCCACTATAGTATAGTGTAGGTCCCACTATAGTATAGTGTAGGTCCCACTATAGTAAAGTGTAGATACCACTAAAGTATAGTGTAGGTCCCACTATAGTGCACTGTAGGTCCCAATATAGTGTAGTGTAGGTCCCACTATAGTATAGTGTAGGCCCCACTATAGTGTAGTGTAGGTCCCAATATAGTGTAGTTTAGGTCCCACTATAGTATAGTGTAGGCCCCACTATAGTGTAGTGTAGGTCCCACTATAGTGTAGTGTAGGTCCCACTATAGTATAGTGTAGGTCCCACTATAGTATAGTGTAGGTCCCAATATAGTGTAGTGTAGGTCCCACTATAGTATAGTGTAGGTCCCACTATAGTATATTGTAGGTCCCACTATAGTATAGTGTAGGTCCCACTATAGTATAGTTTAGGTCCCACTATAGTGTAGTGTAGATCCCACTATAGTGAAGTGTAGGTCCCATTAAAGTTACAGGGATGCCATCAACAAAGGATGAAATTTTAAAGAAGACTTGAAACTCTGAAGATACGTCAATCCTAAAGTAAAATTAAGTCTTCTACCTTTGAGTGTTTATTACAAAATGTTGCAAAGAAAAAAAACACGTTTACAGTTGCAGGGAAATATGAATAGAAGGGAACAGTTAATAACAATTGAGTACGGTCGTCTCTGAATTCTCATTCTTTGTGGGTAACCCTGTAACCTGTAGTCCCCGCTAAAGTGTGACCTGTACTATAATAATAAACCTTTAATGTGTTTTCAAATACAGGGTGTCCCAAGAAACATAACAGTTGGCGAATAGCTTTGAATGTCGTCTTCCATATACTCTATTAAATATTAAAGGCTATTTGCAGTTCATTTCGTTTAAAAAATCTTTTGCTCATATATATCTTACTTTGAAATTAATTTTATGGTAACATGACTCCTATTTAATATCTTTAGTATTGTCTTACTCTTTGGTATTAAACAATTAAACAAATCATGGAAGAAGATATTCTAAACTATTTACCAACTGTCATGTTTCGTGGGACACCCTGTACAATGATAGGGATGGGATGTAAACATCTTTGACAACAAGTTAAACTAAAGTAAATTACACGTATGATTGAAATCAGTGTCCGAATTTAATGAATTTAAGCTGCGACTCAAATCACCCAAAAACCGGTTTCAATTAAGCGCCGGCTTAAATCTTGAAAAACTATTAATACAACTTTAAGTGGAACCAACCATATTTGAGCCGCGGTTTGAATTTGAGCCGCCGCTCAAATTCTTTAAATTCGGCCTCAGGTTTCTTTTTAATCCTCTCATTAAAAAACTATTGAGAAGAACATAAATGTTTTAGCATATTACCAGAAAAAGAAGGTGGTAGCTGTTTGGCCTGCAGTACACTTTTTCTAATTGTTATTTTCCTTCTAGACTGCCCAGGAATAAATGTGGCGCCATCTGGTTTGAGTTCACACTGTACGCTAGCGTACACTCCAATTTTACGACTTTTTACTTCATGGGACACTAAAGTAAAGTTCTTTGTCCTCAATGATCAGTCAAATATTATAAATAGGAAGTTCACTTGAAATTACGCTGACAGTCCCTTTAAATGGATTAGTTTAATTCCTCTCGATATCCAGTGATGGTCATACCTTGCAGGGATAGCTTTCATTGAGGAATCAAGTATTTATCCTCGAATTTAAAAGTACCTACAGTGAATAGCGAGATCGAGCTTGTTTAAAAGGTTATGTTGGTTGGATATTTATTAAAAAACAATGTTTTATAAGAATACAGATATTTCTCAGTTTGGAACAATTTTATTCCATTTCCAGCATCTTGTACAATCTTCTGAAAAGTGAAAAAAATAAATTCAATAAATTTTAAAGTCTTATTCATTTTCTGTAATTATTTTTTTTAATTAAGGTGATTTGATATTTAATTATTGTAGAGGACTATTTTAAAAAATTGTGAAATTCCGATAAAATTAATATTATTGAATCTAATCAAAGAAGAGAATTTAACTATAAATTAGAACGTGGAGATCCTAGATTAATAAAAATACAATTAGAACACTAAATGTCGTCTTTTCAAGATTTTGGAGTGTTGGGTTCACAAAAATCCTGAGGCTGAGACTCAAAGGAGTTACTTGCTTGCTCTCCCTCTGTCTTGTAATTCAACACTGCCTGCTTAGAACTCCTTTGGGTTTCTGCATGAGGGTTATTGTGAACGAAAAAGCCTTCAATCTTAAAAAAAAGGCGACATCTAGTGTTCAATCTGTTTTGTTAACTAATCCCTGGTGGGGATAATCACTAGAAAGAGTGGTTTGAAGCACCCGGATTTAATATGTGTAAGATTTTTTGTTTAATGAACAGGGTTACCCACAAAGGATGAGACTTCAGCGGCGATTGAACAGTTAAACAAGAAATTATAAAATGTCGTCTTTACAATTTTAAAATTGGTTTTATACTATGAAGTTAAATCTCAGGAATTGCAAAAATAAATAAAAAGCCAGGAAACATGCGGGAACAGTTTACAGAGCTTCATATATATTTGTTCAATTTAAAAACTGAATATCTCACCATTCCGTTTCCAGTAGGTTTAGAAAACGACATTTTATAAATTCTTTCGGTTTATCCAAAGTTCTGGGTTAGACTTTACGACATTTATACTCAGCTGTTTCCTTATATTCATGGTTCCCTGCAACTGTAAACTTTACGACATTTATACTAAGCTGTTTCCTTATATTCATGGTTCCCTGCAACTGTAAACTTTACGACATTTATACTGTCTGTTTCCTTATATTCATGGTTCCCTGCAACTGTAAACTTGGTTCTTTCTTTCCCAAATCATTAAATGAACCATTAAAAGACTATTTTAAACACATAAAATTTAATTAAACCTTGGAATTGTGATACAGTGGTAGACGATTATATCAATACAATGAAGACGAATTTCGAAATCAATTTTGGTGTCAATTAAACTGTTAAACACATGGATACACAAAACATAGAAGTAAAGAGACTTTATCAATGAAAAAATCCTTCTCTTTGATTACTTGTAAACCTGTAGTTCAAAAAACGCTTGTTGACAATCAAAACTTAAATAAAAAGTCGTCTTTATTGTAGTGATATAATCGCTTACCACCGTATCAAAGGAGTCTCAGGTCGTCTTTACAGTCGCATCCTTAGTGGGTGACCCTATAGTTTACCTAGTAACCAGATTTAAGTGAAATTTGTTCATCTGCTGTTTCAATTAAATACATTTTTCCTCCTTCTGGATTGGCTTCAAGAACAAAATAAAAAAAGTATTTTAATTTTTTGACAGTTCTTATTTGCATGACACATCCGTTGGGATAGAAAATAAGTTCCTTTAAGTTTGCACTTTACACGGCAATTTGGGTAATTGCACTTTGCAAAAAGTTCTCTAAAGGAACTGCAGACGTAATTTAAAGTGATTCTCCACTTTTGAAGTGGCATGTTAGATTTAGAACGGTACCCTTTAAACCTTTGTCTGATCGTAAATGAGATATTCTAGTACTTTCTGCTTAACAAACTTATTAACTTTAATTGAGGTTTATTTGAAAATATGTAATCACTTCACGTTTACTATCCTTGTAAGTCCAAAAGGAGAACGAGACAAAGGAAAAGATTATATTTTTAACGCCTTTTGAATTTTCGAAAATTTTGCTCGGCGGAATATATTTTTTCTCGTTAAAATGGCATTTAAATTATATAATATCCCTGCATTTTTTTGGAAAAAAATCAGTAGAATTGAGAGAGAAACTTTTATGTTGGATTTCCACGCTAAGTCTAGCATCAAATCCAACTACGCCATACATAACAGCTAGAAATCCTAGAAATCCTAAGGTTTTAGACACAACAATTTTGCCCTCTGTTTGCTGAAGTCAAAATAGCATCTGAGAGCTGATTTTTAAACCTGAAACCCGAGAAAACCCCAGTCTTATGGCGTTTATTTATGACCAAGTAAAGCCCTAGCCTAGACTCAAGTTTTGAATTTAGTACAGCCCATAGAGACTTGAGCTTCCAGAGGATGGAGATCGTAAATTTCTTAAATTATATTTAGACAGTTAAAATCTCGGGAACTAAATAATACATCAAGATAAACCAACTCTGGAAAGATGAAGTGCCTGATTCTGGACCGCATTTGTGCACCTGGCAAGATACTAAAATGGTGTCTTGTTTTCTGCATACTGTATAAGCAAGCAATGAAAAAAAACCTCTATAGCATGTGATATGTGCATATGCTTATTATAAGCAAGCGCAGTAATACAAGTGTATAGCGTAAACACAATTGTTTTAATTCGTTTTCAACCATTGATTGTTTTTTTTTCAAAAATGGCTAATCTGTTCTGTCTAAAACTTAACAGTTTTTATCGTTCGTTAACGGACTCTTCCGTTAATTTTCGAAATATATATATATAGGGTTGTTAATCGTTTTTTAATCGATCGTTAAACGATTGTTAAACGATCGTTTTTTTTTATGATCGTTTCGTTTTGAAAAAAAAACGATCATTTTGTTAAAACGATTTGCGACCGTTTTTTATACGATTGTTTGTAAAGGAAGGGTTGTCGTTAACAATCGTTAACGAAACGACGAACTTTATAAAACGGTCGTTTTTGGAAAAAAAATTACATGCAACCTATTTAATGTCGTCTTAAAAGTTTAAAAGTTGTGGGGGAGTAAAAACTTCTTGATATTATCTTAAAAACTACTCAATGATAAGTACAGATGTCCTTCAGGTCGGTTTCCTCTCTTCGTTAACGATCTTTAACGAAGGGTTGTCGTTAACGATCTCCGTCGTTAACGATTGTTAACGAAACGACGAATTTTATAAAAACGATCGTTTTGAAAAACGATCCTTTTAAAAAACGAGCGTTTTGAAAAACGATCGTTTTAAAAACGACAATTTTTGAAAAAAGAACATTTAAAAAACGATCGTTTTAAAAAACGATCGTTTCGTTTTCGATTTTTCGTCGTCGTTTTCATAACGAAACGATCGTTTTTCAAAAAAATTAAAACGTTAACATCCCTATATATATATATATCATTCATTTTTAATTAGACAAAGCTTTTAAGCAAACCCATTACAGGAATAGGACCAATTTGATGTTATTTTATCAACATGATTATTAAAATCAATTGTCCAGCGCTTGCTTGTACAGTAGGGAACACAAGACGTTTGACTATTGACGAAATTTGTAACTTAGTTGCTAAAGGTATACATTAATTATCAGAATCTGGCATGTAATGTATGGAAATATCAAAAAATACACATTTGTAAATATCAAGTTTTTGAACCAATCATTGGAACTAACATAGATCCAAGGGAAGACCTGGGCGTAAAGAAGGGGTTAGTTTAGGAAAGGTTGAACTTTATTTTTTTATATCTGAAAAAATGTTTATTAAATTTGAATATACGAACCTTCCATATAATCGCCAGCCTGTTTAGGGTATGCTGTTAAACACATGGATACACAAAACATAGAAGTTTACCTGCCAAAAATAAATTTATTAGAACAAAAACGGAGAGTCCTTGATAAACCTTCATTATTAACTGATAACTGACAATAGAAATTTAAGAATTTAATAAAAATATAATTAAACATCACAGTCAAACAACTGTTTAATTAAGTTATATTTAGAACTATTGAACAATATGAAGAAAAACAACTTTAATGATATGAATTGAATTCACAGAAAAAAAGTTTTAGAATTAAATTTATTTATTTGTACACAATTGTAATAGAAAATGTATTTAAATCAACGAAGAATAAGATATGCAAATAAATGATGAACAATAAATAAATAGAACATTTTTTGCACCATATTTTTGTCACCAGTAATTTTAAAATACTATATAAGAGATAATATTTATAATTTATATATTATAATTATGTAATAAGATATTTATCTAATCTTTCAAAGATTGGGAGGGTCTGAATTTATGTATAGCCTGTAAGCTTTAGGGGTTATAGAATCATATGCTAGTGAGGTTTTAAAAATGGCAAAAAAATATTTTAAAAATATCACAACTTTAGTTTTTAAACGCATATTTTAAAATGAAATCTGCATATCTTCAAATTAATTAAAATGCGCCAAAAAATGGCTAAAACCTTAATTTTTGCAACAAGATGGTTCAATATTTTGTTATTTAAAAATTTGACTCTTTTATACAACAGAACTCAAAGTTTGAAATGTATAAACATTGATGTTCTAAATAATCCGTTGTCCGAGTTTAATGAATTTGAGCCGCGTCTCAAATCCCTCAAAAATCGGTTTCAATTGAGCGCCAGCATAAATCTTGAAAAACTGAATACAGTTTAAGTTGAACCAATCATATTTGAGCCGCGGCTTAAGTTTAAATTCTTTAAATTCGGCCTCGCAATTAATATTATTTGATTGAAGACTTCAAGTCGTCTTCGACTTTAGAAATAGTTTCCGGCATTCATGTTGGGAAACCTAATTTTAGAAAATATTTTCATTAAACAATAACCACAAAATAGCCCTACACAAGCCAATTCTAAAATGTGGTCTGCCATTTTTTACTGTCAGAATAACCGGAGAAATTAAGAATTTTGTTTAGATTTAAATTTATTAAATAAAACCATGTTTGTCTGTTTCTGAACGAAACCATCCATATCTCCGGAAATTTTCAAAGCACAGGAAGGCAGACCACATTTTGGAAATGGCAGGATTATGGCAGGATTATGGCAGGATTATGGCTAAATGATAGAAAGATTAGAGTAAGAAAGTACGTCTGAATTTCGCTTATGATCAATTGTTGCTCTTTTTAATTTTTAATCTTTAAAACATTTTGAATCCAATTTTTATGATTATTACATAATTTTTTGTTCTAGAAAAAGTTCTCAATTAAAAATTGGTCACAGTTGATTAACAATTTTAAAAAGTGATTCAATGAAAATATAAATTTTTTATTTGAAAATTTATTCCTGCAATGCAGAAATTATACATGGTATCCATTTATAAATTATTAATTTAGTATACGGGGTGTGTTTAAATAATAAGAAAATTAAATTATAAATTCCCCCCTTATTAAGACCAAAAAGTCTAATAAAAATCAACTGCGACTTTTCCTAGCTTAAAAAGTGTTGAATTTTGTTCATTTCTCCGTGGTTTCAAAAGCAAAGCATGCGCAATTCATTTTTGCGAAGAAACCACACTCACTTTTTGGTACTTTTTGGTAGCTCTAGTCTTATAAATTTTAAAATGTAACGCGCTTGTTTCTAGCTGAAATTTAAAAGGAATAGCAAAATACTGCTTGATTTTTGCATGAGAGCTAAGCACATCTTAGTTTGCAGTGATTGTCGGATCACTAGAAATTAAGATTACAGTCCTTTCATGTAACATCTGCTTATAAATTCAGAAAGAGCAAAACCAAACTAAATTTTATTTTCGTGCTTTGTATAATATTATAGGTTTTCTGGTCTCAGCCCCTTTTATCCATAGATTAATAACAATACAGATAGAACATTAGACGTCGTCTTTTCAAGATTTAGAGTTTTTTGTTTACAATAACCCTGAAGCAAAGCCCAAAAGAGTTACGCGCATGCCTGGTTGATGACAAGACAGATCAAGAGAGCCGTTTTAACTCCTTTGGGCTTCTGCCTCAGAGTTACTGTGAACGAAAAATCCCTAAATCTTAAAAAGACGACATCTAGTGTTCTGTCTGCATTGTTTTTCTATACTTTAATCCAATAAATTTATTGTAATTCGGTCAAATATGAAAGTTTTCAATATTTTAGAAACCTTCATAATCAAATATTTAGGATTCTATTTTTATCTTTCTTATTTTACAGAGAGTAAAGTCTTTATAGATAGAAAAGTTGTACTTCACTGTAAACTCCCATAGATAGAAAAGTTATACTTTACTGTAAACTCCCATAGAAAGACTAGCTGTTCTTTACTGTAAACTCCCATAGATAGACTAGTTGTACTTCACTGTAAACTCCCATTGATAGACTAGTTGTACTTCACTGTAAACTCCCTTAGATAGACTGGTTGTACTTTACTGTAAACTCCCATAGATAGACTAGTTGTACTTCACTGTAAACTCCCATAGATAGACTAGTTGTACTTCACTGTAAACTCCCATTGACTAGAATAAGGTTTTAGGGACATATCCTCTTAAAATCGTTAACTGATTAAAATTTAAATTAAATTAAATTAAAATTTAAATTAAAATTGAATTGTGATAAATTAAGTTCTACATTTATGAGAAAAATTGTTCACAGCTTTATCCGCAAGTTACAAGAAAATAGATTCATAAAACATATATTTTCAGTTTAATTATAAAAGTTTAAAGGTTAAAACATAATAAACTTGGTGAAGAGAAAACTTTGAAACAAAGTCCTAAGTTTATGAAGCAAAGAGACTTAAATTATAGAAACATTTAGATTTTAGTAAAAAAAACTAGAATTTTAAACTTAAAGACAGGGATACCCATAAAACCTAAAAAACCTTAAAGGATGACCGTAGAGAATTTATTTAGTCTAAATTATAGCGGTCAATTGGAATTGCAGCTATAAACGTGTTTTTTAATATTCATAGCAAAATTATTTCTTTGTTTATTAAAGAATTGTTGTTTTTTACAAAGTTCAAAATTTTTTGTTTGTTTAAAAAATTTAGCATTTATGTTTGTTTACAAAGTTCAGTATTTGTGTTTGTTAAAAAAGTTCAGTATTTTTATTTTGTTTAAAAAGTTCGGATTTTTTGTTTGTTTACAAAGCTTAGAATTTGTGTTTGTTTAAAAGTTCAGAATTTGTGTTTGTTTACAAGTTCAGAATTTGTGTTTGTTTTCAAAGTTGCAAATTTTAATTTGTTTACAAAGTTTCAAACTTTTGTTTGTTCACAAAGTTCAAATTTTTTGTTTGTTTACAAAGTTCAGAATTGTTGTTTGTTTACAAAGTTTCGCATTTGTGTTTGTTTACAAAGTTCAGTATTTGTATTTGTTAAAAAAGTTCAGTATTTTTATTTTGCTTAAAAAGTTCGGACTATTTGTTTGTTTACAAAGCTTAGAATTTGTGTTTGTTCACAAAGTTCAGAATTTGTGTTTGCTTACAAAGTTCCAAGTTTACAACGTAAAATAAATAGTATTTTTATTTGTTTAAAAAGTTCAGATTTTTGTTTGTTTACAAAGTTCCAAGTTTACAAAATAAAATAATTAGTATTGTTTACAAAATATTACTAGGGATAAATCATAGACATCATAAATATTATATACTAAAATGAGATATAATGTTAACACAATAGAAATACATATTTAATATGTTGTTGAACATTTTTCTATTTTCATTTTTTTACTTAATATTGAATAATGAGGCAACCACCCCCCTTTATAACTTTATAATAGCAGCTATTTACAATTTGACCCCAGGAAAGGTTTATGGCCAGTCAACTTGTAATAATGTAATCTAGAAATTGAGTCTTTGCCACAAACTCTGATTTTCTAATCCCTGTTCCTTTTCAACCCTATGTCGTAGACGTTAAATATTTATAACTGTAAATTCTGTTGAATCAAATGATCTAAGTTTGTAACATGTAATGTGTACACTATAAGGTTGCAAACATGTAGGTTGTGGGAAGATTCTACCAATGATAACAAAACAATGTACGAGAGGCCTGCAAATAGCTAGATCAGCAAAGAGCTATATTATTCGAGAAAGATAAACGCGAAGATACCCATTAGGGTGTAAGTTGATGCTCCAGCAAAAAGGGGACATCGTTTAGCGAAAACAAATTTTTCGCATCTCGTTCGCTCCCAAAAAAAATACGAAAATTTACGCTATTTTCACGAAATATCTACTCTGTTCTGCAAAAGAATGTGAAAATTTCGATATTTTTTTACTTTGATATTGCAGCAACTGTATAAAAAGTAAAAATCGGTGTTTGGAAGTATTCAGAAGGGATTGGGAAGAATTATAAAGATCATAGAAAAAGTTGGCACAAATTTGTTTTATTTTAAATCATTGCAGAACAAGAACTTTTTGTAAAAAACAGTTCCGCGGCAAGTTTTAAATCTTGGAAGCTATCAACCTCGTGATTTGTTCCACACTTTTTAATTTAGCTCTTTGAAGATATGTAAATTTGATATGTTTAGGTTTACTGACACCACCGGGCCTCTTGCATAGAGCTGGGAGAGCTTTTTTTTCTTTTTTTTTTTAAATAATAACAAATTGAATACTTTATCATTATCAGGTACTTCGTCTTTGTATGGATCTTCTTTCACAGTATTCATAATATTTTTTCCAGGAAAATTATTTTAGATTTAAAGTTCTTTGTTTGAGCCACTGTTTGGTTTGGTTAATCTGCTCGTCTATAGAGCTGGTATTTAGTCCAGGGGGGAGTTTTGTAGAATCTGAAAATTATTTAAAATCATGAATTCTTTTTTAAGATATATGTTTGAGTCTTTGCCACAAACTCTAATTATATAATCCCTATATTTTTGCAACCCGATGTTGTAGTAGATATTTTAAACTATGATTTCGGCTGAATTAAATAATTTAAATTTGAAATTTCAAAGGTTATAAGGATATAGAGATTAGAAAATTCGAGCGTGTGACAAAGACTCAATTCATTTTATTTAATATTACAGAAAGAGAAGTCATGTTCCTAACCTACACGGTTACTCACAAAGAATGAGATTTCAGAGACGACTATACGGAATTAAATCAGTATTTTTTTATGTATGAATGGTCAAATTATTAGTTTACAATAATAAAATCATATATTTAGAGTTTTAGGTCGTCCTTAATGTATCATCCTTTGTGTAGGGTTTTCTTTTCTAAAAATTATTCTTTCGTTCTTAGAAAAAAAAATATCGTTTTTGAACACGAACAACTCGTTTTGAACTTTTATTAAAAAAGGGAGATAAGTTTCCGAATGTTGTTAAAAAGAGTGTTCGCGAAAAATGAAAGGGGCTTACGGCGAAAAATCGCTTTAAATCGCTACTAATCTTACTTCTGTCTGTTACGTCTGTTACCGAAGAAAATAGCGTCCATACATATTCAGAAAGGTATTACTCGGATCGTAAAAAAATCAATTGATTTTCCAACTAATCATTCAGATATTACACATTGAAGACACACATTGAGGACGCACATTGAAAACGCACATTTAGGGCGCAAATTGAGGACACGCACTGAGTACGCACATTTAGGAAACGCACGGAGTATGAACATTTAGGACACACATTAAGAACGCACATTTAGGACGCTCATTGAGAACACGGAATTAGAACGCATATAGAGGACGCATATTGAGGACGTACATTAAGGTTGCATTATTAAGAATGCACTATTGAGTAGGTTCAGGACGCACGGTTCATTTCAAGTACCGGGCTGGACTGCTAGTCAGCTAGATCAAGCTGTACAGTACATGTACAGACTATATTAGGAAAATCTGAACATTACACTATAAATGAATCATCCCCTTTTACAGAAATTTACGAGAAGAGAGTGATATCGGGGTATATTCTATATTAGAATTATAACTTACTTTTTTTAATTGGTCTTGCCCTAAAACCATTTTTAATTGTTTACCTGAAAACCGGTTTATGGTTCCACGTACAACTAGATTAGGATCAGATGTGTACAATGTGTTTAAAATAGTCCCGTTTCTTTCCCCTCGAGAGAGACGGACTCCATTTCTGTTTTCAGCATATTTAGATCTAATTATCAAAATTTACTATATTTCATTGATGTTCAAAAGAAATGAATTTATGAATAAATTTTCATTCACAACAAAAAAAGATTAAACAAATCAACTAAATTGGATGAATAATAAATAAAAACTCCCAAAAATGGAAATTGTATTCTGATTTATATTGAAGCAGCAACCCACATGTTTGATTAATAATGAAGAAAGACAAAAAAGTGTACAATCTAATTTTTTGGATGATTTTTTCATCATATTTTTCTAAACTATTTTTCAAAAATTGTGCATAAAGAAAAAAATTTCTCTCGATTTTTAGATATTGATTTAAATTTTCCTTTCAGATGAGTGAACAGCTGACGGATTAAACCACGTGTTAGTTCTGCAGAATGCCGCGCTGTTTTTTCTAAATGCCGCACTAGGTGGGCTGGTTCCGGTGAAAGGCGCAACACTTCGCTCTAAAGTGTTCAGGCGATGAACAAGAACAGCCAAGGACTTGTTGAATTCTAAAAATACAAATTGTTGAACAAATTCAAAACTGCAAGATTATTTCAGTTAATACCACGTAAATGGAAACTAGACATAATTTCTGGTAACCCTTCATTTTCAGAGTGACATATCCAATTTACAAGGTTACCTGAAAATTCATTATCTTCATAAACCACATGACATCATTTGCATATATATATGTATACATTAAAGATTCTAACGTCGCTTAATTTTCAGCTTTGAAAATAAGAATAACTCCGTAGTTGATGATTGGAGTAGGTTAAAAGGGTGCCCCGTTGTTAATCCAATATGCAGCTCTATAAAAGGATAATCCCTGCAAATTATGCCAATACTGTCCAATATTAATGAAAATAATTTTTGTTTTTATTTTATTTACCAGCAAATGATGACTCATAAACACTGTCTACATCACTCTCAAGTACTCGAGCTGACACAGCAGGTCCTTAATATTCAACATAATCAGATCCAATTAAACATTTCCTTCATTTCTTCTCCAGAAGAAGTTTCTTGAAAAATGTGAGAAGGGTTATGTTTACTCTTATTACTGTCTTTCTAAAGTATTTCAATATTCTTATCTTACTTTGTTTGGCTGATGTTCTTCTGTTGGGGATCAAATCCAACTCGTATTCCGAACTTGAGCTAGAACCTAAAAGCATCCTATATCATATGTATGTCACGAGAGGTTCTACAAAAAACGCCGTTTTGACGTTTATTGGATACAAACAGTCAAACAAACACGTAGAAAAGATTTTATAAGGTTTGCATACAACTGACTCTCTAGTCTCTATATTGATAAATCTATGGCCTGTATACACCTGGCTGTCTAGTCTGTATAATGATATATCTATGGTCTGAATAAACCTGGCTGTCTAGTCTGTATATAGATAAATCTATGATCTGTATAAACCTGGCTGTCTAGTCTGTATATAGATAAATCTATGGTTTGTATAAACCTGGCTGTCTACTCTGTTTATTGATAAATCTATGATCTGTATAAACCCAAATGTCAAGTCTCTATATTGATAAATCTATGATCTGTTTAAACCTGAATGTTAAGTCTGTAAATTTATAAATCTATGATCTGTTTAAACCCGAATATCAAGTCTGTATATTGATAAATCTATGATCTGTATAAACCTGGATGTTCTCTTGAAGTTTCTGCTTCATCTTTTAAGTCCAGCTTAAGCCGCAGTTCTCTAATTTCCTCCTGAAGTTGTTGAACAATTTATTGGAAAATTAAAAAATGTCTGGAATCATGAAGTTTAAAACTGAATCATCTTCAACATTTGGTTTTTGATAAACATATAATTTTAAAGGCATTGAAAACGTAATTTCAATGTGCCTTTTTCTTAGAGAGTGCCAAATTTTCTAAATTTTTAAACGTGTACTGTCAATCGATCATTTAAAGGTTTAGAGGGTGTTTTCAGTACGCTTTATAAGACTTCAAAAAAAACTATATAAGACTAAAAAAATTCATAAATAAATCAATAGAAGTTCAACTTTATGATGGTTCATGCCAATTGTCGGAAGAATAGGACTGCTGAACTTCACAATTGATTTGAAGTTACAATCCATTAATAGAGTCTCAATCCTGATTAACAAAGGCGCCCTAGAAAGAATTATTTCTAGTCAAGAATTAATGTAATATCCAAGTGTTTTTCTAAGAAATTCGAGTATTTCAGTTCTGACGATATCCTCCCTATTATTTAGAAGTTAAAAAAATAAGTGGCACGAGTAGCCCTCAATTGTTACCTCAAGTCCCTCGACTTCCCTCGCGAACTCATTCTTCATCCGGTCCTTCACCGTTGATATCTCCAGCTCCAGTTTCCGCTCAAACATCGTCTTCGTATCCTCACCCGTCCTCGGAGATTCGTCCTTTTCCTCAGCCGTCTCAGCAGATTTGTCCTCTTCCACGCTCGGAGATTCAACCTTTGCATTCCAGGTTTTCAAATTCTTTTCAGATATTCTTGAAAGTGATTTATTCTTTTCCTCCGTCCAGACAATGTAAAGAATTTTTCGAAATTTTTCAAATTTTTTATAAATAAATTATTCATAAAATATTTTGTACATTAACCTAAAAATGAGTTCTATCGCAAAGAATCAAATTTTTCTTATTTTTTCTAAAATCATTTTTATAAAATCTAACCATGAATAACAAACTATTAATTTTAAATTAATTAAGCAAAAATATTTTGTTAAATTCTTATGTAAGACAATATTCAATTTATTTTGAAAATCAAATTAGATTTTATTATCTTAGTGTCTCATATTTCTTCCTTATCTATATTTATACTTTATACAACAAAAAGCAAAACTGTTAAAAGATAATACAGGCTAATAAGAAGAAATATGTATATTTTATAATACAGTTGTTATACAAGCGTATTTTGTTTTACAGCTGGCCAAACGGCTGACCAAATCGGCTGACATTTTTTTTTAAAGGACCATGGGTAACCAGGGGGTGACAAAGACTAAACATAAATAAATCTTCTTTTAAAGATATAAAAACAACGATATCTTTTTCATTGTAACTCAGATAAAGGTTTAAAGGGTATCCGTAGTAATCGGAAAAGCCACTTTTGAAATGAAAAAATAAAAGATAGGCAATTATTTTCGGCGATTCGTCGTTGTTAATATCAACACAATGAAGACGACTTTTGATTTCAATTCTTAATTTCTACCAAGCTTTCTAACAGCATGGATACACATAAACATTAGTTTACACCTTCTCTTTGTTTACTTGTAAACTAGTAATTTGATAAAATTGAAAAGTCTTTATGGTATTGATATAAACGCCGACCTAGCTGTTTTATATTACATATGAGTAAAAGGAATATACGTCTTTTAAGTTTTCCAAAATGTAGTTAACCTTCCTTATATATTTTATAGAAATAACAATCTTTTAGTTTTTGGGAAACTTCCCATTTTTAAGACACCGTGTAGACTGCACAAAGTTTTTAATTCATCTCAATCTTTGAAAAGTTGGACCGCGGGATAAAATGTATATGGGCCGGGATAAAAAGAATATGGTTGGGCCGGGGTAAAAATGTAATGGGCCGGGATGAATAGAATATGGTTGGGCCGGGGTAAAAAAGTTAGTTTTTTGTTGTTTAAACTTTTACCTTGTTCGTCAAATGTAATTCTCGTATTTCCTCCAGTATTTGGTTCCTTTGAAATCAGAAACCCACTTTAACATTAGTAAAGATTCGTCTTGATTTACGCGGCAATTATTAAAAATTCGTCTTGATTTACGCGGCAATTAGTAAAAATTCGTCTTGATTTACGGGGAAATTAGTAAAAACAGAAAAGTTCAACTTACCATGACATTTTAAAGGGAGTGACCGGCTATGTAAGGTAGTTGAACTGAGTATGCAGTGTTGTGAAAAGCTTCTTTCGGATTCATTTGAGACATATTAAACTTTTTAAAGATCTGTAAATCCTGAGTTTGAGCGCAAATTCGACGTTCAAAACTCCTACTTTGGGGGTGGATACGTTTTCAGAATTAGTTTTTTTTAATTATTAAATAACGACGACGAAAAATAAAGTAAAAATCATACAGTAGTCTAATTAGATGGTTGGGAACATATTTCTCAAAAGAAATTTGTCAATAAATAAATGCTAGAATCAATTATTTCGTTTTCATCATTATATTGAATTTCTTGTTTTCTTTGAATTTATTCGTAGATTTCTTCAAATTCTTTAAATTCGTCTTTTCAATAATAATTCTAGAAAATCTGCAAAAAATCATTGAGTAATGAGAAACCAGAATAATGAGGCAAATAGAAACTAATAATTTAACAAGATTGCTTATTTTTGATGATTAAATTAATTTTTATTTTCTCAACATGTTCCTATACATGACGTCTGTAGATTATTGTAGAACTTTTTTACATTTAATGTCGTCGTTATTTAATAATTTTAAAAAAACTAATTCTGATAACGTATCCACACCAAAAGTAGGAGTTTTGAACATAGAATGTGCGCTCAAACTCAGGATTTACAGATCTTTAAAAAGTTTAATATTTCTCAAATGAATCCGAAAGAAGTTTTCCACAACACGGCATACTCAGTTCAGCTACCTTACAGAGCCGGTCACTCCCTTTAAAAATAATACTTTAAATGTGGAAAAACACTTTATTATTCTGTTCAAAGTCTACTTTGAAATTCCGTTAATTTTAAAAAAGTTGTTGAACTAAATACTAAGTTATTTACTATATAATAGTATAGCCATGTGGTCAAACAGCTGGAGCGAATGGGCTACCCGGGAACATAGGCTAGAAAAATTCTAACATTCGTACTTTTCAAAAATCAAATTATTTTCAAATATCACAATTTTTTCCATTTGTTATTCCACGGGCAACGCCGGGATCTTCAGCTGGTTAGTTACATGGTTAGTGATTGTCGACTGTTGATTTCATGATAATTTTTTTACCAAATTATTTTTTAAAAATATTTTAAAATGGGTTTCCATCTTGCCTTAGTTCTTCAATTTCGTTTTTCAAATCTGTTTTTACTTTTTCCTCCAGATTTCTAAACAAAAATGAAAATAAATGTAGAATTCAAATCGAAAATCATAAAAATAGTTGAAAATCAACCATAACAACAAATAAAAAAACAATTTATCCAAAATAAAAAATAATATTTAAAATATTTTTTTTTTAATATTTTTAAATCTTTAAGTTACCTCATAATTGTCTTGCCTTCTTCTCTTTCTTTCTCAAATAAATCCTTTAGATCGTTTCTTCTTTTCTCCTCTTCGTCTTCCCTTCTCCTCCCCTCCTCCTCCCTGCTAGTTAATTCTTCTTTTCTTCTCAGTTCTGCTCTCTCCACTTCCCTCCGTTCAATCTCTTCATTCAGTTTCTCAAGATCTCGGTGAGTTTTAATACTCACCGTCTCCTAAATTTTAGATATCTATATAAATTTGGCTTGGGTGTCTGTTTGTTTGTATCCAAATAATCGGGCCAAAATTTGTTGTAGGATCTCGCGTGACCCCGTGGAAGGTTTATGAATGATAAAATTTTGAAAGTTTTCTTTTTTTGAAAATGCGCGAAAAAATATTATGAAATCGGCAAACTTTCGTTTGTTTTTGTTTTATACTGTACAAAGAAAAGATGCTAACAGATAAAGCCCTAATTAAAAGTTGAAATATAAGATTAAAAGCCTTGTAAATTAAAAGTTAAGATGCATTTTGGAATTATAAAGAAAAAAAGGGATGATTGTCATGTTCCGGTCTTGATTTTTTAAAGGATGAATTTTCGTGGAATTATGAAGAAAGTTATTTGGATTGTGAGAGAAAAAAGCTGTTTATGATACAGTGAAACCGTTAATAACGAATACATCGAAAGAATTTATCAAATGTCGTATTCTTCACTTTCTGTTAATGTAATGTTGCAGATATTTAGTTTTTTAATTAAATGATTATATGGAACTCTTTAAAACTGTTCCCGCATATTCATGGCTATTTATTTATTTTCGCAAATACTGAAATTTACGTAATATAGAACTCATTGAAAAATTGTCAAGACGACATTTGATAAATTCTT